CTAGTTCCAAAATATTATTTTGCTTAGGACCTTGTAAATGTTTGGGGAGACAGCACAGATTTTACATGTATAATGTCCAGCTATAATCTCTAAAATCACATGGTCCCCTAAGCCCCTGGGTCTCCATTGAATTTCTCCTGATAATTTGCTGGGAAGTAGCTTCCAGTACCAGCAAAAAAAAAAAAAAGAAGAAGAAGAAGAAGAAGAACAGTGTATCATTTCTTAACCACTAGGACTAGATATAAACACCTTTAGAAAAGGGAGGAAGAAAAAACTCCCCACATAAATTTGAATTGTGCTACCACTCAATTATAAATCCAATCTCAGAAAGTTTGATTTTTAAACAGTGACTAAACACTCATAGGTCTTTTCAAAAAGTATGCTCATTAAGCTGAATTTCTCAATGTGTTTCTTGTGTGTGTTTATGGTCATATGAAAAAGTGAATCTTGTATCAGAATGTCAATGTATTTCTTTATTTTGCTTTTCAAGATACCCTTTCCTCATACATAATTCCATTGAAATGTCTATTTAAGAGATTTTAGGTAATACCATTCCCCACAAACACATTCAATTCACCATATGGAAAATTAATTGTATGGATAGTGGAAAATGTAAAGTAGCCATTAATTAGTGTGACTGATGAAGACATGCTTTTTTTTCTTTTAATTGTCAATATTTATGGATCACTTGCTATGTGTCAGGTCTTAGGTGTTTTACAATCATTATTATATTTATCTCTTCAGTTCTATGAGGCAATAGTAGAGGACAATTTTCTTCTCCTTCTCCCTTCTTTCTTTTTTTAAAATTAAAACACCATGAGATGAATAGTCACAAAGTTGTTCACAACTGGGTTTCACTCATACAACGTTCCAATATCCATTGCTTCACCAATAATGTACATTTTTCTTTCTTTCCTTATTCTTCTCCTTTTCTTCCTCTACTACCACCTTCTTTGCCTTCTTTTTTGTTTGGGGGCCACACTTGGCAGTGCTCAGGGCTTACTCCTAGCCCTGTGCTCAGGGATCACTCCTAGTGGGCTTAAGGGATCACATGTGGTACCAGAATAGAGCCTAGTTCAGAGGTATGCAAGATTTTGCCCAATGTACTATCTCCACAGCCTCTACATGCAGGAGACATAGTAATTATATAATCAAATATATAGATATATATAGATACATATATACACAACTCATCATAGTGTTTAGAATTAAGTCATTCTCATGACTTAGTGATGGCTATGCAAGCATCATCACTCTCTAGTTACAGAATATTTTAATCATCATAATAAAATTCACTATTTTTATTCCCATTTCTCCTCTTAGAAGTTTAAAATCAACTGAAAGTTAATGCACAGAAACTACATAAGTGAAGATCAATACTATTTTTTTTCTTTTTTGTGTGTGGGGGGTCACACCTGGCATTGCACAAGGATTACTCCTGGCTCTGCACTCAGGAATTACTCCTGGCGGTGCTCAGGGGACCATATGGGATGCTGGGAATTGAACCTGGGTTGGTCAAGTGCGAGGCAAACGCCCTACCCGCTATGCTATTTTTCCAGCCCCCAAGATCAGTACTTTTATTATTATTAAAATGTATCAATGCAAAGCCTAGATTTAAAGCCAAGCTGTGATACTTCTTTGCCTCTTAGGTAGTTTGAGTCACTGACTGTTTAAGAGCCACACATCTGTTTCTCTAAGAATTTGTCATATTATACTCTAGGGATCAGAGCAGAACATTCATTTTGTCTTGGTGCACTGAGCACACAGTCCCCCAACTACTAGAATACTAAGTCTCACTCTCTATGGAAGAGACAATTCACTGTGCCAGCACTGTGAAGGAGAGATTAGAGGACTTATAAAGGCAGCACAGAGACCTGCTAAAAGGCCCCCGCGATGCCAACAACACATAGCATCCTATATGAAAAGAAGAAAACTGTCTTATCAGTTTCTTACAAGAGATGCAAATGAACAGTCAATAGAAGAGGAACTTTGGATCAAGTTTGGAAGTGACTCGAATGTAGGAGTTACTGTCCCTCTGGACTTGGGATGTTAGCCCATGTATTAACATCCCATTAATGTGTTTATTAATTTAAGAGATCACTAAATCTCATTACTCAAGAGTTTTTGTAAGATTAATCTCCAGTCCCTACTCTGATTATTCCTGGTGGTCAGTGGGTGGGCTTTAAAATCTAATGCTCTAATTACTTGTTCAATTGATCTCTTTCCAGCCTGGGACGGTAGATCACTATAAATCACCCTCATTAGTAAAAACTCAGGCATGATATGAAAGAACTCATTTTAAATAACAAAAACAACACTCCAGTAACTCGTGAAATGTCAAGGATTTGTGCCAGAAATAGAGTGCAAAAGCCAAATGTATTTCTTATTAGACCATTTCCAGTCATCCTAATATTCCAAACTAACACACAGGCAAGAAAAAAAGAACAACTTGAATTATCAAGTCACAGATAAACTCAGGTCCAAAGACTCAACGAGTCACAAAATGATGAGAAATAGAAAACTTTGTATTTTAGTATAATAAATTTTAGGACGTCTTGTTAAAAAACAAAACCTGACTGAAATAGCACTTACTGATCAAGAAGGCAAAGGGAGAAACAGTTCTGTGAAGAATATGAGAAAGTTGCCATTCAGGATGAATTTAAAAATGTTTCCTGAGAGGCAACGTTAATTAAAGCAAGATTGTATAGGCATCTCATTATTTGAAAAAAGAAGTATACATATCTTGACAAAGTAACAAATTTTTTGGCCACAAAAAAAAAATTCTAAATTACTCATCATTATTGAATATAGAAAGTGCCATAATTTGTGTATTCACATTTATATGCAAAAATATTTGCATGACTTTCTTACATTTATTTGTAATATATGGCATTATGATTCAACATTTTGCAGAAATGTTGAATTTAGTCTAATAAATTTTAGGACTAAAGTCTAAAAATTAGACTTATTAAACCCCAATGTAAGTATGTCTATGAAACTGACAGGAAATTAAATATATACATACAAATAATATGCATTTATATATAAATAAGATGTTTATATATATAAAATACTGGGTATAAAGGTAAGTTGTTATAAGTGGAAAAACTATTCTTGAAACCCTTTCCCATTCTTTTGTAAAACAGAATATCTTCATAAAATTCAAGTTGTCTTTATGTAACTAGATTCTACTGTGGCAAAATGAGTTTTTGGCTAAGTTACTTTAAAAACATGAATTTCTTTGAACTTGTAGAAATGTGAATGTATTAATAATGAAATGTTGGCTGCAAGAATGAAATTTGGATTTCAAAGATCATTTTGAGGAAGTTGAATTATATCTACCATTATCAAAACTTACCTTTCCACACACATATACATATATATAATTTATAAGCCCAATATATGAGTCATTTCTATGCTACTTTACATGCTTTAATTCATTAACTTCTTTCAGATATACTGTAAGGTAGATATTTAATGACTACTCTACCCTTTCTTCTTGGTTGTTGGGCTACACCTGTTGGTTTTCAGGGCTTACTCCTGACTCTGTGTTCAAAGATCACTCCTGGTAGTGCTGAAGGGACCATAAGCAGTGCCAGGCATAGAAGCTGGGTTGGTCATGTGCAAGGCAAGCACCCTACCTGTTGTGTTATTTTTATCCCTCCCACTTCCTGACCCCAGTACCTTTAAGTTCTATTTTAGGCTAAAAAATTGTCTGTTTCTGTCAATGAAATTTTTTTCAGGTTCTTGTTTTCACTTGCCATCTGGTCCTCATTGTCCTATTTTTACCCCTTAAGTAGTCCATCTTACATGTGCATGCTTCCACTTCTACTACATGAAAAAACACATGTCCTGAGCATGATGGAAGTTTTTTAAAGTGATATTTTTAAATAAAAATCGGGGCTGAAAAGATAAAATAGTAGGTAGGGCACTTGCCCTGTATGAGGCTAACCCAAGTTTTATCCCTGGCATCCTGTATGGACCCCTCAGCATCACCAGGAGGTGAGTGCCTAGCCAGGAGAAACCCCTGAGCATCACCAGGTATGGTTCCCACCAAAAATATCAAATTACATTTTTATCTTATACCTGATACTTAAATAAAATTGTGAAGTATCTAATGAAGGATTATATGTAAAATTAGAACATAGTGATTAGGTGAATTACCTCAGAATAAAGGAGAACCTTACATCAGACTATGAATATAGTCATAAAGGAAAACACCAAGAGGAAAATAGTTGAATATACACTATAGATGCAGAGACTATAAAACCCAGCTCATGGAAGAGAACAGTGCAGAGTCTCCTGTCCCCGTGCCTGGCTGTCCTCGTGCCTGGCTGTCCTCATTGGGGCCCCTTGGATGGGGGCGGGTTGAGTCTCCCTCCCCCCACCTGCCCGCTCCGAGCAGAGCCCCAGCAGCTGAGGACCTCCGGAGCCAGCCACGGCCATGCTGGGACCACTCTCCACACGTCGGGACGGGCCTCATGCATGAAAGATCTGGCAGAGGAACCCAGGCTTGCGGGTCCCGGGGCTGAGATCTCTAAGCCTGCTCGGATTGGGACTGGGCCTTCTCCACCCAGACCCCCCATCTTCCAGTAGGTAGGCATCACACCCACCAGCTACCGCCAGCGCCAGGTTGGTCTCAGCAACAGCCAAGACGCAGAGACTATAAAACCCAGCTCCCGGAAGCACACGGCCGCATTTGCAGCCACGCAACATCTTATTTTTTTCCTTTGGAGAACCTGGCTGGCTACCAAAAGTATCCTGCCCGCACAGCAGAGTCTGGCAACTTCCCGTGTCGTACTCAATACGCCAAATACCAGTAACAATGATGGGTCTCATTCTCCTAGTCCTGAAATAGCATTGAAATGGCTCTTTTAAAATCTCAAGGTTAGGAAGAAGGGGACGTTACTGGTGCCTGCTCAAGGAAATCGATGAACAACAGGATGATTGTGATCATGATCGTGATACACTAATAAAGTAACACAATTTCTTTTCCATAGGAATATAAACATTACTGGACAGAATTAAGAGGAACCACGCTTTTCTTTTATACGGACAAAAAAAGTACAACAGTAAGTGATTAAGTATATTTATTTGATAAAATTTTTACTGATATATACTTGTTATTCAGTTTGTTATTCATTTGGGATTTTCTGTCTTCCAAGAATAAGATATTCCAATTAAAGCTAATTCAAATAGGATTTATTTCTTTGAGGGATATCAATGATAAAATAAAACCCTGTTAAAATTTTTTAGCTAACTCAGTAGATATGAACTAATGTTTTTAATTTTGTACTCTTTCTGATTTTAATAATAAAATTAGATGAAAAATAATATTTCAGTTAAACATCTGGTTACAAATTGTACAATTCTCAGTGATAGTCTTAAACTTTCCTGCTTTATATCTTTTTGTAGACTTTTTATAATCTGAAAAAAAGGTGACTAGAGAAAAAAAAGATGCCCCAAAACATACAATATGCCACTATTAAATTTTTTCAGCAAGGCAAAAAAAATTACATAAAATAGAACTTCTAGAACTCAAGTATGATAGTGATAATGATAATAAATTCTGAAATGTATCTATTAATATTAACTTAAAGTAATTGATGTACATTTAAATTTTCCACACCAAAAAATGAAAGTATACTATAAATTCATTTTTTTAATGGGGCCAGAGAGATAGAGCAGATAGGGCACTTTCTATGCACACAGCAGAACCAGGTTTAATCTCCGGCATCCCATATGGGACCCGGAGCACTGGCAGAACCAGGAAAAAGCCTTGAATGTTACCAGGTGTGACAAACAAACAAAAAATAAGATTTGGGTAGCAAATGCTTACCTACGTTCAAATGTTATACTTATATGAGACCTTGTTTAAGTACAAACACTTTGGATCACAGACATCATAGCTTACACTTCTTATGGTTGGCCAGATCTAATGAAAGAAGTAGAAAAAGAATCAGTGTGATTTATTCCACTGCAAGTGTTTTAGTGCTATTAGTGTTAATAACTTATCAGAAATAAGGTAAAGGTAAAGGCCCTCCCGTTGATCGTCGATTTGCTCGAGCGGGCTCAGTAACGTCTCCATTGGAGACTTTGTTGTTACTGTGTCTGGCATATCGAATACTCTCAGTAGCTTGCCGGGCTCTCCGAGAGGGGCGGAGGAATCGAACTCGGGTCGGCCATGTTGGCCGCTTGTAAGGCGAACGCCCTACCCGCTGTATAAAGGGTTGTCTTTCCCTAGGATTCTGGTTGATTTTTATACAGTTTTGGAACAAAAATAAATCAGGAGGAACAAATAAAAGTTCTCCCAGTAAATTTTCAAATATCCAAAATTAGGGTAGACTATCAAAAGGATTAAATGAAAGAATAAATGTAAGATTTTATGAGAGAAGCTGGTATAAAGCAAGCATTCAAACATTAGAATGAAGTGTGTTATCTCAATTAGGAGTCAACATTCTTAACCTCTGTATCTCAGAGACCTATAAAATGCTGCAGAATCACCCATCTATTGATTTTATTAAAAGAGGATGCAGACTCCTGGGAGAAACGTTTGGGAGATAGTTTCAGAACAAAACAGAGTTGGAACAGGTAAGAACTGCAGATTCTTAGGCAAGAGCAGTAAACCTACATTTAAATATTTGTAAAATCATGGAGGAGGACATGAGAAGTACCACTGAAATTTTTGGAATGTTGTTCCAGAGAAAAGGAACAAGGACAAATAATGGGGAACTAACTACCTGGAGAAAGACTGTAGCTAAATTTGGCTGAGGATTTTTCTCAGAGCTGGACTTCATACCTTGCATGCGTGAGGCCCTGGATTCAGCCCCTAGCTCTGTGAAACAAGTAAAAAAACTGAGAAATATTACAAGGGGAAATAAACTTGCCATTAGGCAGAGCTGCATAGGCAGTATTAGTTTTATGTAAAAGTTGTTCCAAAATTCTAGATGGCTACGTGGAAGAGTACCATGGAGATGCTTTAAGCATCAGACAACATCCAGATAAGACATAGAATCTTTAAGACTCTTTTCAACATTACAATTAAAAATAAAAAGACAGAACTTTTACTACATTCACTATTATAGCTTGGATGAAATTAGAGGACATTGTGTTATGTGAAATAAGAGAGAAGAAAATAGCATATATTGATCATCTCACTCAGACGTGGCATATAAATTTAGAAAGCAAGTGGGTAGACAATGGTCAATGGTAACAAACCTTAGGACTGACAAGAGATAAGCCTTAAGGTAATTATGAGAACTTCACACCTTTCTTGAGATTGGTTTGTGGCAGACACTCTTTGTTACAGCTTTATGTTTGTCAAAGAGAGAAACTGGTGTGCTGATAACTATTGAGCATTTACAATGGTCTGTTCCAGAGACAAAAGCACATTTCATTTATTTTTTACATTTCATTTTCTTAAAAAGGAAAAAATAAACACTTGAAAGAAGCTCATAATCTCAGCTGGTATTTTAACATTTTGCTAATGGCATACCTCTTAATGAGCACATTTCTGATCAATTGCAAATAAGCATAAACTTCTAAGATTACCACAGTGACGCAACTAACAAGAGTCCTAAATTCTAGTTCTATATATTGAAAGAGGTTATTAACCTCTTTATGCCTCTTTTTATCTGCACACTTCTACATTTTATTTAACATTTGGATTTTGAGACAGATCATCTCCATATTTTAACTTCTCATTCTCTAGTTTTGGTCAGGGGCCTTCCCCAGCTGTACTCAGGGACCCAGAGGCCACTCCTGGAGATGCTCAACCCAGCAGCTCAGGCCTGATGAGTCAGTGCTAGGGTCCAGCAATGCCCAGTGAAGCTTGGGTCTGTGAGTGCTGGGGACCACTGGGGCCAATTCTGTTGGTGCTCAGGAGGATTAGGCAGTGCCAAGGATTGAACTCATGACCTCACGCCTGGAAGGCATAAACAACAGCCCTTGGAGTTATCTTCCAGACTTTGTTTCATTTTTAGTAATTCCTCTTGAAAAATATTAATACACTATCCTTATATGGGTCACGGAGGGATTGTTTATATAGCACAAATTGGAAATAGCCATGCTATTCATATTTATTTGTGGACAACAATCCGAATAGACAAGATAATTGTAATTAATTGACTTAAAATTTATAAAAAATGTTTTTCCTTTGAAAGTTTGCCTATTATATATGAAGAGAGCCCATCAAAATGGATTGCTGGCATGATGCCTTATTTACTATTTTTTTAAATATATATTTTGAATTATTGTTTAGGTAACATGGTTACAAAAATGGTATTTGTATACAAAGTACTCCTCATAACTACCACCAAAGCATCCAAGACCAAATTTTCCACCACCCTCCTCTTCATTCCATTCCATTTTCCCCCACATTTCTTTGTAATCTCAGTTTAGAAATCCAAGGCCAAAGGCTTGGCACTATGCTTTAATAACAACTCTTTCATGCACATTTACTAGAAATTATAACATACCATAAAAATACGTTATAGGAGAGAGAATGAGAAAAAGAGAGAGACAGACAGAGTGAGAGAGAGAGAGAGAGAGAGAGAGAGAGAGAGAGAGAGAGAGAGAGAGAGAATGGGATTAAGCCCTTGCTTTCCTTGTAGCTGCATCCAGTTTGATTTGCAAACCCCAAGTACCACCAGTGTTGAATTCTGAGCACAGAATCAGGTGTTGTTCCCAAAGTATCATGAGATATGGCCCTCAAACAAGACAACTTCTTCGCCAAAAACCAGCCAGCCAAACAAACAAATAAAAATCTTTGTCCTTCAAAAAAAATGATAATAGAAATAAATTCTCCCAAGAATGGGGAGTGGGAGTGGGTAGCTAAGTACGGGGAGATGAAAAGAGTCTCTGGTCTGTGGGGAACATTGGCCCTACACAGTGGATATGGAGCAGCGACATTGCCTTCTGAAACCATAAATTTTAATACTATTGTAAATCATGTTACCTCAGGAAAAAAAGAAATGACTTCCTTTCTTCTAATCAATAGATCAATTCTGAGGCTCTCCAAATGAGCAACTTCTTCTTTTGTGGTTTCCTCCTTTGTCTCGGAAAAATATTTGGCCAAGTTTTATCTAGATAACCTACCCGAGAAAAACTCTCATGCAATTAAAAATGAAGTCTTGTGTCTTTCATAACTCCCTTTCCGTTTTTTAAAAATTTTTCTTATTTATTTATTTATTAATTTGTTTGTTTGTTTGTTTGTTTGTTTTCTGGTGCCCCTGGTGTTTGCAAGGCCTCCACTCACTGCTCAATCACACCCCCAGGCCTCCTTCTGTTTTCAGTTGCTCTTTGTTCACCAAGAGCAAAATTTTGTTCAATGAAAACTCACCTCAATCTTACCAATATAGGAATAACTCTGGAAGAATTTTACCCACTTTCAAACTCTCCTTTATTTGGAAAAACAAAAATAGACTTATAAGAATCTTGTAAACTAGTTACTGTGGACAAAAAGACAAAAACACATAAAAAGAGAGCTTAGTATATAAAAACCTGTTTGCATCAATATTCTACTATACTTAATAGAGGAGGCTCTAATTGTTTAATATTGAATGTCAAGTTTGGTCACTTACTTATAGACCAGTCTCTATAGACCACTTGTTCAGAGAGACATTTTTATTGTGCTAGGATAAATTAGAGGTGTGTGTGTGTGTGTGTGTGTGTGTGTGTGTGTGTGTGTATGTGTGTGTGTGTGGTGCTGGAATCAAACCCAGAATTTCACATATGTGAGGTATATACTCTCCCAACTGAGATATATCCCTGATCAATAATAAGAATTTTGTTAGAGGGTCCTTATAATTTGTGGTAAATGTTAAACACTGAATATGTCGTTCAGGAAAAAATAATGCATGTATGAATATGTGAAGTGAAGTTATTGACATAAACTATGCACAGCACATTTTTATTTATTTACAATTTAATTGTGCTATCGAGGAGTGATAGCACAGTGGGTAGGGCGTCTGCCTTGCACGCAGCCAACATGGCTGACCCGAGTTCGATTCCTCCGCCCCTCTCGGGGGGCCCGGCAAGCTACCAAGAGTATTCAATATGCCAGACACAGTAACAACAAGGTCTCCAATGGAGACGTTACTGGGCCCGCTCGAGCAAATCGATGACCAACGAGAGGGCCTTTACTTTTACTTTACTTACAATTTAATTTAATTTTTTATATTTTTTATTTTATAAAGTAGTTCACAATGGGCTGGAGCGATAGCACAGTGGTAGGGCGTTTGCCTTGCACGCAACCAACATGGCCAACCTGAGTTTGATTCCTCCGCCCCTCCGGAGAGCCTGGCAAGCTACCAAGAGTATTCAATATGCCAGACACAGTAACAACAAGGTCTCCAATGGAGACGTTACTGGGCCCGCTCGAGCAAATCGATGACCAACGAGAGGGCCTTTACTTTTACTTTACTTACAATTTAATTTAATTTTTTATATTTTTTATTTTATAAAGTAGTTCACAATGGGCTGGAGCGATAGCACAGTGGTAGGGCGTTTGCCTTGCACGCAACCAACATGGCCAACCTGAGTTTGATTCCTCCGCCCCTCCGGAGAGCCTGGCAAGCTACCTGTGACGTATTCGATATGCCAAAAACAGTAACAACAAAGTCTCCAATGGAGACGTTACTTGGCCCGCTCTAGCAAATCAATGAACAATGGGAGGACAGTGACAGTTCACAATATTTCATTACATTTAATAATTAAACACCAATCCCACCATCATTACGCCTTCTCACCACCATATTTCAGTGTTTTCATCCCGAATCCCAATCCCTGCCTCAAAGTGGAACTGAAATAGCATATTTTGTATTGTTTGTTATGAAAAACCACTGAAAATGTTGTTAGAAGTTGAGCCTTGTATGCATATATATATATATATATACATATATATCTGTAAAAAATATTTCCCTCTAAGATTGGTTGCCTCCTATTTTGAACTCCATCTTGGAGTACTCTTGGAGTATGGGTAGGATGTGTGGTATGAAGTGCCGCATGGCCATGAATGGGGGCATGGCGCATTTTTAAAAAATACAATGCCTTTGTATTATAACATCCATATAGTCCACTAATTCTCATGTCATGACTAGACCATTGGAATTATATTTGAATCTGCTGTTTCCTCAGTATATCTGTCATTAATATGATATATGACATGAATCTTGACTGATATTTTTGTTTACATTAGGAAATTTTAAAATTTTAATGCACATCCGTATATCACTAATTTGTGAGCAGCTTCTTGAAAGTGAGGTAATAGCTTTTGTAATTTTTTGGGTTTTTTTGTAACTTTTGAAGAGTAGTTTGTCAGTTGTTTTGTTTTATTCATAATAAAAACACTTCAAACACAACAAACTTTAACATTTCATGAATTTACATATTGTTTTTTACTTTTTGAGTCAAGGAGGGGCTGTAAACTGAGGCTCTTAAGTCAAATGAAGTTGGTCAGAGTTTGTTATAGTACATAGACTGAGTGGCTTTTTATATTTAAAAAGAAAGGAGAAGGAAGGAGGAAGAAGAAAAAGGAGGAAGAAAGATGCAACAAAGATCATGTGATTCCCCAGGGCTGAAAACACATCCTATGTGACATTTGCAGAAAATAGCAACTGGCCTCAGGGACAATGAAACCATTAAAAAACAAAAGAAAATAGTCCCCTACCCCCACCCCCCAAAATCTAAGTAACAACAACAAATCAAACAAACCCTAATTGGTAAGATTTTCTAATTTTCATAGAGGAGGAGTTCCCACCATGGCTGATTTCAATCCAGCCACCTCACTGAACATGGAGTTAGGAAAAAAGGCATAGTAGCACTATATTCTAGGGATTTTTTTCTATCACACAGGATAAAGATGTATGTAATCTCAAGTGTATAAGAGATAGTTTGAGATAAAATACTTAAGAAATGAGTATTGGGTTCTAATTATCTTTAAAACTATAATCTACTTACGTGAATATCTACATAATTTAATTTTTAACAATGGCTATGTTTAACTTTTAACAGTGCTGCAAAATCCTTGAATAACAAGTTTCATTTTTGCAAATCTATACACACAAGGTCTAGCAAACCAAACCCAACTTTGGGGTGGGAAGTGATGCCGAGTCCGGTTGAGAACTGAATATCTTGTAAAATACAAAATCAGATGAAAGAAAAGTATCATTTCTTTTCATTTCATAAAACTAACATGTTATGCATGAAATGGTTTCATAAAATTTCCTTTTGTCTTTGCAGTATGTCGACAAATTAGACATAACAGACCTCTCATGCCTTACTGACCATAATTCAAGTGAAAAAAATTGTGTGATTTTTACCCTGGTTTTGCCAAAAGAGGAAGTGCAACTAAAGGTGAGTGACAAACAATTACTCTGAAATGAGTTTTGACTATAAGTAGCATTCGCCTTTACACATTCCAGTAGCTGAGTGAAGAGGAATTCTATTAGGAGTGTCGATTCTTATATGTTAATACATATTGCCCCTGCCCATTTTCTCACTAGGGATTTTAAAGGACATGTTCAGTTGTTTAGTATACAAGCAAGATGTTGAAACCAGATACTTCTGTCCTCTGACAAAGTCAGAAATCACACCTGGTGTTTAGTAAAAATGTTGTTTTGGAATTGGCATTTCACCAAGTTCTCAGAATATTCTGAGTCATGTTTAGCATGATGCGTGCTTGTCACATTGAATTAGGCAAATCTGTATTTTATGAATTGAGAAATATCCTGCAAGGACATTACCTACACTCATTTTTTTCTTTATTTTTGTTATTTTTTATTTTGAGGGTCACACCCAGCAGTGCTGGGGGTTACTCCTGGCTCTGCACTCAGCAATTACTCCCGGTGGGGCTCAGGGAACCATATGGGACGTTAGGTGTTGAACTCAGGTCGACTGCACACGCAAGGCAAATGCCCTACCTGCTGTCCTATCACTCCAGCCCCAGGGATCTACACTCTTAAGAAATACCCTTATACAAAAGAGTCAAAGACACATTTGATACCTGTTCTCAAATATGGAGAATGTAGGGTTATGAAAACTAAATGCAATGTGAGATTCTGGATGAGACCCAAAAAGTGGCAATAAGGGGTGGGTGAACATTATTAAGGCTGAATGAGATGGAGTCAGAGTGACAGTATAGTTGGTAGGGTGCTTGTCTTACATGCAAGTTCTGATCTGTAGCATCCCATGTGATCCCCTGCACAACACCAGCAATAATTCCTGAGTGCAGAGCCAGGAGTATGCCCTGAGCATCACCAGGCATGTCCCCAAACCCACCCCCACCAAAAAAAAATTCAATGAGAATTGTAGATTTGATTTACATAATTTGTGAAATAGATTCACCTCAAATTGAAATACATAAGACAGATGTTTGTTCAGCTCCCCATTGTATATCCAACACATTAACTCACTTACAGACACTCAAAATAGTTCTTGAATTGATATTCAAAGAGAGCCAATTAAAATTAATCAGCAAAAATAGCGATGTGGAGAGCAAATTACAATCGAATAAGATGTTGTTGTTGACCTTGAAAGCAATGCTATAAAACTTTGATGTATGCCAAGGCACTGGTTGAACTAGACAAGAAAAAATCATCTAACTTCATCAGGAAATGAGGCAATGAAATGAACAGGAACTTTTTCAAAGAAGAAATTCAAAGAGCCAAAAGGCACATGAAAAAAGGTTCTTCATCACTGATCATCAGAAAGATGCAAACCAAAACAATAATGAGATATCATCTCATACGACAGAGACTGGCACCCATCCAAAAATAAAACAAGAACAACCCGTGCTGGTGTGGATGTGGGGAGAAAGGAATTATTTTTCATTGTTGGTGAGAAAGCCAACTAGTCGAGCCTTTCTGGAGAAGAATATGGACATTCCTCAAAAAAACTAGAAAGTGAGCTCACATTTGACCAAGCAATACCACTTTGGGGAATATACCCTGGCAGCCCAAAAACACAACAGCAGAAACACTATCTGCACTTCTATATTCATCGCAGCACTAGTCACAGTAGCTGCAATCTGAAAACAACCTGAGAGCCTGAAGACAGAGGGATGGATAAAGGAATGATGGCACATTTACACAATGAATGCTAATGCAGCTGTCAGGAAAAATGAAGTCATGAAATTTGAGGGAAAAAGAAAAATTAAGACAACAGAGACTGAGACAGAGACAGAGACAGAGACAGACCAAGACAGAGACAGAGACCAAGACCGAGGAGGAAGAAAAGTGCCTGCACAGAGGCAGGCTGTGGGGTGGAGGGTGGGAGGGAACCTGGGGACTCTGGTGGTGGGAAATGTACACTGGTGGAGGGATGGTCCTGGCATACTATTTGACTGAAACCTAATCATGAACAGCTTTGTAAGGGTCTATCTCACAGTGATTCAATACAAAAAGTAAAAAAACAGACAAAAAAAAAAACCCTTTGATGTACAAGTCATTTTACTTAGAATTTAGTAATTTAGTATTTAGTATGCTAAGCCTGGGCTGTCCAATCTACATTCTCTGGGGGCTCCTTAGATGATCTGACACTGGTTAAGAGCACTGGATTGGATCAGTGCCTATGTTTGAATTCTGGAAGTTTTGTTCATTATCTGTGTGCTCATAGGCAAATCACCTAACCTCTTTGTGCCTTAGGGTTTTTTTTCACCCTAAAAGCAGTCTTCTTATTGAGACTCATCTGAATAATATTAAAATTGTAATGCCATTTCCCTACCGTAACCTCTAAAAACATGCCCAGTCTTTCTTAGGTAGAGTTTTTTTTAACTGATTGAAATCTTAATTAAAAAAATTATTGAACCACTGTGAATTACCAACTTACAAAGCTATTCATGGTTGAGGTTACGGTGTGCAATGTTAATGTTCAACAATCCCCTCCACCAATGTCCCTAGTTTCCCTCCCAGCCCTGGACCTGTCTCTGGCTGGCATTTCTCCTTTTTAGTTTTTTTCTTAAATTATAGTGGTTTGCAGCACTGTCACTGAACGCACATCACTTTATCTCCTTTCAGCACCCAGTTCCCATCCAAACTGAACACTTCCGCCTATCACTGTAGGTCCCTTCCCTGTCCAAACCCCTGTATCCCCACTGTGGTAAGTTTCCTACAAAGGACCAATTCTCCTTTTTTTCTATTGATTCTATTGTTTCTCCTTTATTTCTATTGTCTTTCATGGAAAAAGTTTTATTTTCCCATTTATTTCCTTCCGATACCGTAAAATTTACTATTGTGCTTTCTATTATTTCTTGCTAGACCCTAAATTCCAGGAGAATGAGGGTTTCTGTTTTGTTCCTGTTGAAAATTAATACCCAAACGTCTAAAATAGTGCTTAGCACTTAGAGACATTGAGTACATGCTAAATGAAAAAAAAACCCGCAAAATTAAATTAACATTTTCAGAGTTGCCATGCCACAAATGTGTCTGTCAAGTGATTAGAACAGTCACTAATGCTTATAAGCACTTAACGAATGTTGGTTGTTTTACTGATATTTAAAAGTAAGAATTGTAACCTGATGGTCCAAGAATTTTTGGGGGGGGGGGCAACTGAGTTCAAATGTGGGTGCATAACACCTTCCATGCAGAAGAATGACGAGATGGGGGACCACAAACTGATGCTCAAAACGGCCTGTTTAAGTGCAGAGCTGCTAGCATGCTTATAGAATATCTGGGGCAGTTTGAGGTGCAGGAATGCAAGTAGGTGTCATTGATCATTTACAGAGGTAAAGCATTTCTTAATCCTCCAAATGTGGGGATTAACTCAAAGAGATTCTGTCTCCCGGGGACATATATATTGCCTTTATTCTTTCCTTTAGTTGTACATATTGTCCTCCCGTTGTTCATCGATTTGCTCGAGCAGGCCCAGTAACGTCTCCATTGTGAGACTTCTTGTCACTGTGTTTGGCATATTGAATTCTCTCGGTAGCTTGCCAGGCTCTCCGAGAGGGGCGGAGGAATCGAACCCTACTCAGCTGGGCTGGCTGCGCACAAGGCAAACGTTCTACCGCTGTGCGGAGTGAGAGCACAGTTGTACATATTAAACAGTTATTAATACTTGCAGTTATTTGGATAAACACAGTAAGACATATAGATTCCCAAACTTAGTTCTCTGGGCTCCGAAGGCAAGCAAGGCTTTTACTATAAATCCCAGACTAAGTCCTCAGGTCGATTCATCTTTACCTTCCCTGAGGAGTCCTGCCTCTTAAGTCATAATGGTTTTCATCAAGACTGCTTTTATGCTTTCTAGACTATCCCATCTCTATGCCAGGATAGCTTTGTTGCTTTCCCTGGATCCATCCCAATCCCACAGCGGGACCTCCCTTTGTGGGGTGTTAGGAACTACGGCAACCAAAGTCTGAGTAAAGTAATTATGATGGATGTCTGGGAGTAGATATATTTCAGAGTCAATCAACTCCCAAATGTTAGGAGCATAGCATTTATGGTCTTTCTGTGTTTAAGCAAAGAACACTGCTCTTTAGTGAAAAATGAAAAGGCTAAAGGGGAAATAAAAATGCAAGTAATTAACGATAAATACAAAGTCCAGAATCAGCTAAGTAACCAAGCCTGATTTGGGGAATTGCAAAGCACAAAGGAAAGGTTAAAGATAAACTCAAAGGATTAGGGGTACTTATAAGAACACTGTAAGCTTCTCTGGAGAGGGAGGTAAAGGGGAAATTCCTTGGTGAAGCCTAAAACACTTAGGGTTAATATCCAACATGCCATATCCATTGGTGCTCAGGCCATACTCGGGCTGTACACTAAAGAGTCCCTGGCAGGTTAGGGGACCATACAAGGTCCTGGAGATGAAATGTGATGAGCCACCCGGCCCCTGTACTAGAGTATAGTATGAATACTAGCTCTTTGTCCCCTGATTGACCCAGATTTAAAGATGGTCAATTAGAGGAGTAACCATCAGTTGACATATTCAGACATGTGTGTTAACATTTAAATTTTGGGTGTTAAGTATCTTTGTGAAGTTAAAACTTACACAAAAGGTTAAAGCTATTTCTGCATTCTGAAAATATAAAATGGCATTCAAACACAAGTTGTTTATTTATTTATTTATTTTTGCTCTTTGGGATCACTCCTGGCTCTGCACTCAGGAATTACTCCTGGCGGTGCTCAGGGGACCATATGGGATGCTGGGAATCGAACATCGAACCCAGGTCGGCTTCGTGCAAGACAAATGCCCTACTGGCTGTGCTATTTCTCCAGTCCCCATGAGTTGTTTCTTTGAGTTGAATTTTTTTTTTTTTTTTGCTTTTTGTTTTTTGTTTTTGGTTACACCCAGCAGTGCTCAGGGCTTACTTCTGGCTTTGTGTTCAGGGATGACTCCTGCCAGGCTCTGAGGACCATATGAGATGTCGGGGATGAAACTGGGGTTGGCCCCCACAAGGCAAATGCCTACTTGCTCTACCATAGCTCTGGCCCCCAGGAGCTGATTTCAGTTTGCTTTAGAAACTATAATACTTTCAAGCTTTTACTTTTACTCTTTTTTTTTTTTTTTTTTGGTTACACTCAGGGCTTTTTCCTGGCCCTACCAGGACAATTTGCAGTGCCTGGGATGGAACCCACGTCAGCCACATGCAAAACATCTTAACCCCCTCTTCTGTATCTCCTGCCCCTACAATACGTTTAAAATAACACGTTTAATAGAGGAAGTGTCACTCTTGCTTGGTCTTGATGGCTTTCATAATTTTAAGTTTAGAAAGCAACCACATGAAATTCTAAAGTCATTTGAAACTGATAAACGTACTAGCATTCATAATTTGTGTTTTCTTTTTTGTGTTTGTTTTTTTGTCTTCCTCTTTAGACAGAGAACACAGAAAGTGGGGAAGAATGGAGAGGCTTTATTCTCACAGTTACAGAGGTAGGTAGGATATTACTTTTGATTGGATTAATTAATTTGAAGATATTTGCTGAATACTTACTATGAGCCATGCAGAGTAAAGGGGTTGAAGGTCCAGCACTTGAAAAATACATATATAAATCCTTAAATTTACTCATGAAATCTCTACTTTTATCAGGTAGATGAAAAGAAAGCAAGCAAGTAAGTAGGTCAAAATAATTTCATATTGTGATAATTGTTAGGAAGAAACAATACAATGTAACATGCTAGCTGTAAAAATAAAGTTCCCACAGAGATCACTTTTATTTTTATCATTTTGATAGTTTTCTTTTGCAAATTCCAATATTTGTAGCCTTTAGAGCAGCTTCTAAAATACTTTTATACAATTCCTTTCCCAGTCATTTACTATATATTAATAAAAATTAAATGAGATAATTTTATGAATAACACAGGCAATATAATAGGAGAAACAACCAGAATTTTTATTATTTTGGTGGTTGGGCCATACTAGCTATGCCTCGAGTTTGGTTTACCCTGACAGTGGGTTAAGGGATTACTCGTGGTGGTGCTGAGAGATTATATTGAGCCATTAAGCTTGAACAGGGTCAGCCACACTCAAGGCAAGTACCTTACCCACTGTAGTAACTCTTGCACCCCTTGAGACCATCAGAATTATATCATCTTGAAACATTTGTTTCCTGAACCTTAACATAATGAAGGTATGCATATCTACATAACTTTGTGTCAATTTACCTGCTGCAAATACTAAGAGCTACACCTATAGTGAACTGTTGTAGCAAGATAGTTATTATTTTAAATGAAGCCACTTTAGGGCTGGAGCCATAGTACATCATGGGCACCAGGCTTGTATTGCATGTGGTTCCCTGAGCACTGTCAGGAATGATCCCTGAGCACAGAACCTTAATAGGAATTTGAGAAATACTAGACTCAAGTATGTAATCACATAGATGACTAGAAATCTGTGTGTCTCTCTCTCGTCACCTGTGTTCAGTGGTCTCGGGCCACTTCCCCACCCAGGATGGCTAGTGCCATGGGCGGATGAAGGAGGAAATGAGGGTCGGGCTAGTTGGTGATCAGTTGCGGTTTATTCCATTCTCCCCATACACCTGCTCCAATCTCACTAAGCCCCTCATTCTAGTCTCACTGTGCCTCTCATTCCCGTCTCCTTTCTCTCTCGTTCATCTCTCCACCCTCCCACTCACTGCCTTGGTCTCTCTCTAGTCTCTCACCAACTCCCCGCATTGGGGATAGCAACCAGACCCAGGTTCAGTAGCACAATCAATATATGAAAGCCCTCCGCTCAAGGGCGAAAGGCCACTTAGGGATTTCTTCCTTTCCTTAGTCCAATGATTAATATGTTAAGTCTACTTCTTAATATTAGTTACTTTGTATGGACACAGTAAGAGATACATTAAGCTCGTAGGGTGGCTCTCCTGGGGACATCTTGCTATAGATCTCAGACTACAGTGCTCAGGCCAGATTAATCTTCCCTAACCCTAGCAGAGTCCTAATCTAGTTGTTACATTTTGGATCATGACAGAATTTGTCCATGACCATTCTCTTAACTTATAGTTAAGCATTACGGTGCTTCAGTCTGGCCCATTTTGATGCCAGGGTAGTTCACAGCTTGCCCTGGGTTCATCCAGTCCCTTGTCAGGACCCTGTTTTATGGGTTCTAGGAATTAAGGGCAATTGAGGGAGGCTTAAGTCAAGAGAACAGATGCCTCAGAGTGAATACCTTTCGGAGTCCACTAACTCCCAAGTTACAAATGCATATAGCATTAACTGTCTTCCTGTGTCTTTACAAAAAGGACATTGCTCTGAATTAACTATGCAAAGAACTTAAGGAGAAGAGAAAAGCAATATTTACAGGTTAACAGAGTCTGATTGGGAGGTAAAGGTGATTGACTGGTTGGGGAAGCAGAGCACAAAGAAAGTGGCTTCAAATAAACACAGAGAAATGGGAGCACAATGATGTGAGTAACCCAATAAACTTAAGCTCCCTGTGGCAAGGCCGAAAGGACAAACCAATGTTATCCTACATTCAATTAAAGAATTCAGGTGGTGCTTGTAAATGAACTGAATTAAGAAACGTTGTTTACCATTAACATTTATCAACATACTCATGGCCATATCAGCATAGGAAGTCACTCAATTTCAAAGACAGTACTTGAAATGGTTTTAAAAAATATTCTAATAGGCAGAGAACAGAATCATAATGTGTGAATGTAAGTCTGTAATCCACTTATAATTACAGAAATACAGCCCTGTGATGCTGATTCTTTGATGAATGGCTCCATCCCAGTACCATGTTGCACACAGTTGGCTGTGCTCATTCTAGGCTACCAATAGAGCTAGGCTTCTTGCAGGTGTTCTGGGAACTTCCTGTCAGTGAGAAGACAAATGAGGTTTGTTGTTACTTGAATTATCTTGTAGTGTAAGATGGGTATATTTTGTTGCGGAGCCATTTCTTAGGAGTTTCAGCACATGGTACTGATTTTGATTAGCTTTCTAAAATTAAAAAAAAAATAACATATTTTGTTTTGTTTGGGGCCACACCTGGTGGTGTTCAGGGGAAACTTCTGCTTTGTGCTCAGGGGTCACTCACAGCAGTGCTCAGAGGTGCAGAGGAGAGTGAGGGTCAGTTTAATACAAAGCAAGCACCTCAACCCCATACTGTTGCTCTGGACCCTAATTTTGTTTTATTATTGTAGTTTAGGTACCATGTTTACAATAGTGTCTACAGTTTTGATGTAGTTACTGCACCTTGCTATCACCAAAATTTCCAGAATTTTCTGTTGCTTCTAGTTCACCTCTCATTCCCCACAACCAGCTCCCTCCAGTTTGGTGTTCTGTTTGTAATCCAAGGCCAATGGTTTATTGTCACTTGATACTGTCTATTCCATTGTTTTGTTTCTCTTTATCATAGATGAGTGAAATCACCTGGTATTTGTCCCTCTTTATGACTTATTTTGCCTAGCATGATAGCCTCCACTTCCTTCCAAGTTGCAGTGAACTTTAAGATTTTATCTTTTTCTTTCAGCCGCAAAGTATTACATTACTAGTTAGTTTTGAAGCTGTTTTAGACACCCACCCTACACCCAATCCTCTATTTGTGATTCTACCCATCCATATTTCTCAGGTAAACAAAGGGCTTTAGGACCAGAAGGAATTCATTCACTAAATTAAAATTACTTGCTAAAATCACTCCTTTTTGCTGTTTTTTTTTCTTTGCCTTCTACATTAATTGATTTCAGTTGGCAGTTCCCCAAAATGTGTCTCTCCTTCCTGGACAAGTAATTAGACTTCATGAAGTCCTAGAGAGAGAGAAGAAAAGGAGGATTGGGACAGAGTGGTCAAGTACATCTCTGAAAAATGAGAAGCAACCAATTGAAGATTATGTGGATGTATTGAGCCCTATGCCAGTGTGAGTACTTAAAATCTCTAGTTTATTGAATTGTAAATATTAATTTCTAATTATCAAGGGGCTAGTCACTAACCTTATGAAACCAGGGACAAGAAGCTGTCTCATAGATAGGCAGCGATTTATTTCAAAATGCATGCCACATGTTTCCTCTCCCATATCATGATTAACAAAATGTGAAATGCAGATTTAAGCCAACTCTATTACCACACAGGAAATCCCCTCCACCCACACATTTTGACTTAAGTAGCTGTTCTTTCCAAAGCTCAAACTAAATAAAAACTGCTGTCAAGAGGGGAGGAAAAGATGGTTTTTTCACCATGCAACCATATGATTGGCTGCTTTTCTATTTGAAAATTATACCCAGAGAATTTTAAATACCTGAATATTTTCCCTAATTTTATGGTCGATCAGTTCAGTCTTTGGGCTTTGAGCAGCCCCTGTGTACGTAAGGGAGGTTCATAGAAAAATGAAGAGGTACAGCACATGCTGAATTCAGTGGTTTTTTATATTTATTTTTTCTTACATTGTTGAAAGTGTGACAAAGATTATAAGCTCTTTCAGCCCCTTAGAACCTTGTCAATAATGTTTGCTTCTATATTTCTGATAGCAGGTTGTAATGTACATTCCACTTGTACCACAGTCTCTAAAACCTGTCCACCATCATTGTTAGCTGGAGCAGTGGCATCTGGTGAAGCAACAGTTTAAAAATCACACAGATTGCTTCTTTTTCTCAATAGAACAAAGAATATATACTTATGTTCTATAGATAAATAGGAAGGTTGAAATGATTTCTCATCTCCTCACTCTGATACTGACTGTAATATTTTGGTAGATAGCATATCTTGCTACATTTTTAAAGCTATATAGCTCATTGGCTACTATAATACTATGAAAATAAGATCGCCTGTATTACACTTTTGGCACACATTAAGACCAACCATGCCATCAGTGCTGTGTTATTCGAAAAGAGTGAGCTTAGATTCATTTAAGTATCAATTGTTTAAAACATGAACCATATAAGAAAAGCATAGATAGAGATGTGTTGTATTTCTTAAGAGAAAGCAGTCAAGAGTCTGAGAGATAGTATGGGAAATCAAAGCACATGCTACACATGCACCTAGCACCAGTTTGATCTCTGACACCACATCTCTGATCCCTGTAGCATTGCCTGAGCAGCATCCCTGGAGGAGCACTGCATCCTCATGCCCTAGCATCCAGCAACCATCCTGGCTGATTAAGAATCAACAGGTGAATGCTGCTTGGGATACCTCCTTCTGCCCCTTCAAAGGAAAAAACAAGTATTATTTATAACTCAAGACTGAAGATTCTTATGTTAGATTTTAGTGGCAGTAGTATATTTTTCAAGTCCCTTTTGGTTAGAGGCATTGAAGGGATTGGGGAAAGAGGCATAAGCGTAGTTGTAGCACATACTTGTAATAACAGTACACAATAATAATGTGATTGTAAGAATACGGCTGGAAAACGAGGGTAGGAGGGATACTAAATAGTGCCCAGGTGAACTGGGGTCCACTTTGGATACTTGGACAAGTGTTCAATGCAAGAACTCAAAGAAGAAAAACTGTTTGTGTCCTCCAGGTCTAGGAGTTTGGGGACCCTTAGGGAACACCTGAGGGTACTCAGGGCCTTGAGGGCTGCACCCATCAGTGCTCTGGGGACTACATGGTGTCAAGGACACAACCTGCTTGATTAAATCTAACTCCCATACTAAATCCCTGACCTGATAAAACTGGAATTTTATGGTCATCGAGTAATTCTTTAAAGTTCTTTAAACATTTTTCAAGTAATGAAATTTACTAGTTAAAGAACACCTTTTATTTTCTTTTGAGGTCACACCCAGCAATGCTCAGGGGTTACTCCTGACTCTGCACTCAGGAATTACTCCTCATGGTGCTTGGGGGACCATCAGGAATGCCGGGATTGAATCCAGGTCGGCTGCATGCAAGGCAAATGCCCTACCCGCTGTACTATCACTTCAGTCCCACATTTTCCCTTTTAATCTCTCCTCTGTAGATGCTTTTATTCAGTCTCCCGAAAAGAAGCAACTGAGATGCTGGAGAAGAACCCTTCCTTGGGAAACATGATTCTGAGGCCTGGCAGCGACAGTAAAAACTACTCCATCACTATCAGACAGGAGACAGAGTATGTTTAATTAAAATCATGTAGAATTAGTAACAGTATCACCCTACTTTAGAAAGCACAAGAAATGCTAGCAATTTGATGGGATTAACTATATGAACAAAAGAACAGATAGAATGTTTATGAGCAATGCTAAAGATTGAGCCAATGCTAATATTTTCAAGTAGGGAAGAAGAATAAGCAATTTAACTCTGAATAGTTTGTTTATTTGTTAATTTCAACAAATATCTGTCAAGCAACTACTGTTGACCTAGTATTGTTCTAGTTATTGCAGACACAGTTGTTAAGAAAGCAACATCCTTGCTTTAAAAAATTTCATTTTTGTAAGGAGACACAGGATAAATACACAAAAATGTACTTTTTTCTGGGATCCGTGGTGGTGGGAAATGGGCACTGGTGAAGGGATGGGTATTTGATCGTTGTATAATTGAAACTCAGCACAAAATTTGTAAGTCTACAACTGTACCTCATGGTGTCTCACTAATAAAAATTAAAAAAAAGAAAAAAATTTTTTAAAAATGTACTTTTTTGATTTTTAATTTCAACCCTTTATTATTATTTTTTTTATTAGTGAAACACCATGAGGTACAGTTATAGACTTACAAATTTTAGTGGTACTACATGGAAAGTATCATGTTAAGTGAAATGAGTCAGAAAGAACGGGATAGACACAGAATTTATCAATATTTGCACCAGAACAACCTAGATAGCAGGTATATAAATCAAGAGGAAAGAGAAGGCTTAGTTTGTTCAAGAAATATAAAGGTCACTAATACTGAAGAATGGCCAAAGAGAAAGTGATAGAAAATAAGATTCCAGAGAAGACTGATCTCTCTAAGTCATCTAAACCTTCTTGTGATTTCATGATGTTTTTCTGTTAAGTGAATGCTAATGTTTGGAGTTATGACTTTTCAACTAGTAGATAAAATGTGATAATCAATTTAGAATTTAGTTGGTTATCTTGAAACAAACCCAAGTGAAGTAGAAATTATGACTGCCACCAAATGTCAATTGCATTTGGAAAAATTCTTCAGAGAAAAACAGATTTTTCTATTAAATGTATCTGGTATAAAAATATTGTGTCTTTTCAGGGTTTAGGAACTTGAGTAGCACTGCACTGTACCACTGTCCTCCCATTGTTCATCTATTTGCTCGAGCAGGCACCAGTAATGTCTCACAACAAATAGTGAGACTTGTTGTTATTGTTTTTGACATATTGAATACATCACCGGTAGCTTGCCAGGCTTTGCTGTGCAGGCGAGATACTCTCGGTAGCTTGCTGGGCTCTCCGAGAGGGGTGGAGGAATCAAACCCAGGTCAGCCACGTGCAAGGCAAGCACCCTACCTGCTGTGCTATTGCTCTAGCCCAGGAACTTGAGTGTCACCAAAAAATAGAATATTTTTAAACTTTACTGTCACTTTTAAAATGAGTTTATGCAGTGAAAATTTAATTTCCAGATCTTCTAATACAACACTGAATCTAACTGCTTGAAAGCAAATTAGATCACACAAGAGAGTGATCTAATTTTTAATTTTTTATTCAGAACGTCCTTTTCTAGGTTGGATTGAATGTTGAATGCATTCGTGCATGAATCCTGTGCTATTCTTCTACATTATGTGAATAATCTGATATTTAATGGGATAAAATCTAAAATGTAATCCCCCTTGCTCCCAAAGTCATATTTAGAAAGCAAGGAGGTAGAATAGCCCACTGGAGCAGCCTGAAGTTGTTGCAGTAAGTCAGCTTATTTAGATTTTGAAAAATAGTTTATGCCTGGAAGTGACTAAGGAAATATTTACTTGTTACTGAACGCATTTTTATGCACCTTTTCTATGATGGTATGAATTGTTATATGTTTTCTAATGCCTCAAAACAGGTCTTCTATACTGCATGAATACTATCTGTGCTTGAGACCACTTAAATTTAAAGGGTATCATTTATAGAGAATATTTGAATGTTAGCTCGCGGAATTGGGGTTTATAAAGCTTGTTGAAAGGCTTTGGTCAGAAGCCTGTTTTGACTTTGTCAGAAGTCTAGACTTTGTGAGAAGTCTAGGAAACACCTGCTTAACCCACAAAACCAATGCATTCTCTTACAGGTTGTAGGAGAAAAGTTCAGTCATGAAAGTCAGATAATTTGTGTCTGGCAAAACACTAGCTTAAAAGGTTATTTATAAAGCAATCTTGAAAGTAAAATGATCTCCATCTGTTAATCAGTCAGCTGTGGGAGGGAATATTATAGTTCCCAGGAAGAAACAAAAGCCCTTTCATTGCCAAAATACAAGTGACTCCTCTTGAGGTGAATGATTATTCTCCTTTACCCAGTCCAGTGATGTGTGACTTTATAGCTTACTTCGGTTTTATTGAAACTGTTATGGCTACATTTCAAGTTAGTGCTGTAAATGCTTTGTAAAGTCGTTAGACAAGGAGTCTGTAGAAAATATTTATCCCCAAACACATTGTTTTGTAAATATTGGGGTCAGAAGCTAGCAAAAATATTTACTTACATAATAATATTTATTGTTTATTACGGGAGTGTGTATTACCCTCACCCCAATGGCAGTTTACTACTTTTTTGAGGTCATAATCAGAAAACCTCAATAGAACACTTTTATAGATTCCCCTTTTCTCTTTATTCCTTTGTAAAAACAACCAAATATGAAATAAAAAAACAAATGTTAAATATAAGCGTGAAAGGCGTGGTGACTAGTTGTTTTTGTTACCTATTTTTTGCTTTAGAACTTAGTTCATTAGTCAAAAGTTCCTACAGACCCCGTTATGATTGCCAACTTTCTTTCCCTGCTTTACCATGAATGTTGACAATAGTGATGATGATGATGATGATGATGATGATGATGATGATGATGGTGATGATGGTGATGATGGTGATGACTATTACTGACACAGTCATTGCCCCGCTTACAGGTTACCATGCCGGGTGCTCTGTTGAAAGTTAGGAACAATGCAAACAGACAATATTTCTCATGTTTTTATTTTTGTTTGGGGCCACATCTTGAGGTGATTATGACTACTACTAGTTCTGTGCTTGGGGGTAGCTGCTGGCATGATGAACAGAAGAGGGGCTGGCAGGGGATCATACATTGCTGGGAATCAAACTTGGGTCTTCTGCACGCAAAGTGTATACTATTGTACTCTCTTTGGCTTTATATTTTGCAAATGAAGAAGGTAAGATTCACAGAAAGCATTAAGTGCTTAAATTACTTAAGCTCATTTGCTCGAGCGGGCCCAGTAACGTCTCCGTCATGAGACTTGTTACTGTGTTTGGCATATCGGATACGTCATGGGGAGCTTGCCAGGCTCTGCCGTGCAGGCCTGAGAGAATAAATGTGTGGGCAAACCATTTCCACAAATACGGGTTAGCCGAGTCCAACATCGCCTGAAGAGGACGGCCCGCCACGATCAAGGGAGATTCCTTCCTTATTATTATTTAAGCATGTGCACAAATTACTAAAAAATAGTTATTATTGAAAGTTTGTGCCAGGCACTGTAATAAGGACTTCTCAAATATTCAGAATGTTTCATGAAAGGCACTGCAATCTTTGTCTCATAGGAATTTGAACATTGATCTTTCTATTTAAAAAGACATGCCCTTCAAGATTTCTGTCTTCCAATATTTATTTCATTGTATTACAGACATTTAATTTGAATGTGCAGGAGTTTTCAAAAGTAACTGCATACTCATAAGGTTGTTTATGGTCGGGGAAATGATGAAAATAGAACCTGTCACCCCAAGGAGGGTGTTTGTGAAACTGCCTCTGTCCAGAGATGTTTCCCTTACCTGTAGGTTTCTGAACATTCGGTATTAATTACATTTCTTCCTTTTTCTTTTAGATGGAAAGGGTTGCTTAGGTTTTGTCCTGTGTTTTTAAAGTAAAGTTTTAGAATAAGCTATTACAATGACTTTATTAGCTGTTTTCAAGCTACTCTGAGACAGGATAACATGCTAATATAGAGAAAATTTGGATAAGGTGGTGGACCAGCAGAGAGCCCTTTGAATAGAAGTATAGTTCAGTGCTAGGGAAATGTGACCTGGAAATGAAGAGATAAGTGATGAAAAAGGCCCTCTGGCAGTTTAACCGATGTTGGTTAAGATAGCCACTGTGTTCAACATGTCAAATTACTTGGCTTTTCAAAAAAAAAAAAAAAGTCAGCACAGTGCTGTTAACCTTTCAGCATTGTAAGTCTTTATTTAAACACTTTTGCCACATAAATCAAGTGAATTCGAGACAATCCTAATGTTTAAAGCTAAGTGGCATGGAGACTGACTTCTGCTGTTAGTAAAAATTAAATTAAATTTTATGGGCCAGAGTGGCAGTATACAAGTAGTGCACTTGCTTTGCACACCTCTGACCTGGATTCAGTCCCCTGCTGCCCAAAGCCCTGATGGGGGTGAGCCCTGAGCACAGTCAGGAAGCTCTGAGCACCAATAGGAGTGACCCAAAATAATGGCAATAATAAAATAATAACAATAAAAATTGAGGTGCATGTGTTTCTTGTACTTACACAATTCACAGTCAAATTACCATGTTACAGTACTAATTCAGAGTGCTATAACACTATAAAAGAGAAAGACATTAAAATTCATCTGCTATACTTACATTCCCACTACTCAATATTTTTTCCACATCTCTAAATGAGTTGATATCCAAGCTGTGGTTTATGAGCTAGCAGGACGATTGGACAAAAACAGGGGTAATATGTAGTTTTCTTATTTAATATAGAGAATATATATTAGATTTGTGAATGCCCACATAAAATTTATGTTGTCTACTTTGTTGTCATTAGAAAAAATTAGAGGGGCTCGAGTGATAGCACAGCAGGTAGGGTGTTTACTTGCACATGGTCGAGCCGGGTTCGATTCCCAGCATCCCATATGGTCCTCTGAGTACCGCCAGGAGTAACTCCTGAGTGCAGAGCCAGGAGTAACCCCTGTGCATCGCCGGCTGTGATCCAAAAAGCAACAAACAAACAAACAAAAAACTAGATATTAATTTCTGCCTGAAAGTTTTCAGTTTTTTATTTTATTATATTTTTTCTTCACTTTCACCCACTTAGTGACCCAGGGTTCCTATAGACCTAAGTGTATAGGTTCCCTACTTCCAACAGAGACAGAAAACTGGTAAAGTAGGGGGAAAAAGCAACTAATTTGTGTATTTGTGTGTTGGGAGGGCAGCTGGGACAACATACAATCATGGGAACATTAAGTTTGCTATGCAGGTGGTATTTTATATGCACCTTAATTTAATTTTACCCAACTGTATGATCAAATGGAAATTATCTTTTTCTTTCTTCATTTCTAGTACGCCAAGAATCAAGCACTACAAAGTGATGAGTTCAGGGAAAAGCTACACTATCGAATTGGAAAAACCTGTAAGTAGTGAATGCTTGTTGTTGATTTTTTTCTTGCTTCTTCCCACTCGTATCTTATATGATACATAGGCAAGGTTGGGAAGCAGGCTTCTTGCCTACGAATCTTGTGCTAATGAAAAAGGAAAAACAGTCATTCAAGGAGCCCAGGTGGCAGCAACCTGGGTAAGAACTGAGATGCAAGAGCAGGCAGGCGGAGAGAGTAAGATTATCTGTTGAAAATTATTCCCACTTTTTCTCTGCCTATCTTCTTGGCTATTACTGCTTTAAGGAGAAGGATTTTTCTTAAGCATTTACTTTTCATCCTCCTATTCCAAGTATTTCTGTTTTTATTTCAGGTGGGGGCACATTTTGCAAATACCTAGTCCTTAAACATGTGCCAAGCTTAAATTCAGAAATCCCACTCAGTACCAATAGTGACAAAGGGATTTTCTTTCTGGCATGTAACTCTTCCACCTCACTGACTTACAATGGTGTTAATAATTTAACTACTAGATAATTGTGTGAGGTACAGAGCTAAGTACTTTACATATGCCATCTGATTTCATCCTCAATGATTTTTTTTTTTGTTTTTCGGCTTTTTGGGTCACACCCAGTGATGCTCAGGGGTTACTCCTGGCTTTGCACTCAGGAATAACTTCTTGAGGTGCTCGGGTGGCCATATGGGATGCTGGGGATAGAACCCAGGTTGGTCGCTTGCAAGGCAAATGCCCTCCCTTTCCACTGTACTATTGCTCCAGTTCCCATCTTGCTCAATGTTTTAAAGGTAATGCCTATTATACAGAAAGGAAAACTGCTGTTTATACTAGTCTCAGAAAATGAAAATATATTAAACATGAGCTCTGTTCGGGAATCCTTAACGGAATCTGATTTAAGACTTGGTAGTAAGAAGGACCAGGGAAGTGATACAGAAGTAGCATGAAGGTATTGATATGGCTTCTCGAAAGTTGAGCTTCTAGTTCAACTTTGCTGCTCCAGTCTTAGACTTGATCAAACAGACTTGAAGGGATGATAAAAGACCACAAGGTTGCATTTCTTGTGCTTGGATCATAACCTCAACAGTGCACTAGGGGCATTTGTCAAGAGCAAGGCAGCTGCTGATTCATATCACTCCACTTATAACTTGGCTGTAAGCACTTTTCAGAACTTTCTGTTCTTATGCTTGTACCTAACTGGAATTTTTTAAGCAATCTGTGAAAAAGGGAAAAGAATCTACTTGGGGATAAGAGATCACCCTTGACCCTAGATTATAAAAATGAGGACAGGAAAGGGAATAAACAGGATGGGGGTTTGGTGAGTTAGAAGAAATAAATGGGGGGCTGGGGCAATAGCACAGCTGGTAGGGCATTTGTCTTGCACGTGGCCAACCAGGGTTTGACTCCCAGCATCCCCATATGGTCCCCCGAGCACACCACCAGGAGTAATTTCTGAGTGAAGAGCCAGGAGAAACCCCTGTGCATCGCTGGGTGTGACCCAAAAAGCAAAAAATAAAAGTAAATAAATACATAAAAATAGAAGAAATGAATGGGCAGTAACAGTGGTAGGGTCAGGAGCCTGGAGTATATCGGTGATGTAGCCATGTGATATGTGTATATATCTAAACTACAAAGCCAACAACACTGTAAGCATCAGAGTCAAACTACAACAACCAAACTGAAAAACGTGCCTGTCAAGGAGACAGATGGGGGGTGGAGGGGGGGGGGGGTTGGAAGGAAACTTGAGGACACTGATGGAGGGAAATTGACACTGGTGATGGATGTGATATTAGGACATCGTACACGTAAACAGCTAACATTAAAAAAAAAGAGTTAATGCGAAAAAATTAAAAAAAACTTCTAATAAAGGAAAGAAAGAATTAGAATGTCAAAAAATAATCTAAGTAGCCAAATACGGGAAGAAATGGTTCGGGGAGAGTGTACCTCTGCAGGTGGTACTCTTCTACTTGTCCATGGTCTGAACAGCTCTGATACCATTCACATAGCACAACCCTACTCCCCAACCAAGGATGTGTTTTGAATATTCTTCGTCATCTTCAAGTTTAATTGGGTTTACCCAGTTTAAACTCAATTGCTCGTAGGAAAAGGTTTAGGTGGCAGTAACTAACATAACTACATCCTAAATCTAGTAAATTATCCTGAGTAAATTATGATGAGATACTAAAATGCTAGATTTTCAAGCTCTAAAGTCCTTTGGCTTCAAGCAGAAATAATCTATGGCTAAAACGGATTTATTTAAAGAAAACAGGAAGTAGAGTGGCTGAAAGGCTATAGCCAAAACCTTCATGGATTCTAAGTAGTTACAGATTTCCCCAGTATCTAAAAAGCAGAGTATTCCTACAATATCTTTTTTTTCCCTGCTTTTGGGGTCACACCCGGCGATGTACAGGGGTTATTCCTTGTTCATGCACTCAGGAATTACTCTTGGCGGTGCTCGGGGGACCATAAGGGATGCTGGGAATTGAACCTGAGTCGGCCGTGTGCAAGGCAAATGCCCTACTCGCTGTGCTATCACTCCAGTCCAGGACATAATAAGAGCAGAAATAATATGATAAATACATACATGCATCAACTAGTTGATGAGACAGAGACTAAAAGTGCCATTTACTACTAAAGGTGAACACTACCTCTAGAATGCAGTTAAGCATGCTAAGTTGCACTTTTTGCCTAAAAGCAGAAATTCTCTTTGCATTTCTTTTGCTTAGCAAGATCAGATACTAATCTAGGTATTTCATGAAAGGAAAGTGGAGAAACATGCATTTTTGAAAAGCTGAAACCTCTACTTGTGGTAAGTCACATCTGATTAGGACAGTGCTCTCTTCTTCCTCCATCCTCTACTTAGGCTTTCCTAAGAGACTGAGAGTGACCACCAAGCAGAGCCTGGTGCAGACATCAAGTTCACACTGCTGGGTGTGGCCCAAATGCCTCCAAAAAGGGGTGGGGGGGGAAGGTATTTCAAATCTATTTGGATTTAATTAAAACAAGTTTTTGGCCCTAGAAATTTAGAAGGGAAACAACTTTGGCTAGGGTAGCATTAGAATTTGATCTGCCATTTGACCCAGCTATAGCACTCCTGGGAATATATCCCAGAGAGGCAAAAAGGTATAGTCGAAGTGACATCTGCAATTGTTTGTTCATTGCAGCACTCTTTACAATAGCCAGAATCTGGAAAAAACCTGAGTGCCCAAGAACAGATGACTGGTTAAAGAAACTTTGGTACATTTACACAATGGAGTACTATGTAGCTGTTAGAAAAGATGAAGTTATGAAATTTACATACAAGTGGTACTACATGGAAAGTATCATGTTAAGTGAAATGAGTCAGAAAGAGCGGGATAGACACAGAAAGATTGCATTCATCTGGGGAACATAAAGCAACAAAAAGGGAGAGTAACACCCAGGAATGGCTGAGATTAGTACCAGGAATTTTGCTCCATGAATGGAAGGCCAGCCACAGGCTCTAGGTGAAAAGGAAGCTCAGATAGAGAAGAGAGCACCAAATAAAGGGTGTTGTGAGGACCCTCCCAGGGTGGGAGAATCACGCTGAAAGTAGTCTATAGACCAAACATGATTGCCACTCAATGCCTCTCTTGCAAAACACAGTACCCAAAAGAAGAGAGAGAGAACAAGGGGGAATACCCTGCCACAGAGGCAGGATGGGACGGCGGGGGGGATGAGGGGGGGGGTGCTGGGACCCGTGGGGATGGATGACGGGCACTGGTGGAGGGATGGGCACTTGATCATTGTATATATAACTGAAACCCAAGCGCAGAATTTGTGGGCCTATAACTGTGCCTCATGGTTTTTCACGAATAAAAAAAAAGAAAAAAAAAACAAAACAAAACAAAAACAAAAAAAATAAAATTTATTAAACATTAAAAAAAAAATTCCAAGAAGTCACTGTCGGGCTTAACTCAGTCACATTCCCCTGGAAAACTGGGAAAGAGTAGGGCCCCTAATTATTGTCCACCAAAATGTATTCAGTAGAAAAGGGGTACTTCTTGAACAGGGATTCAGATATGATCATGAAGAAGAAATGAAATTCAGGGATAGGCAAAACCTTTACTATTCAGTAAGCCATCTAGGTGAGATATTAAGGATTTTCTGGAGGTCAAAAAATGTGCAATTATTTCTATTAAATTTCAGTTGAGATTTCTATTACTCTGTCTTTATACTGGTGTCACTTAACCTTCTCTCTCTCTCTTCACACAGATAACTCTCCCAAACCTCTTCAGTGTCATTGATTATTTTGTGAAGGAAACACGAGGAAATTTACGACCATTTATATATTCATCCGATTAAATCTTTGGTATGTTCTTCACTTTGTTGTGTTATGGGAAGAAAAAAAAGTCAATAAACCTTGTATGTGATTTGTAATACTAACCAGATAGAACTATAGTTCAGCAAATCATTTGCCACTGACTGTGAAAATGAGACTATCAATATCCTGATGAATGGTTAATGGGCCTATTCTAGAGAATAAATATTCTGAAGCATATAATGTTTGGTTACACAAATTTCCTTGGTTTTATCAAACAAGTTCAGAGAAAAGAAGAAAACCCTACTAATAGAAAGTTATAGAAGCCAAATGAGTCATTTAATGGTATGGTCTATCAACAATGCTAGAGACTCCAGACAAACTGAAATGCAGGAAGGGCTGCAGAGATGGGTCAAACAGGTTGAGCACATGCCTGGAGTAGCTCCTGAGCACTGTGGGGTGAAGCTCCCAAATAGAACAAGTAAATAAAACAGGGGAATTAATTACTCCCCCAGGGGTGTGTGTGTGTGTGTGTGTGTGTGTGTGTGTGTGTGTGTGTGTGAAAGCCTGGATTTCCTAGCAATGTTAAAAAAAATCACCAAATTATGGCAATTGGTAATTAGATAAATTGAGAACAGGTTTCATTTCAGTCAGAGTCAGGAGTGCAAAAAACAAAACAAAAGCTTAGTGAGAAGCTGAGTGCAACTATAGTCTAGTCTTGCTGCAAAATTCATAGGGTGGCTTGTTTATAAATTATCAATTATTTCAAAGAGTGATAGGAGACTTTAAACTGTGCACGGGACTCTGTGGCTGCACAGTTCTCATGCTTATGAAACGAGGCCTGTCAGTTTTGGGCCAGAGACAGGGCAGGGCAGTCTGGTTGTGATTTTTTCCATCCTTTGAAACAATCCTTGAAACTTATGGCCATTGACAAGCTGGAAAAAGAGATGATATATCCAATTTAGACCCTGGAACTAGTGAACAAGATAATGCAGTTGCCTGGTAAACAGCCAATAGCACAGGCTTTCCTAAGAGACTGAGAGTGACCACCAAGCAGAGCCTGGTGCAGACATCAAGGACTGCTGGGTGTGGCCCAAATGCCTCCATAAAGGGGTGGGGGGGGGGGAAGGTATTTCAAATCTATTTGGATTTAATTAAAACAAGTTTTTGGCCCTAGAAATTTAGAAGGGAAACAACTTTGGCTAGGGTAGCATTTAAAAATCCAGATAAACATGGCTAAGAAACTTGTGATAATTTAAAAACTTAATTGGAAGGAACATTTTTTTTTGGTGTGGGTATGTGTGTGGGTGTGTGTGTGTGTGTGTGTGTGTGTGTGTGTGTGTGTGTGTGTGGTGTAGGCACAACCAACTGGTCAGAACTTACTCCTGGTGCTGTTCTAAGGGGTCACGTCTAGTGGTGGATAGGGTGCTGGGAATTGAACCCAGGTTGGATACATGCAAGGCAAGCACCTGATCTACTGTACTATCTCTCCAAGCCCAATCCAAATTTAAGAAATTATCTGTTTCTCACTTTGTGTAGGAATCACATGCATACTCAGTACAGAAAACATCTGTGAACACTTAGCTTGCCTGAAAATTCTAGTAGTTATCAATTAGTGACTTGTGAGGTAGCAGTTTGTTTGGTTAGCTTTCGGTGAGAATTCTTCTTCTAATATAGTCAGGAACATCCCATCCTTTAACTTCTGCACGTTAATCCAATTTCTGGCTTTGAAATAACAAAATCCATTCAATAACCACAATGTCCCCTTTCTTTCCCCTTGTCTGTTATAAAGATTATTATTGGCCCTTTCGTCTCATTTTTGACTTCTATATTCTCATTTCTGACAGCTCTCTTAAAATAGCACAAGAGATGAACTCAGATAGATAGGGCCATCATAATATACTACTTGCAAAGACAAAAAAACCATGTAATACAAATCTTAAGGAATAAGCTATTAATATGCTTTCACCCTCTTTTTTCCTCAGAGACCAAAGGATTTCCTGGAACATCCTCAAAACAAAAAGTGAGAGATGGGAATTGAATATAAATTGCCTCCTGGATAAATAGAATGTCGGTCATCTAATACTTGCACAAATAGTATTAGTATTAATCCATATGAGTATTTGAGTATTAGTACTACTTTAATGATAAATACTAATTAATACTGGGTAGCAAATTATCTCCAAAAATGATGGTTAAATCAATAGTCATTTTACTTAATCAGCATTTTTCACATCAGCAATCTTGATTTGATTTGACTGGGCCGTTCTTGCTGCCCTTGACATGATAGTAACCAGTTTATGGCTTGACTGGGCCTGGACAGACCAAGATGGCCTCATCCACATAGCTGGTGCTAGTGGCTCTTGAATAGCAGAACAAATCTCTTCTAGTCTTTGGGATTAGCCCTCACTCATGCACTAGAAATTTTCAAACTGCAGGTGAAAAAGGTTGTTGCATACTGTTGGGCTAGAAATTTATAATGTTAAAGCCGATGCACTAGAAAACTTATTACAGAAGCTGTGAATAGGATAATTCAGTTTATGTCTTAAATATTGTATCTGCATTTCTCTTTAAAATTATGTTAATAAATATGCTAATGTTAATATTTAATATTAACAAAACATTTTGACAGTCAAGCTACAAAACGTTCTATTACCTCAGAAAATAGTTTTTTCTTCCTTTGTAATCAATTCTACTTTTCACCCACATTCTCTGGCCTTCAGTTCTAGAATTTTGCTCTTTCCAGAATGATTTTTCATAATATTTTATAAATAAAATCTCAGTACAAAATCTTTTGACTCTTTTCTTTTACTTATCATAGTGTCTAGATTTACATAAGCATGGTTTGTATTACTAGCTCACTTTTTTTTTTGTTTTTGCTTTTTTGGGTCACACCTGGTGATGCACAGCATCTACTCCTGGCTCTGCACTCAGGAATTACCCCTGGCGGTGCTCAGGGGATCATATGGGATGCTGGGAATCAAACCCGGGTTGGCTATGTACAAAGCAAATGCCCTACCTGCTGTGCTATTGCTCCAGCCCCGTTAGCTCACTTATTAACTGATTAGTATTTTAACCTTTGAAGGTATCAGTACTGATTCAACTTTTGCAAAGTGCTTACATTTTGTAATTATTAAGCTACATATTTATTAACATATTTTTGTGCTTAGTCTTCACTTTAGTAAGGTATCTAGAGATAATTGGTCTGTCTGACTTCATAAGATGGTCAAGTATTTTCTAAATTGGTCCTACCATTTTACACCTCTACATCAGTGTGTTTGAGGGCTGGAGCAATAGTACAGCAGGTAGGGCGTTTGCCTTGCACGCGGCCAACCTGCCGACCTGAGTTCGATTCCTCCGCCCCTCTCGGAGAGTCCAGCAAGCTACTGAGAGTATCTTGCCTGTAGGATAACACTCTTTTGTCCTTCCTCAGGTAGCTTAGGTTTGTCAGGTCACACCCATCTAAGAACACTGAACTTGTATTGTAAGCAATGTCCTTTCTGTGTGGACACAGGAAGACAGTTAATATTATGCTTTGTAACTTGGGAGTTGATTGATTCCGAATAATATTTACTCCTGGGCATCTGATTTCTTGACTCAGGTGCCCTTAGTTCCTAGCACCCCAAAAGCAGGGTCCCGACGAGGGACTGAATGGACCCAGGGCAAGCAGTGAGCTACCCTGGCATCAAAATGGGCCAGGCCAAAGAGCCACGATACTCAACTATAAGTTGAGGGCATGATCATGGACAAATGCTGTCATGATCCAAAAGTAAGTAACGATGAGACTAGGACCCTGCTGGAGCTAGGAAGATTAACCTGGCCTGAGGACTGCGGAATGTATAGTGAGATGTTCTCAGGAAGAACCAAACTAAATTTATATCTCTTACTGTGCTCATACAGAATGACATTGCTAGAAATATTAGAAGTAGATTTATTATAACTATTTAAGTAGATTACTAACTGAAGGAAGAACACACCCTTGTTGGGATCCCACCCTTGGATGGATCTCCTAGTAATCTGAAGTAATCTCTGTAGATGAGATTTTATCCTTGAGTTAATCTCCTGGAGGAGTGGTCTTACCTCTCTTTGTTGATTCGTCAGTATTCAACCCACCTTTATGTCACCGCCTTATGGGACTGCTATATAAACTAAGACGTAAGCTCGGAAAAGGGGTGAGAAGTGAGAGAGCTCGGGCTCCAGAGATCCAGAGTCAGAGCCAGAAGGAGAGAGCTTCCAAGACTGGGGCCCAGGAGAGAAGGAGGCAGAGAAAGACAGGAGTGAAGAGGATTGGAATAAACTACTATTGATATAGACCGGCCTGGCCCCCATTTTTTCTTCCGTCTGCCCTTGGCCAACAGCCGTTCCGATCCAGGCCACACACAGTGGCTCAAGAGCACTGAACGCAGGCGGTGAAACAGTGCCGTCCAGTGAGCCCGTGAACATACAACCTTCGGCATGATAAGATTTTACAATCTTGCCCACATGGCAAAGCCTGGTAAACTCCCTGTGACGTATTCGAAATGCCAAACACAGTAATAAGTTGTCTCACGATGGAGACGTTACTGGGCCCGCTCTAGCAAATCAATGAACAATGGGAGGGTAGTGCTACATGAGTGTTTAAAAATTCTAGTTTCATCAGGGGACCAGGATAATCCCTGGTGGTGCTGGGGACGAGCAGGCTACTCCTAGCTGTGTATAGGTGTAATGTGTCAGGAATCCAATTCAGGGCCTTCCATATAAACATCATCTGCTCCACCACTTCAGGGATCTTCCTTGTTGTCTATGTGGCTTTCATATGCATTTCCTTAAAAAAAAAGTTGAATATTTGAATATTGTTTCACAAAATATAAAGTATCTGCTGAAGTATTTCATCTATTATTTTTATTGGGTTGTTTTCTTATATTATTTTGACCTGGCTAGAAGGTAAGTCCCTCGTCAGACACCAACAGAGTCTATAGTTCAGCTGAATCACATAGGTAACCCAGAAAAATTTGTCTCTAAAATAGAATCAAAATGATCCTTTCCTACTGTGTTTCTAGTACATGGCAGTGCATGTGAAAAAGTATCGGTGGAGGATGAAAGTATCAAGGTGAACATTGAATTTTCCTATAGGCAATGTTTTAAACATAACATCAACATACAGTTCAAGGCAACCTGATGCACAAAGAAACAAGGTATCAAAGAAGAGTAGCTGAAGGAAAAAAAGAGACAAGACAGAGATTTTTGGGTCTGGGAATTATGAAACAGTAAATGATGCTTTTCATGTTCACAAAAGCAAAAGTTTGGAAATTTAAGACAATTGGAAACTTCGAAACGGCAGATTTTTGTATTTCTAGTAGAAATCTGAGAACTGAAAATACAAAGGGCTAAGAATAATATCTTACAGAATAAAAGTTGGAAGAACTTTTGCTAAACAGAGCAAAAAAACCCTATGGATTATAGTAATAGAGATGGTATACCTGCACAGGGACAGAAAGGAATTAAAAACTCAGAAAATATATGTATGTACGAATATAAAATATGCCTAATGAGACTTGTGAAAAACAAAGATTTCACGGGAATGAGATCCTTTCTCAACACATACAAAATACTTCATGAGTAAAGAACTTCAATGTGAAAGAACACTAAAACTCTCACAAAATCTGCTGAAAAACCCAGGATGTGGAACTTGTGACTGAAATCTCCAGGCTCCCATGGAGTCGGGAATGGGTGATCTCCCCCCCCATCTCCCTCTGCTTCCTGTAGCCTGGCAGTCATGCTCGTGAATTGCCTCTAGCACCATATAAGCTCATTAACAGTCATGATCCAGACTCACAAATAAACCTCAGAAAAAAGCAACACACCTCAGAGATGCCTCCAGATCCCAGTCACCATCCAGTAAAAAAATAAAATAAATAATAAATCTCAGCTATATCACCATTTTTGAAATTTTGGAATTCCTGGAGTGTGCGGCCGCACATCTCATAGTCTGCATCAAGACAAGGTCTTAATGTTTCCAGGGTGAAACGAAACAATCTTCACACACTTTCCTTTAAGAAATCTTTTTTGAATCACTTTTAGTGGATTCTTCATAACAAGCAATACAAAATAAATTACTGAGGTCATGCTTCGGGGGGGGGGCAGGCTTTGGGGGTCATGGCGGAAACATTCAAAATGGTGGAAAGGTGTAATGGTGGCACGATTGGTGTTGGAATATTAAATGTAATAAATTATTGTGAGCTTTATAAAAATAAAACACAATTAAAAAAAAGAAAAACCTAAACAACTCTCACAATGTAATATGATCATGAGAGTCTTTATGATCTGGGGTAAAGAGAAAAAACTAAAGTAAAAAAAAAAACAAACAAAATAAAAAGGGATGCTTCTTAATATCTAACAACTAAGTAGTTTACAGTGATGAATAAACTACAGTGTATTAATATTGAGATAAGTTAAACAACTATTATGAATACAGTATAGCTATAGGCAAAGATGAATCCACCTAGGATAAAAGCAGCGACAGCTATAATACACAATATGGCTTAATTTACGTAAGGTTCAAAGATTCATAAAGTAAACCATACTGCTTAGGTAACATTACAAATAAAGTCAAGTTTATCATAAAAGGTAGGGTAGTGGTAACTGCCAGACGTTATGTGTAAATAAACTGGTTGTGACTAAGAATTATCTATTATGAGAAGTTCTTGTGAGCTGCTGTTAATATTTTATTGAGAGCTGGTTATACAAGTAATCATTATGATTCTTTAAACTTCCTATTTATATTTCATGTCCTTTTGAATATAGTTAATTTAAAAAAATGAAGTGATGACACAGAAAAAAGAACACACGTAAATTACCCATGAATCACTCCTGATCCCAAAGATCTCAACTTTTTTTTTTTTTTTAAATTTTGCTTAAAGTATTAGGGTTTGGGGGTGGAGAGGTAGTAGAGGGTGGTGTGTTTGCCCTGCATGTGGCAGACCTGGGCTTGATCCTTGATATCCCATATGGTTCCCCAAGCACCGCTGGAAATAATTCCCCAGTGCAGAGCCAGGAATAATTTCTGGGTGTGATTCAAAAACAAAACAATCCACAACAAAAACTAAAATAAAAAAAACCCTGAAAAGTATTAAGGTCAGGGCTGGAGAGACAGTAGCACTGCACTGTAGCACTGTCCTCCAGTTGTTCATCGATTTGCCCAAGCGGGCACCAGTAACATCTCCATTGTGAGACTTGTTACTGTTTTTGGTATATCGAATACACCACAGGGAGCTTGCCAGGCTCTGCCATGCGCACGGGATACTCTCGGTAGCTTGCTGGGTTCTCTGAGAGGGCAGGAAGAATCGAACCCGAGTCAGCCACATGCAAGGCAAATGCCCAACCCCCAACCCCCTGTGCTATCGCTCCAGCCTGTATCCTCATACTGTATATAGCCCCTGAGCTCCACCAGGCATGGCCCTGAGGACCACTAGGTGTGTGGATCTTCATTTGACTAATTATAAAATAGTAGACTGTATAAACATTGGTTGAACTGTTTCATGCTTTTTCACTGGACAACCAGGGAGTGCCTTGACAGACAAAATAGAAAAGCAAGAATATACACACACCCTACTGAGATGATTTAGACCAGCTTATAGGTCAGTAATGTAACCTCCCTGAACTCTAAAACAGGCATGGATTTTAGAAATTCCCAATTAAGACTTACCACACCTTCTCGGTTTTATGTGTGACCACATCACTTATCCCAATTGTTACAGTAGAATTCCCAGGGATCAAAGCACAATGAAATAATCTCCAAACATTGCAGCTACTGTACTACATAGTTGTAAAGTTTCAAAATTGGGCAACACAAAACAAACATTCACATAAAACAAGTAGCAAAATCAGAATCTCTAGAGTCAATTATGTAACAAAATATCGTCAAATTTTTTAATTTATTTTTAATAAGTAAAAAAATGACTTAGTACCGTATAAAATTGACTTTTGCACCTGATATTTCAATCACTAACAGCGATCTCATGATGGTACAGAAATGAATTAGATAAAAACAGTATCATTAACTTTATCCTGCTTTTCCAGCTTTGCATAACTAAAAGGTTAACAGCAATACTCATTATTTACAGGGAAAAAAAAAAGCAAAGACAAATGGTTTCAAGTTTAATCACAAAATGAATAGTCCTTGTTATTTTGTTTATATTTGCCAAAGCACTGATCTCTACAAATAAGAACTGATAGCAGGTTCTAAATTTACTTCTAAAGAAATCGTAATTGAGGTCAAATAGAAATACTATTAGAGCAGAGTTGAGGACTATGTTACATAGCTCAAAACAGAGAAAGTAGAAAAAAAGACTTCTTACCAAAAAAAGTCCTTTAATTACTTCTAACCTCTACAGTTCCAAGTCAGAACACTGCTATTCCTACATTCAATATTAATATTAATATTTAAGTTTTACAATTTAATTTGCAATGTGCATGATGACAGGAGAAGATTTAGTGAATGAAAAGTATTTTCAAAGGTGGCGATTTACTATAGATTCATCCTGTCTACTTCTCACCTTCCAATGAGGGTTATCTTTCAGTCACACAAATTAATCCTCTACATATGCATGTACATGTATTTTTCCACTTTTATGGTTATGACACTTTTACAAAATGATAAAGCAACATAGCTAGCTGGTTGATAAAGTAATTTAAAATATTTTAAAATAAATTTAAAGAAAACTTTAGTCAAGAGTATAAAGGACACCAAAATGGATTAATACTGAGATTTTTTAACTTAAAATTTCCTACTAATTGTCTGAAAGCAAAGCAGAAAAGCAGCTCTAAGAAAACAATTTACTGTTTTATAATATGCAAATTGCTTTTGCTGTATGCATTCACTGAGTTTGCAGTTACTTATGAATATCTGCTATAGTTTTAACTTGGAAACAGAAGATTTCTATTAATAAAGACCTAAATGTTTCTTAAATTTTTTTTGTCACTTTCCGGGAATATAGAATTAATGTTTTCCTTTCAAATAAAATACCCCCCAAAATGTATTTTTTCCATTAGACTGCAAGGAAATAATCAAGACTCAGCTAGTGACTGTTTTAAATGTCTAGATTTTATCATTTCTAGGGCTATTACCTTTACAAAATCTCTTGGTTTTACAAACTATGACAATAAAGTTTAGCGTTCCAAATAAATAAACCAGCCATATCAGAAGGCAGACAGAAGAATCAAATGATCAGCTGCATTTATCTGTTCACATTAGCGGATTCTCTAAAATAAGTAGTCAGAATCCATACAATACTGTTAATATTTAGTCCAAGATAATATGTGCCATCAACTTTCAACTTACAACACTGATGCTATTAATAAAGACCCTGATTTAGGGAAAGACAGTGATGTAACAAACTCTGTTTAAAGCTCAAAGGGGCAACTATAACTGCGGAACTTGATGTCTACTTTCATCCACTGCTATCACCCCTTCTCTTTCAGCTGTTGTAAAATTCAAAGTTTAATCACAACAAGAACAAGTTGCCAAGCAATATTTGTATAGGCAAATGGGACTCAAATATATAACAAAGATAAAATTCATAAAACAGAATTCACTATTTAGAAAATTGCTTTTACAACTTTCAGTCTCTTGATATTTTCTCTCCTGTTAAGGGAATATATATATATATAGCGTTTTTCCTTTTTATTTAGAGGTCAAGATACAAATTAATGGTAAGTATTATTACATGGCATTCCAGTTCAAAGTTGCTTGCGACCATATTCTTGTATGATGCACCAGACAAGTGTATACTATGCTCCAAAAATATTACAACTCTGCTCGAAAATGTTTCTTAACTCTTCATTGTAGTTTTCTGTGGATATTTCCCTTACATTAAGGCTTCATCAAAGAGAAATCCATGGTGTTATGAGATGATTTCCTTTAGCTTTGCTGAATTATGCAATCTCGTCCCAAAATCAGTCTTGAAGAAACTTTAAGACAACTTCTGTTAATCAGTGTCATAACTAAAGTAGTATCTTACTGGAGGTCCGGGTAAATCTTCATCTCCATCAGTGTCTGGGGCAAATGACACAGTAAGATCCACATATTTCTTTTCAGTAGAAGGTTTCACAAGTTTATGCATTCTAAAAAAAAAAAAAAAAGCAAGGACAGATAAATTCAGATGATAGAATTTGGATATATTCTTTAAAATGCTAACCAGAGAACCTAAATTTGTACCTCAATATGACAAGTTAAAAAATCTGATCTGCTTTAATACATATTTTTCTTTAATCAAAGATCTAAACTAAAGATAGTGAATCAACATGGAACACTGCTGGCTGTAATAAAGAATACAAAATATTTATTAAAAGACCAAAAAAAAAAAAAGCAAGCACAAAGTTGGAAAAATAGCAACGACAACACTAAAAACAATGCCAAGCCACAAATGTAAGCAATGCTTTTAAAATGTGAATACTCCTACACGCCCTGAATAGTTTATAGGTATCAAGCTCTGCTTAAGCACTTCACTGTAAAAAATAGAAGGAAACACACATTTAAGTCTTTTAAAATTGTCTTTCTGTTTTGAGAAGGGTTGCCTGGAAAGCACTGGGCATTGCTCGTACAAGAGAAGCAGGTGCTGGCGGCTCACACCTGGCTCAGTCTTTAAATACCAGCTAGATGCATCAGAGGAAAATAATTTCTTAAGTACTATTTTTCTCTTTTACTTCATGTGTATCCTAGTTATTAAAAAATCCACTTCCATTTTTTTCATGTCAACTTGGTCGCATCAAGTTACTATCTACACACTCCAGACACTGTTGCATTAGCTTCAAGCCAGTTGTCTCCAGTTTGCTCCAACCTCAAATCTACATGTTTGCCAGAATTATCTTACAATGTAAGTATGCTATTCTGTCTAATTATGTTACCTATTGTGTATTCAAAAAATGAATACAAAACTCGCAGCGCTCTCTCACCGCCTGTGTTCGGTGGTCTTGTGCCACTTCCCTCACCTGACAGCGGATGGCAATGGGTGGACGAAGGAGGAAATGAGGGCAAGGCTGGTTGGTGACCAGTTGCAGTTTATTCCAATCTCATCTGCATCCTCCTCCTGATTCTCCTCTATCCCTCTCTTCCTGATTCTCCTTGATCCTTCTCCTCCTGCCTGCTCCTACAGCCTGAATTATATTCCCCAATCCTGAGGGGTTGGGGTAGCAAATACTCATAGGTTTGGTCATACAACCAACAGATGTAAAGTCCTTCCTTCGGGGGAAGCTTCTCCTTGGACAAATTCAAATCCAGCAAGATGACCCGCCTAAGGGCGAAATACCACCTAGGGATGCGTGTCTCCTTTCCTTAGTCCAACAACCATTTAAACAAGCATCTTAATTCAGCTTCTTAGTAATATTTACTTTACTTAGTTATTCTGTATGGACACAGTAAGAGATACATTAAGCTTATAAGGTGGCTCTCCTGAGGACATCCTGCTATAGATCTCAGACTACAGTGCTCAGGCCAGATTAGTCTTTCCTAACCAGAGTAGAGTCCTAATTCCACTGCTACTCTTTGGATAATGACAGAACTTACCATGACTATGCTTTAACTTATAGTTAAGTATTATGGCGCTTGGCCTGGCCCATTTCGATGCCAGGGTACCTCAAAGCTTGCCCTGGGTCCATCCAGTCCCTCATCGGGACCCTGCTTTTGAGGGGCTAGGAACTAAGGGCAACTGAGGCTTAAGTCAAAAAAACAGATGCCCAGGAGTGAATATTATTTGGAGTCAATTAACTTCCAAGTTACAAAAGCATAGCATTAACTGTCTTCCTATGTCAATACAAAAAGGACCTTACTCTGAAGTAACTATGCAAAGGATATAAGGAGAAGAGAAAAGCAATATTTCACTTACAAATACAAATCCAGTGTCCTAGAAGGATCTGACCTTACAGTCAACAGAGTCTTATTTGGGAATAAAGGGGATTCACCGGTTGGGGAAGCAGAGCACAGAGAAGAGGTTACAGATAAACACTGAGGAATGAATGGGAGTGCCTCGGGAGTACTGTGGATGGGTGTAATCCAATAAACCTCAGCTCCCTGCAGCCAGGGAGAAGGGACAAACCAATGTTATCCTACAATCTATCACCAATCCTGATTACCTGTCAGGTCCTGAATTATGTAACTTATTTAATCCAGTAACTATTTTACAAAGTTATTTTGTTTCTACTTAGCTCTCAATTTGAGTAAGTATTCATACTCTAAAAAGCCTTCATTATAATAGTGATTCTTTTGCTTTTTAATTTTACTGATTACTACCAGCCTCAATAGATCGTGCACTCTTGAATGTAAGGACTGTTTGACACAGATACAAGCTGACAAAGTATTAAGAGCATCACTGAGACTCCCCACTTGTCATTACACGGCTTGTCCAAAGTACTATTTCAGTGCTTAAAAGTTATGGGCTGAATTATTCCTACTTGCTGAAAAAAAAGGTTTCAAAAAGGCTCAATAAGTCACTAAATGTGACAAAATAAGGAGCTGCACTACTTGTGAACTCATGTCTATCTGAAGCCAAGCTTGTCTAGAATTTTGTGGGGGAAAAAAAACAATCCTCCAATAAATTGCTGCTAAAGTGAACAAAAGAAAAATTTACTCACAAAAACTATCATTTGTAATATTTGACTGACTCTTACAAAGCATTTATAGTGAACTGCAGCACCATTTAAAAAACCCCTCTAACCAGTGGGAATTTTGTCTTTCAAAGCATAGATAATCATGATGGGATTATTAAACAATCGATCTTACTGACAATCATATTTAAAGTTTACTTATAAGTTAAAGTCCCTATTATATACTCTTTATTCATGACATTCCTTTTTCTTTTTTTTTTTCCTTTTTGGGTCACACCCAGCAATGCACAGGGGTTACTCCTGGCTCTTCACTCAAGAATTACTCCTGTTCCCTGCCACAGAGGCAGGGTGGAATGGGGGATGGGAGGGATACTGGGATTGGTGGGGGTGGAGAATGGGCACTGGTGGTGGGATGGGTACTCGATCACTGTATAACTGAAACCCAAGCACAAAAACTTGTAAGACTACAACTGTATCTAATGGTGTTTCACTAATTAAAAAAAAAAATTACTCCTGGCAGTGCTCAAGGGACCATATGGGATATTGGGAATCGAACCTGGGCCGGCCGCATGCAAGGCAAACACCCTACTGGCTATGCTATTGCTCCAGCCCCGACATTCCTTTTTTTTGAGGAGGTGACACATAATTGTGCTCAGGTCACCCTTCTGGTGATGCTGGGGATCAAACTGGGGTCAGCCACATATAAAGCAAACACCTTAATCACCTTAACCCTTTATACGTGGGGTCAATCAAATATAAAGCAAACACCTTAACCTCCAGCCCCACCACCAATAATCTTGATGCTGCTCTTAAGATTTTGAGACAGTGAACAGACTTAACAAAATTTTGCCCTTAAAAAGTTAGATTTTAATGGCAGGAAAGAGATAAGAAACAGCAACTATAAGTAAGACATAAAGTAGTTTTAAGACAGTGCTAAGTGCTATGAACGATAGAGAAACAGAAGAGCAAAGGGCACTGGGAATGCTAAGCTGGGCAGTGGACAAGTTGTATTCACCAGGGCTCATGAATCTTCTCTTGACTAAGTGTAAATATGAGATGCAAGCTTAGCCAGGACACCTTCTCAAGAAGAGTCACAAGCAGACAGAACAAATACAGCGAAGATGTACATAGAGGATGACTAGTTGGGGGGGGGAGGGGGAGGGAGTAAGGAGGCTAGTACAGCTGGAGTACTATGAAAAAGGGAGAACTAGGAATCGGGACACTAAAGGCCATCAAGTCTATCATGCCATTTTATCAGGTGAGAATGTGACAGGGAGACTATTTAATATAATCTTGCAATACCGTTTCGTCCACTCTATTTTCTCCAACTGGCTTAGTTGTGTTACACACATATCGAAGGAGGACAGGGACTTCAGTTTCTTCAATGCTGTATCCCTTCAATGCTGATAAAAGTCCCCCAAACAGAGCCAGAGAGGCAGTCCAATTATTACAGTGCTTGTCTTGCACACAGCTAACCCGGGTTCATGGTCCTGCACACCATCTAGCACCATCTTGAGTGATCCCTAAGCATAGAGCCAGAAGAAAGACCTACACTTTTGTGGTGGGAGGAGGGCGACACACTCAGTGCTCAGGGCTCATTCCTGGCTCTGTACTTAAGTTTTACTCCTAGCGGCCTTGGGGAACTACATGAGATTTAAGGGATCAAACTGGGTCAGCTGCAGAATCCAAGGCAAGTGCCCTACCTGATGGACTATCGCTCCAGTCCCAAGATTGATTACTTTTCTGTGGGGTGTTGAACACATTAGAGTTCTATGCTTATTTTTATCCTGGAAAGCCGATTGAACTATGATATAGTCACAGGAATACTGTAATGTATTCTGAGTTAACCTGTTGATATTGGTAGGTTCACATTATTAATGTCATCAGACAAGAGTGAATCATGTTTATTTATAAACTTGATGCTGGATTTCACGTGTCTTCAGTTTATGTCTTATCTTTTGTGTATCTTTTGCCTATTAATATTCAATACTCACGTTAGCTTCAATCTTTTTGCATGTCCAGGCATTATAGGAACATAAAGCATTTTGACTCCCTGTACCACCATTGTTGGCTCAATTCCATATTTCTCCTATAATGATAATAAAAAAAAATCAGTGCTCCAACCAAGCACAAAATACTGCCTTACAATTTTTTTTTAAAGGTTCAATCTTTTAGATTTATATTTTGGGTTGGGGTTGACAATGGTTTAAGATCAGCAAAAAACGAGAAAACTAATTAATGCATATAAAATCCTCCAATGAAGTTATATAAATGACAAATTTGAAGCTACAAAGAAACAAGTAAATGTCTCACTTTGACTGCATTTATGAAATCCAAAAGGGTGAAGTCTTCTTTTCCATGTATAGTCCACCTGTCCCAAATTGTAAACGATATTCCGTTTCTGTTGTAGAAAAAAATATGCAAAGAGAAACAAAAATATCTTAATTTTCTCCCATCTATTTAACCTTGCTTTCTGGCTCTACCTGGCATTACTCGGGCTACTCCCAGAAAATTATTCAGGGGGTCACTTACACCGGTGCTGGGGGCCATGCAGTGTCAGGGGACAAACACCAGTCTCCCACATGCAAACCACGAACCCAGCACTTCAGGCTCTCTCTAGAGCTGATAATCTTCCCTTGGCCTCTAATACCCCAAGAGCAGATTATTTGTGGCTATTGCGGATAAATTAATGAGGAGAAAAAGGGGAAAATACAATTTCTAAAATATTCCATAATCTATAATATCCTTGTCACGTCACCTGGGTAATCACTTTTACAAGCCCCTATTGACCCTTCCATTGTCTTACTATCTTATCATAAGTTAGCATGTCTCCTAAGAGCTGGAACTTCTAGTTGGGGAGGCACAACCCCCAGTTTCGGGCCAAGAGCTCTGGGCTCGGGAGTCTGTATGCGATGTGGAGATTGAGCCAGAGTCAAGTGTGTTGTTAAGGCAAGTGCCCTACCCTGTCCTATCTCTCAGGCCCGAGAGTTGTAGTTTTCATTAACCAATTCAAACTTGTGGGGTCATATTTTTGTGTGGGTCACACTGAGGGGCTAGGAACCACTTCCACCCCATTTTAGCAGGATGAAGCCCAGGGTCCTGCACATGCAATGGTTTCTAACACTTGTGCCACAATCTTGGCTTGGTCCTTCATAACATTTACTAAGTTGACCTTACAGTTCCTTATTACTAAGTTCTTTTGTTGTTCCCATCTCCCTCCCCCCACCCCGCCCAGGCAACTCTAGGTGGTACTCCGGGATTATTCCCGGCTCTTCACTCAGGGTTCATTCCTAGCAGTGCTTGGAGGACCATAAAGGATGCCAGGGATCAAAACCAGGTTGGCTGCATATAAGGCAAACGCCTTACCTGCTGTACTGTTTTTCCAGTCGTCAGTTGTTCCAATCAAAGATAGAAGGAGCTATCTTTCACATATCATTCGGGATAATGAGTGCAAGCATATCTTCAAAGCAACAGTGCTACATTTTTCCTTTTTGAAAGGGCAGACTATTTTGTTTTTTTGTTTTTGAGCTATACCTGGTGACATTTGGGGCTTATTCTTGGCTCTGTGCTTAAGGATCACTCTTGGCAGACGTGAGCGATGATATGGGATGATATGAGATTAAACCTGGGTCAGCTGCATATAAGGAAAGGACCTCACTGTTCTATCTCTCTGACCTGATTACACTATATTAAACTCTAATCAGTAATCTTTTTTTTTCCCTTTTTGGGTCACGCCCAGCGATGCCCAGGGGTTACTCTTGGCTCAAGCACTAAGGAATTACTCCTGGCAGTGCTCGGGGGACCATACAGGTTGTTGTGAATCAAATCTGGGTCAGCTGCGTGCAAGGCAAACACCCTACCGGCTGTGCTATATATCACTCCAGCCTTCTAATCAGTAACCTATGAGTACACTGTCACAGCTTGCCAAGTGTTCAATTTTTGACTGCCGATAATTTGAAAAGCGAAACTCTAAGCAGAAAAACTGCTTTACTCCGTCACATAATTTTGGGGCGTAGAATGGAAATCTTATGATCCAACTGCTCAGACTACTAGGAGTACATTCTACTTTCCCAGGTAAAGTAAATGTGGGTGAGATTATAAGAAAGCAAAATTTCAAATAGTGTGGTCGGTAAGTATGTGCCATTTTTGGCTACTCTACTCAGAAATGCTTTATGAAGATTGGGTTTTGAACTGGTTTTGAATTGATGGCAGTATTTATATAAAGAAAGACATAAAGCTAGCATTTTTGCCTTTTAAAAGTAACTCTTATTTCATTCTCACTAAGCAAGAGAAATATATTTATGCATACCTGATTTCAGTTTTTTTCACTTCCGATGTCTCTGTAAACACCATAACTGGAATGGCTAAGTTAAGGAAACAATTTTTGTAGGCTTCAAATGGATAGCCACCTGCAACTTTGATCATCTCCAATGCAACCTAGAGAACAGAGAAGGCAGCCTGATCACATTAAGAGCAGAAAACTTTTTGACTTTTGTGGCATATATCTAACATTCCTAAATTCTTTTTTTTTTTTTGAATTTTTTATTAGTGTAACACCATGAGGTACAGTTGTAGATTTGCAAGCTTTTGTGCTTGGGTTTTCAGTTATACAATGATTGAGTACCCAACCCTCCACCAGTGCCCATTCTCCACCACCAATGATCCCAGTATCCCTCCCACCCCATTCCTGAATTTTTTTTTGTTTTTTTTGGGGGGGTCACACCCAGCGATATACAGGGGTTACTCCTGGCTCTGCACTCAGGAGTTACTCCTGGCAGTGCTCAGGGGACCATATGGGATGCTGGGAATCGAACCCGGGTCGGCCACATGCAAGGCAAACAAACGCCCTACCCGCTGTGCTATCTCTCCAGCCTCCCCCCCATTCCCGAATTCTTAAGACAAAGGTTATGATTAAGAAGATTACTGTGTACCAGAAAAAAAAAAACATAGTTTACTTTCTTTTGTTTTGAAATGCACCTGTCTGAGCTCAGGGCTGACTCCTGGCTCTTTACTCAGACATCAGCACTCTTGGTGGTGCTGCCGCGGGTTGAACAGTGTCTGCAGCATGCAAGCAAAGAGCCTGAACCCTTGGAATTCCTTCAGTTCAAGAACTTTTTTTTAATACTCAAATGTCTATTTCCATAATCTTTACTTTGTATAAAGTAAATCAAGATTGCTGCATTTTCTGAGTATCTTAAAACTTTAAAATATAAGATCAACAGGTGTAGGATAACACTGGTTTGGCCTTTCTCCCTTGCCACAGGGAGCTTAGGTTATACTCAACATAGTGCTCCTGAGTCACTCCCATTCCTTTGTGTTTGTCTGTAAACTCTTCTCTGTGCTCTCTTCCCCAACTGGTCTATCACCTTTCCCTCAATCAGACTCAGTTAACTTGTAAGGTCAGATCCTTTTAAGGACACTGAACTTGTATTGTAAGTTAAATATTGCCTTTCTCCTCTCCTTATGTCTTTTGAATAGTTTATTTTAAAGCAATGCCCTTTATGTATAGGCATAGGAAGACAGTCAATATTATGTTTTTATAACTTGGGAGTTAATTGACTCGGAATAATATTTATTCCCGGGCAATTGCTTTCTCGACTTAAGTCTCAGTTGCCTTTAGTTTCTAGCACCCCAAAAGCAGGGTTCCGATGAGGGACTGCATGGACTCAGGGCAAACTGTGAGCTACCCTGGCATCGAAATGGGCCAGGTCAAAGTTCCACAATTCTTAACTACAAGTTAAGAGCATTGTCATGGACAAGTGCTGTCATGATCCAAAAAGTAACAGTGAGATTAGGACCCTGCTAGGGTTAGGAAAGACTAATCTGGCCTGAGCACTGCAGTCTGCCATCTATAGCGAGATGGCCCCAGGAGAGCAACCCTATAAGTTTAATGTACCTCTTACTGAGTCCATACAATATGATTAATATTATGAATGTTCATATGTTTATTGGACAAGGAGAGGAGAAACACACCCATGGGATTTGCTCTTGGGTGGGTTGTCCTGCTGAATGAGAATTTGTCCTAGAAGAAGCCTCCCCTGTGAGAAGGACTTTACTTCTGTTGATTGTATGACCACACCTATGTGTACTTACGTGTAAGCCCCAACCCCTCGTGCTTTGGGATTTACTAAGGCTGCAAGAGTGGGTTGGGGGATGCAGACAGAGAATGAAGTAGAAGCAGGAGGCAGAAGCAGGAAGGAGAAGTATGAAGGAGCAGGACCCAAAAGGAGGATGAGGGGGACTGGGGAAGAGGGATCGGAGGAAGAGAATGGAGATGGGAATGGAATAAACTGCAATGGACATCAACCAGCCTGGCCCTCGTTCCCTCCTTCATTCACCCATCGCCACCAGCCACCCTTGGGTGGGGGAAGTGGTGAGAGACCACTGAATGTGGGCGGTGAGAGAGACAGAGCCGCTGCGGCCCCTTGTATTTTATTCTTTGAAAACACAAATAGGTATCCCTTCATCTCCTAAGAAATTTCAGTAACAGGCTGGAGGTGATACATCAGGGAAGACAAGAAAGAGATGAAGAAGCAGCATGTCAAATCTGAGTATCATGAACTCACCAAGCCAGAAACCGCAGCAGTAGACGTTGCTATGGCGGGTATGATTTTACCAGCTATGCGCTTTGTTTTGAAACGGTCAGCAGGTTCAATGCTATACATTTTAGCACGGAGATTTGATGCAGCTGTGATAAAATCTATATGTCCATTCTGGTCATCGTCTTTCTCAAATGAAAGCACTGCCATCTGAAGATCACCTGTGACAATAACCGAAAAGGTGCCCTAGTAAGTAGGGAAGGTTGTAATAGCTAAAACTTGTATGTGAATTTGTTACTTTTACAAATAACAAGAAGAATCTAGAAAACTGAAGTATTGATGGACATGAAAATGCTGACTTTAGTACCATTAAATTAGGTAAGCTTTTATATTGAAAAAAATCCCCAAAATATATAAAAATGAAAAAAATCATGTACTACATTAAGTAGTTTATAATAAAAAAGGGTTAACACTGGATGTTATTCACAAATTGATTCATCAATACTACACTACAGCATTTTGTCAATCTAATAAATATGTATCCTTGAGAAGTTTTAGAAAAATGATTCTAATTTGTCTGCAATGAAATGAAAAAGCATGTTAAGCCTTTTTTAGAGCTATAGTAATTAAATCAAGATAACTACCATTTCTTTGCAAAACAATTGGATAATTAGGTTATTTTCCCTAACTTTACTGCCTTATGCATAAGAATCTAAGTTTGGAAACCAGTAGTGGGCAGGTCTAGGCTTAACAGTATTACAGCGTTAAAAACTTAAATCCCCAGTGTTTAAGATAAGTAAGGAAGGATGTTTGTAGGTCAGTTTGTATTCTGTCGCTAATAACAAAGAGTAAGAAGACCAAGATAAATGTTTGTAGTTCTTTATCTTAAAATATCCTTTTTTTCTTTTTGGGTCATACCCAGCAATGCTCAGGGATACTCCTGGCTTTGCACTCAGGAATTACTCCTGGCAGTGCTTGGGGGACCAAAAGGAATGCCAGGGACCAAACTCGGGTTGGCCGCATGCAAGGCAACACCCTACCCACTGTACTATTGCTCCAGCTCCAATCTTAAAATATCTTAACTGGATCTAACAATTTTCCTAAGGTCTAATTTTTTTTCTCTTACTATGCTATCCGTAAGTTACAAAGGAACAACAGAGATTGTTAAGTACTAAAGCTATCAAAGTAACAACAAAAAAGTAAATATAAATTTCAGTCTTTAAAGGTAAAGGCAACTGGGTCAATTACAAATTTTCTATTATCATGTAATCAACTTTTTAAAAGTTTTTTTAAACTTTTAAAATTTTTATTAGTGAGACACAATGAGGTACAGTTGTAGACTTACACATTTTTGTGCTTGGGTTTCAATTATACAATGATCAAATACCCATCCCTCCACCAGTGCCCATTTCCCACCACCACGGATCCCAGTATCCCTCCCACCCCCCATGCCTCTGTGGCAGGACATTCCCTTTTGTTCTCTCTCTATTCTTGGGTGTTGTGTTTTGCAAAAAGAGGAATTGAGTTGCAATCACGTTCAGTCTATAGTCTACTTTCAGCATGCTTCTCCCATCCTGGGAGGATCCTCCCAACACCCTTTATTTGGTGCTCCCTTCTCTATCTGAGCTCCCTTTTCCCCTAGCATTTGTGGCTGGCCTCCAAGTCATGGAGAAAACCTCCTGGTACTAATCCCAGCCACTCTTGGGTGTTAGTCTATTTTGTTTCATGTAATCAACTTTTATCTCTCTATATAAACATAACATCTCTCTACATATCTAGTTCTGGAGCTCAAACCCACAAGCTCACACAGGTAAAGCAAGTGCTCCACATCTAAACAATATCTTATTTCCCAACTACTGTCATTACTGAGGTGTTTACTGTTCAAGTCCACACGCTTTCGTGCGCAGAACTTAGTGAAAATAAAAGTACTGATTAAAAAAAAATTTTTTTTTTTTTGGCAACACCCAGCAGTGCTGAGAACTTCTGGGTTGCACTCAGGAATAACTACTGGTGGGACTTGGGGGACTATAGGGGCTGCTGGGGATTAAACCCGGGTTGGTCGCGTGTAAGTCAAGTGCACATCTCTCTGAACTAGAGCTCCAGCCCCTCACCAAACATTTTTATACTCCTTACTTGCTGTAGCTTCATTAGATGCAATAGCCTTTTCTAGCTGGAAAGCAGCATTCCTTTCATCTTCACTGCTAACAGGAACATGGTCGGGTTTTCGTGCAGCTTCATCTGTCTGAACAACCTTTAAACACATGCGCAGACACTCATTAATGTTATCAACATCCTTCCCCTAAGCTTAGTTGCTATACTCACTTAACCAAATAAATCAATGTAGAGAAACTATCTCCTCTATTTAATTAGATTATTAGACATTATGGCATGATGTATTTTGCACTTCTATTATTAACTAATATTATGTAAGTTGTCTTCTTTATTATCTCTTTCCTCACAATAACATGCAAACTCACTGAGAATAGGGACAGTTATCTTCCTTACTCAATCATAATGTGTGTCAAAAATATTTACTGAAGGTATATAAAAATCTGAGTTCATAAGGATTTCTTTAAAATTTCTACAGTAGAGGCAGGGATGGAGCTCAGTGGTAGAATGTATGCTCTGCAGATATGAAACTAGGTTCATATACCTTGCACCAAAACAATTATCCCACACTAAAAAAAAATCACAATCAACAGTTTGAGTTGGAATAACTTATTTCCAAACCACATTGCATGCCTCTACTTCTACTATCTCTCTAGAAATTGAATAAATTCACAAAATATAAAATATAAAATGTGGGTATCCTTTAAATACTGACTGGTCACATGAAACTCTTTCAGAACACATCCTCATAAAGAGGATGTATTTTACCTTGTCCTATAGAAATTACTTGAAAGGCTTTTGACAAAGGCAGTCAATATTCTCTAAGATACCTGCAACATCATCAATAAGCAGTGCTATTTCGTATTAAAAACTACAATTCATGTTTTACATATTAAATATTACAAAAAGTGTCTAAGAAATATTAAGGAATCAAGACAGTTAAAACATGTCATTTGCCAGAATGTCTTACTTATTACCTCTGGCCCTGGCTCATGTTACTGGAAACAGCAGAACCTGAGAAAATCAGGCTGCTTTAGGTAGTCACAGAAAGCTTTTAATTAATGTAAAAATTAGCAAAATGCTTCAGGATAATTTATCAACTCCAAACTTTGAAATACACCCCCCTCCTACCCTCCCCCACCAACATACACTTTGATACAGAAAAAACTAAGGCAGGAAAGAAGGAATGAACACACACACACACACACACACACACACACACACACACACACACGGTAAAAATTGTGCTGGATTATTTATTGTCCCCAAACTCTGATATAGAAAAAATCAAGACCAGAAAACACTCATTCGCCTACCCCAAAACTTTGACACAGAAAGAATCAAGGCCAGGAAACATGTATTTGTAGGGAAGTAAAATTTTATTTAGAAATTACAAGAAAGAAGATACAAGAGAGGGAAAACAAAGAGTGTGATAAAGGAAAAGAAATTACACACCCTGACCACTGATGTGGGCAACTGCAGAACAGAATGCTCTGAAGTCAGAAAGCATATCAAAGAACAATACAGGTAAGTATTATTGCAAGATACACATTTTCTTGATTTAATTCTAGCACTTTTGCCCAAGGGAAACAGGAGCTAGTAACCTTAGAGTAAGAATTCTATTTTTCCTTGAATTATAAATAATGAATATTTAATTCAGGAAATTCACTATGTAGAACTGGGTTATCAAGAAAGGTCCTGTCAGCAAAGCATAAGCTTGAACTCTCTTTGAGATATTTCCCCAACTGATCTTTTCTTTTCCTTAAATTTTGCAGACAAGTTACTTCATATTTTCCACTTAAAGAATAAGGGTTTTATGAATGTTTTACATAAACATAAAAACACTTTTGCATTTCAAATTTTACTGTTTATCTTGCCTGAATTTCATACCCCATTTTTATTAGTGTGCTCTGTCTTTCCAAGATACTTGCTTTGCAAAATCCCAGTCTTTGTTACTGGATCTTCTGGTTAGGTAACTTCCTCATACCTTCTTTAAGTTTTTAAAACAATTTTCTCCACTTGAAGCTATTAAGCTGGCTTCTTATTTCAACTAAGAAAATTCCAATCTCGCTTACTCCAATTCCAATCTCTTTTAAGTCCTATCAGGGCTACTGCAAAATATATATAAACCAATGCCTTATCAAACAACTTCCTATTTACAACAACCTTCATGAGAAGCACCACCTTTTTTTTTTTTTTTTTGCTTTTTGGGTCACACCTGGCGATCCTCAGGGGTTACTCCTGGCTCTGCACTCAGGAATTACTACTGGCGGTACTCAGGGGACCATACGGGATGCTGGGGATCAAACCCAGGTTTGCCACATGCAAGGCAAATGCTTTACCCACTGTGCTATCGCTCTGGCTCCGAGGAGCATAACCTTTTGCCTAAAATCTGCTAATAGTATTTCCTGTCTCCTGGTGTCACATATAGTAAATCTCTAGTATCACAACAGCCACAGTTGTCCTTTTAAACTAAGTTAGACTGTGCCTGCTGCATCAAGTCTTCCACTGCCATATTTTATAAAACACATGGCTCTCAGAACCCAACAACCGCTCCTGTCACTCCTGCTGAATGTTCCACAACAACACCCGCCTTCAAAGTCTGCAAAGGCCTTTCACTGCACTGTTACTGCTGCCTGCAAATTACAGGAAGTCTCCCTCTCCCTCTCTTCCTTTAGGCTTCTGCTCAAATCACCTTACCAAGACAGATTTTTTCCCATTTCCTTTCACAGGAAATTACATCACCTCACTCACCATTTCCTTCTTGTTTTATTTTTATTTTTATTACTGCATAGGCTCACATTACAATATACCATTATTGCCTTAAAAAAATGTAAGTAACTTCAAGTGCTTATTCCAGCACTCTACAAAATTAGAATGGATCTTGAATTAAAAGCTCAATTACTGGGCTTGGTAAGATAGTACAGTTGATAAGGAGTTTACCTTACATGTGGCTAACCCAGGTTTGATCCCTGGCACCCAAAACGGTCCCTGAGCACAGAGTCAGGAGAAAGCCCCGAGTACCAATAGGTGTGTCTCCTAAACAAACCAAAACAAAAATTCAAACAAGATTTGCTAAATAAATATGTCAAAAGATTTGCTAAATTTCTAAACATACCTTGTTAGAAGGCTTGAATTCCTCAATTTTTACTTTGGAAAGTATATTCAAAAAGGCATCTGCCGATAAATCCTGTTTTTTTAAAAAAGGTAAATTAATTAAAAATATTAATTTTCGATTCTGAATTCTAAAGCTAAACATACACTTTTAAGGAAAGCTAAAAATGTCCTCTAATCATATTCTGTAATCTTAAAATAGTCAGACTATTTCCGTGGCATGTATTTTTATTTCTACGGAAATAAAGATATCATTCATAAAGGCTGGGGTGCAAGGTGGTACATAAAAAATACTCAGTGGGAAAAAAATAACCCTGAAATCCTAGGCATTATTCATGCAAATTAAACAAAATGGAATCAAAGGACTGCTCTGAATAGTAGACAGTGTCTTAAGATCAGGGACTATTAATACATTTACAGATCAGGGACTATTCATAAATTTACAAGTTCTCTGAACCAAGTTACACTCAGTAAAAACAAAGTGCTGAAATTTCCACCCTGAGAAGCAGGAAACAATTACTTGGTTTGAGATAAACTTAGATTTGCTTAATACTGGCAAATTCTGTCTTTAAGAAGGAACTGAGGAAAATCTCAAGAAATTTTAGTTTTGAGATCACTCTCACCACTCATCACAAAACTACCCCTCTTGAAAAGCTTAACAGACCAAATGCCACTATTTTTATGAACACATGTATTTTACTATACATTAATTGCAAGAATAATTTAAGAAATTTTTAAAATAAATTTAGTTTGGATCCAAAAAGTCAGTATAAAGGATTTGTTTCGTATTTTCCCAAACTATGTGAAAGTTGAGCAATTTAAGATGAATCTTTGAAGAAAAAATAATGTAGATATGTATTCTCAAATACTAATTAAGAGGTATCAGAGGATGAGGTTTAAGAAAACAGATATGAACATAAGCGTTTTCAAATTTCCTGAAATCATATATGATTATGTCACTCAGTGAAAATATGTTAACAAAAGGTTATAATTAATTATAATTAAAATTGTAATTACAATTAATTTGCTCTGACTTTCCAGAGCAATAATAATTGAAGTAACAAGTTATACATATTTTTAAAAATGTTTTTCTAAACAAATCCAAAAATCCAAACAAGAGTTTCTAAACAAGAGTTTCATTATTTAAATTTAGAAAATAATTTGACTTTTTGCGTGTGATAATGCTGCAGTAAAATTTTAGCTTCTGCATGTTAGAATGGGAAATAAAATGAGAAAGGAAAATTAAAATCAAAGGATGACTCCTGTAATGAGTGAATAGATTTTGATAATGCTATTAGCTAATCGGGGATGTAACATTTTCAAGGAGCTAAAGACTATCTTACCTTTGCTGTAAATGAAATGCAATAGATTGCAGCATACAATTTTGCAGCATTCAGAAGGAAACTGAAGTGCCTTTTGAAATTAAAAAATAGAACACTGTTAGTGCAGTTTCAAAGAAATGTTTAATTCGCCAGTAACTAGAGCCTTTACAATGTTTTAAGAAAAACAACCACATCATCTTCCTTTTATTGGATTTTTCTTTTTTTGACAGTAAGGAAATAAAATTCTGGTCTAGGCAAAGGCAGCATGGAAAAAAAAATACCAAATGTTTAATCTAATAAACGCTAATATCCAGGGTAGTGATAGCAACTACTTTGGGAAGAAGAATAGCCAGAGTAGGAAAGTTATGCAAAACAAAGAAACTAATCTTAATACAAAGGAAAATACCATATATGGTTTTATAGAGTTTACATCAGATTCAAACTAAGCAAAGGAGCCTGCTTAAAAACAAAGTAAGTCTTATAACAGCAACAACCAGAATTAGTTTTTCTATTGTGTGCCACACCCCAAAGTGCTTGGGGGCTATTCCTAGCTCAGTGCTGAGGTGTTTGACCTTGGCAATGCCAGGATAAAATCTGGATCTTAACATAGATTAAAAAAAACTCAAGACATTTTAGTTTTGATTTTACACTTAGATTTATCACGCACAAATGTATTCAAAGCATGCTATAGGCCAATGAGTGATCTTCATGGCCAAGAGAGGTAAGGTAAAGGCCCTCCCGTTGATCGTCGATTTGCTCGAGCGGGCCCAGTAACGTCTCCATTGGAGACTTTGTTGTTACTGTGTCTGGCATATCGAATACTCTCGGTAGCTTGCCGGGCTCTCCGAGAGGGGCGGAGGAATCGAACTCGGGTCGGCCATGTTGGCTGCTTGTAAGGCGAACGCCCTACCCGCTGTGCTATCGCTCCCGAGAAAAGGTGGCTGGAACTATAATGTAACCACCAGATGACAAAATTAAACACTCATTTGTTGAAAGGAAGGTTAGTGAGTGTGCATATACATATGCAAAGTAAAACATATACACATCTGTATATGTGTACATACAGACAAATATTAATTTTATGTAGCATGTATAGGTATTCACACTCAAAGAGCAACTCCTATGATAATCAGAGGTAGGGAGATAGTAGCAATCAGAGACTACTTCCTTTCTCCTTGCACATAACCGAATTTTTTTAATACTCATTTCATTAAATTAAACACGTTATCTTGCTATCTTATGGATAAAGTTAAAGAAGTCATTTTGCTTTCACGATGGACAAAGTGCAATGATGTTATTAAGCATGTAAGCAGACTGTGCGGGAGATGGGTGGTACAGGGCTTGTTGTTTAAGACTATGTTAACATTTAACATTAATAAGGGTTGCGATACTTTAATATCAACCAAAGGTTTTTACCCTTCAATGCAGCAATAAGTCTTTACACAGCTAAGAAACTTACAATAAAACACACACACATGTATATGAAATTAGATATACTTACAAAGGCTCATTTATATCAAATTTTATTGGAGACGGGGGCCTTTTTGGTGACTGCCAAAACAAACCTAATTAAAGATACAAATATTATCTGGCAGTCAAAGAAAAGGGCATTAATTTTTTTATTTTTATTTTTTCCCTTTATTTTATTTTATTTTTTTTAAAGTTGTAGATTTACAATTTTTTGTGCTTTGGTTTCAATTATACAATGATCAGATACCCATCCCTCCACCAGTGCCCATTTTCCACCACCATGGATAATATCCCTCCCACCCCCATCCCCCCATCCCCCCTGTCTCTGTGGCAGGGCAATCCCCTGTGTTCTCTCTCTCCTTTTGGGTGTTGTGGTCTGCAAAAGAGGCATTGAGTGGCAAACATGTTCAGTCCATAGTCTACTTTCGACATGCATCTCCCCTCCTGGGAGGATCCTCCAAACATCCTTTATTTGGTGCTCCCTTCTCTATCTGAACAGCCCTTTCCTCTAGGATACCCGGCTGGCCTCTAAGTTATGGAGTAATCCTCCTGGTGCAAGGGCATTAATTTTTTTCCTTAAAATCTGAGTTATACTTACTGCCATCTTTTAATCGTGTGTCCAAAGGGAAACAGTGAAGAAGCTGAAGAGCCTAAAGAATTAACAAAACAGACAACAACAAAAAACACCACTGTATATGAGACAAACAAAAGAAATGCAACAAAGTCCCATAGCCACTCTTGTATTCTGTGTCCATTCTTCTGTCCCCATAGAATAATCTTTACTTGTTTTTTTAATTTAAAGGTTTTTTTTTTTGTTGGGGGGGCGGAGAGGGGCTAGGCCACACCTTGTGGTGGTCAGGGGTCTTCCCTGGCAGTGCTTGGGATATTGTTTGTGATGACTTAATCCCTGTATTATGGCTTCTTGGGTTACAACCCAGTGATGCTCAGGGGCTATTCCTGGCTCTGTAGTAGGGAATTACTATATGGGATGCTGGAGATTGAATCTGGGTTGGCAGCATGCAAGGCAGCAAGCATCCCACCCACTGTACCATCTCCTTGACCTCATAAAAAAGTGCTTTTTGTTTTTTTTTAAAAGAAGGTAAGAACTAGACAAAGTCCCTTATATTTTGAAACCAAAGGTTGCTGATAATGACGTAAAAATGAATGGTAAAGGGGAAAAAATATGCATTTACCAAGTGAGGAAGCAGAATAGAGATCACTTTTCTAAGATGCATCACTGAGAAGTGGAAAAATAAAAAAGCAGGGATATGTATAATTAAAACTTAAAAGGACGGAGCCAAAGAGATAGTACAGAGGGCAGGGCTCTGTACTACACTGAAAGTGCTGACCAGATTTCAATCCTTGGCATCCTACCCAGTCCCCCAAGCTAGCCAGGAGTAATCCCTGAGCAAAAGAGCCAGGAATAAACACTGAGCACAGCCAGATGTGGTTCAAAGTGTCTAAAAAAATAACAACCCCCAAACTGAAACAAATCCAAAAATTCCAAAGGGCCAGAGCTATAGTACAACTGGTAGGGTGCTTGCCCTGTCCAAGGCCAACCTGGGTTGGATCCCTGGCATCCCATATGGTCCCTCAGGAACCAACAGGAGTGATCCTGAGTGTAGAGGCAGGAGTAAGAACTGAGCACCACCAGGCATGGCCCCAAACAACAAAACAACAACAACAACAAAACCAACAAAACTTGAAAGTGAAAAAAAAAAAAGAAATAAAGAAAAACCCACAAAAACAATAACAACAAATAAACAGTAAAAGCTGAAGTCAGGGCCAGAGAGAAGAGTATAGGGGTTACACTCGTCTTGCATGTAGCAGGCCACGGTTAAAAAACTGCACAGTCTTGAGCACTGGATCTTCTTTGGACCACTTTAGTAGTGTTTAGACAAAAGGAACATCTTTAGATCGCTGATGAATTGACAGTCCCTCAATATCTAGGGATCCTTTAGTTTTTAATACGTCAGTTTACTTATTGGTTGTGTTATCCTGGGAAAATTAGTCACGTGGGACCAAACAACAGAGATATGGTCTGAAAAACCCACTGTTACATGATTCCACTGCTGAGTATGATTATATAAACCTATACAATGAATGGTTCAGCTTACTCCACACACCAGCACGATCTCCAAGTGAGAGCACCATTGCACACACAGACCAAATGGTCATGATGCATGACTGCATGATTGTCCTCACCCTAACTTAATTAAAAAAAAAATTAATTCGAGACATCGTGATTTATGGCAGTGATTATGGCAGGCTCCCTGCATAAAGCATTCTGCTACCTTAGCCTCTACCTGAATGGCAGCTTCCCTCCTTCCCCTCTCCCTCAGATACAGTGTATGCCCACCCACAGTGAGCTATATGCTTCCTTCCAAAGACTGTTCTCAGTATCTGCTGCCTTTGGGGATTTATTGTTTCCTAGCTTTGTTGTTTTATATCCCACTTATGAGGGAGATCATTATGTATTGATTATATACATGTCTCTCTCCTCCTGACTAACTGCACTCAACATGATGCTCTACAGATCCATCCACATAGCAGCAAACTGCATGATTTTGTCTCTTTCACTGTGTACCTGTATCACAGTTTTCTTACAGGGATCCCGTATGCCCCGTTTTATATGCCAAAAGACTTATGGAAGACACTGGTTGTGTTCAGGCTTATTCCCAGCTCTTGTGCTCAGGGATTCTCCTGGTGCTCTGGGAAACCATACATGGTGCTAGGGATCAGATGTGCAGAAGGCAGCAACCTTAACTGCTGTCTAACTTTCCAGCCCCAGAGTTTTCTTCTTAATGATTTAGAATGCAAACTTACCTTATGGTTAAAATATTTCTCAAACTTTAATCTTGCTAATTCGACACATTGAGGCCAGGTTCGAGGTCTTCTGTTTAGTAATTTAATAACTTGAAAACATCCTTCTAAACTGTGTCCAGTTTGTAACTTCTAGAATGAAAGGAAAAAAACAACACAATGAATACCAATAACATATATGTAGACAAACAGTGTTAGCTAGTTTGATATGCCAGCACACATATTTTATGATTTTAAATTTTTTTCCCTACATCTCCTTGTCCATGCCTTCCTCCTCCTCTTTTCTTTTTGGAATGGGAACAATAAAGGAGCACATGTAATTTTTTTAAATTTTCTTTTTGGGTCATACCCAGTGGTACATAGGGGTTACTCCTGGCTCTGCATTCAGGAATTATTCCTGGTGGTGCTCGGAGAACCATATGGGATGCTGGGAATCGAATCCAGGTAGGCGGCGTGCAAGGCAAATGCCCTACCCACTGTGCGCTCCAGCTCTGCCCATGTAATTTTTAACCATTAAGTTTCCTATTTTGCTAGTTAGGCTTATGCCTTATGAACTGTTATGATTATTAGCTGTTATTATTCCTATAGATGCATATTGTAAGGACTTTCATAGAATTCCATAAATTTTATAAATTATAAATTTCATAAAATTAAAAATTAAAGTTATTAAAATTAATAACTAAAATAATTTTAATTTAAAAATATCCCTTTTAAACCCTCATACATTGTTGCAGGGAATGTGAGCTGATTTAGCTTTTAAGAAAGACAGATTTTTTAGTATATTATAAATGGATTTATTTATTATTCAGCAAATCCACTTCCAAGTCTCCATCCAAAGAACATGAAAACGTTAATTTGAATAGATAAATGCACACCAATGTTCAGGGCACTATTTACAAAAGCTAAGATATGGAAACAACGTAAGTGCTCAAGCACAGATAAGTGACTAAAAAAAAAGGGCGGGGGGATATTTAAACACACTGGAGTAATTGTGAATACAGCCTTAAAAAGATGGTATCTTGTCTGCTATAGCATGGATAGAACTCTTCAAGGTCATGCAGAGTGAAGGAAGCCAGAAGGACAATAAAATATTGGATAATTTTATTCACACTGGGATACTGAGAAGCCAAGCAACATAACAAACTTCAACAGAAAACGAACTCTTGGACTCAAGATGGCAGAACCAAAGTTAATAAAGAAGAAGGACAGGAACGAAAGGAGGGTCCAAAGAGCTGTGGTGGAGGAATATTGCTATTTATAGGGTGATGGGTGAGGTAATCTATTTTGAAGAATTAGGAAGATGCATCCCTAAAAGATAATTTTGTGAGTGATCACTAAGTTGGTTAAAAAGGAAGAAACAACTTTGAAGCTGCTGTCACTATAGGAGCACTGGGTCGGGTAACCACTTGTGAAAATTTCATTAGAATGTATCTGTTCTTTCCTCAAAGAGTTGAAGCTATTTTATGTTTTGCAGTTTTACAGTTAGGATCATATATGTGTTAGCTTATTTTTTGTGGGACAAACCTGGTCAAAAATTGGTAATTTCTTGATTGAAGAAGACTGAAAAAAGAATGTGTGACCTGCTAATTTCAAGATTATCTATACACATAATATGTAAATAATATTATGTTCTCTCTTAAAGAGGTAAAATAAACTATAGCAACTTGAAAATAAAGACTATACTGACAGCATTAAAATATACAGAATGTTTTTACCTGTAACACTTCTTCTGCAGATGAATAGGTTTGCCAAAATTTGTTAAACAGTGAAGGCTTGTGGGAAAAGGAACTTTCAAACTGTAAGGGAAAAGAGGACATATAATTATAAATGAATTTAGTTTAAAGGTTAAAAATACATTCCTTTTTACTGAATAAAGACCTTTATTACCTTATCTCTTGCCCACTGAATCGTATGTTCAATAGCAGCTGGGAAGGATTTTAGAGTACAAAACGGTATTTCCTCTTCTGGGGGATCCCGCTAATTTATAAAATATAATAGAGAATTACACAGAAGCAATGACAACTTGATTGGCTGAGTTTAAAGGCATTAAAAAGGAAAATTCAGTGAGTGGGGGAAACAGCTCAGGGGCACATACCCTGCATGTGCAAGGCCCCAAGGTCTGGGCGGCTGGCACTGCATGGATACGGCCCCTGAGAACTGCGGGGAATAGCCCTGTTGGCCCCCCAGCACCGCAGCGTCTCAGTGGCGCTGGATCCTTCATTGAACCATCCGGCTTGCTGTGGCCCCTGGACTCTTTACACATAGCTTGGAAGGCCTTTCTTAAAATAAGAACAGAAAGTTCAGGAGTCAGGATGACAGCTCAAAGGGCTGGTGTATACGCCTGGTAGAAACCTGCTGAGTTTCATCCCTGCTACTCTATGACGATACACGGGAAAAGAAAAAACAAACTTTTAGGCTGCTCTCAATTTTGCAACTTGAGTTGATATTTTTATTATCATAAAACTTGCAATTATTTCTCAAATGACAAAAAAGTCATTATTATATGAACTATATGTACACAGACATTTTGGTCCTTTCTATGGACAAACTGATTTCTTCACTAAGCTTTTCTTTCTTTTTTTTTTTTTTTTGCTTTTTTGAGTCAAACCCGGCTATGCACAGGGGGTTACTCCTGGCTCATGCACTCAGCAATCATTCCTGGCGGGCTCGGGAGACTATATGGAATGCCAAGGATTGAGCCTGGGTAAACTGCGTGCAAGGCAAATGCCCTATCCACTGTGCTATGGCTCCAGCCCCTTCAATAAGCTTTAGACTAGGTCACCAGTTCAAAGATTGTTAGAAAGCTTCTCAGGTAGTTCTGAAAACAACTAGAATTAAGATTTCATAAAGAAAAAACAAAAAGCTTAGTAGCTTAAAAAAGTTTTAAAAATATACAGGCAAGTAATTCAAAGAATCACTTGGCACATCAGAAATAGATTAGGGAGGCTAACTCAATTTATTGTTGATGAAGACGAAAAATTTACACGAAGCAAGAGTATATGCTTTTTAAAACTGTTTTACTTACATGACTGTTATAGGACTCAGTCAAGTGAGGTACAATAATTTCAGTGTGTCCCTTAGTGCCCATTGTTCCAGAATCTAGGAGAGGTCGTAGATTTGCTAAGCAGCGACTATAAGGAAAGATACAAATGACACACATAAAGCAGTGACAATGATAAGCAAAGGACATTCTACCACTTTCAACAAACCATTTCACACGTCACTTCTTAAATGGAACCATACAGGAGACAGGAACATTGATATTGAACCATCCATTCCTTTATCATCAAATTTTATTCCTCAATCTAGTAATTGTCTCTAATCCTTACCCTCCACTTTAGTCCCTACACCACCACCACCACCACCACCACCACCACCACCATACTACTAGTACTACTACCACCACCTAATTTTTTGTTGTTTCTACACTGACTACTAATTGCATTACCTTTATCTTACTTTCTATTTCTCTTTGGTTATTTCCTTACAGATACGATATTCACGTATATCCAAAAAAAAAAAAATAAGTACAATCAAGGAAAAGAGTGCTATGAAAAGTATAGAAGAATATAGATTTTAGGTGCTAAAAAATGCTTGAAGAAGACATTTTCGTCTAAAGCTGAAAAAAATGAGGAAAAAAACTAAGACCCATGAAGAGTATGTAGACTGTCAAGAATATGTAGAGAGTCATGGGAGTTTTATAACAAGATTAACTCTTTCCTGAGGCTGAAGACAATGTGTGCTGATCCTGGGGCAAGAGATGGGGAGGGATGTGTTGGATGCACCAAAAGAACTGGAAGAAAGAAGGCACAGTGGAAAAAGAGGAGTCAGGGAGGAATATACAGATTTTATCTGGGATGACAGACACGTGGCACACACAATATGAAAAACATTTATATCAGGCGAATTTAATTTTTTATCTTAGGTGTAAGGAGTGACATAAAAGGTTTGAATTTGAGAAGGACAATAGGAACCGAGATTAATTTAAATACATTTGTGACTTTTCAGGAAGTCTTTCAGTGGACAAGAAGTGAGAACAAAAGAGAGATACGTCTTTATGAACTTTAATTTTAAGAACATACCTGTCTACATATCTTCTAGCTTCTACATTATCTAATGCTGTAATAATTATATCTTGCTTATTATAAAAATCATCGCTGTAAACAGCCTCAGTGGCTGGACAGACTTTGTTCAAGTGTGCATCTATTTTGAGCTGAGGATTTATCTTCAGGGTAGCATCAGCAGCGGTATAGCTCTTAGGTTTCTAAAAACAAAAACAGAAGAACCAGATGTTAATCAGAAAAGAGAGGCTATGACTGAACCTATATATTCCTATTAATCAGAAATGTGTGCATATGAAATGAGAATAAAGTAATGACAATAACTTTCATTTTTAATTTGTTGAAAGTACATTCATTATGTTCACATTAATAATTCATGTAATTATTTAATAACACAATTTGAGGAACCTGAACAATTTGTACATTTTGAGTAGAAATTTAAACCACCTCCAAATTATAGCTAAATGGTCCAGTGTTCTTAAAGTACTAAAATCCAATTAAGAGTACATTCTCTTCTAGTTGTGAGATTTGAACTGGATGAATAGGCCCCCTCAATAAATAAATAAATAAACAAAAAATGAGTGCACTTAGAAAAACATTTGAGAAACAATGGCAGAAAATGGGATCTTGGGGGCTGGAGCGATAGCACAACAGGTAGGGCGTTTGCCTTGCATGTGGCCGACCCAGATTCGATTCCCAGCATCCCATATGGTCCTCCGAGCACCGCCAGGAGTAATTCCTGAGTGCATGAGCCAGGAGTAACCCTGTGCATCGCTGGGTATAACCCAAAAAGCAGAAAATGGGATGTCAAAGGTACAAAGATACTACTGGCTCTGACACTACTAGTACTTATACGTCATCTTGTTTAAATTAATGTAGTGTGCATGTGTGTGTTTGTATGTGCTGCTTGGGGAGCCATACCCCCACCATGTTCAGCGTTTATCTGCTGGTATTTAAGGGACCATAGATAGTGCCGGGTTTGAACCCAGGTCAGCTGCGTGTGGGGCAAGTGCCTTACCCCCTGTTGTACTGTCTTTCTCTCTGGCCCCCAAACATCTAGTTTTAATGGCATGTTTTTCTTCTCACATTGTTAAGCTCTTATGTTTTTATTTTTCAATACTGATTATTACAAAATGAAGCTTGTTAGAATTCTGTAAAATAAAAATGAACAGGCCTTTAAATTCTTTTTAAAATTGCAAAACATTAAGTGAATTGCGTGCTAAGTTTTGTTCTAAGAGAGCCCCCTTTACTTAGATCTTTATAACTACACAGGTGAGAAAATCAGGTCTACCAAGCCCTACCTGCTCCACTTAAGTTTCCCTGTTCATGACATTCCTACACTTAATTTACTAGATTATTAATAAACTGCTAAACAATAAAGTGAAAAACATTTCTATGTAAAAGCAAATTTTCCTAAGCCCCTATTTTTCTTGACAAATATTTTGAACTCTATTAAAAATAGACTGAAAGTAAGCATTACTTTACAATGAAAGGTAATTTTTTTTTCTTTTTTTGCGTTTTGGGTCACACCTGGAGATGCACAAGGGTTACTTCTGGCTTTGCACTCAGGAATTACTCCTAGCGCAGTGGACCACCTGGGAATCAAACCCAGGTTGACCGCGTGCAAGGCAAACTTTCTACCCGCTGTACTATCGCTCCAGCCCCTGAAAAGTAATTTTAAGTTATCAAAAAAGACAAAAAGAGCAAAAAAAATTATAAATATCAAACCTTACCTGCTCTGGGATAAAAACTGGAAAGAAAAAAAAAAAGAAAAGAAAAAACCCAGGCAAAAAAGTATCAGATTCGTTTTCTGTTTTTGGGGTTACTCCTGGTTCTGTACTCAGGAATTACTCCTGGTTGTGTAGTCGGGGGAACATATGCGATGCTAGGGAAACTCAGGTTGGAGACATCAAGGAAAGCACCTTACCCACTGTACTACTGCTTCATCCCATAAGTACCAAATCTGTAACCTATTAGAACTTCAGTTCTGAAACCTAGTTTCTATATATTTTGTTTCTAAAATTCAGTATGTAGACACATCTTAATTTCAAAGAGAAAAAACAAACAACAACAAAAAAAATCAAAGCACACAATTCACCATGACTTACAATTCAGATTTTATATATAAAAATAATGGAAAAATCCAGTTCATTAAAATTAATTAATTTCCCCCCCCCCCGCCACAATGTCACTCCTAATGTGGTAATTTGAGAAATTCTAGCAAATTAAATAATAAATTATATCTCAACTGGCTAAGCACCATTTTCTACTCATAAAAAGGGAACCGTTTTCATATAACACAATAGAGGACTAAAATTTGAAACAGAACAAAAACACACCTGAATGTGATGAGGACGGAATAGAAACTGTCGGTTCAAGTTGGACTTTTCTATTAAGTCAGGATCTGTAACTGTGATCTAGTGCCAGGGAAAGAAAACAAATTATATGACAAACCATTTTAAAACGATTTTCACTTTTCTCAGGAAGATTAAAGCTCCCACGAGTCATTCTAAATTATTCTGGCTGGCAAAAGTTACAGTAATAAAATATTGTAAGGTTACCCATACTACTACTCCCTTACTTGCTGCTGCTGCTGCTGCCGTGCTTGGGTGCTGTCATCATACATGCTAGGGGCTTAAGCCAGGGCACATACTTGCTGTCGTGCTCCAGGGGTGCACAGACTTGGCTGTGGCACTGATCACACTGGCAGAGCCAGGGATCAGACATGCAGTAATTTGGGGTGGTGTCAAGGATCAACTCTCTGGTTTCAACAAGCTGGGAACGCATTCTCCCACCGAGTCATGTCTTGGGGCTCTCTCCAATCTACTATTTGTAGTTGATACTCATTTATTTTAGGGTCATACCCAATGATATTCAGGTCTTATTTCTAGATCTGCACTCCAGGAATCACTCTGGGAGGTGCTGGGAGATCATATGGGATGCCAGGGATCCAACCCGGGTCTGCTGCATGTAAGGCAAATGCCCTCCCCAATGGATTATCACTCTGCACCCCCCCAATATTTAGTTATAATTAATGTTTGGTTTGCACAGAAATCAGTCAAACTATTGAAACCAACTGTAATTCCTGCTTGAAACTATACTAAGTATTCATAACTAAACAGGTAACAACGCCATTATTGCAGGTGACCAAAATATAAATGTGAACTACTACAGAACTTTTAACTGTTTAATTATTCACTCACGATTAGTTATCATTATCATTATTGTTATTTTTAGTTATCATTATAAATCTTTAGCATCACTATTCTGGGAACCCAGCTAGAGCATTTAAAGATAGCAAATAAAATGGAAAAAAAAAAGCCTTTTATTTAAATATAACATGGCTTACCAATAAACTCATATTTATACTCTTACGAATTTAAAGTGACGGAGCCACAGGGATAGGACAGTGGTTACGGCCTTTGCCTTGCAATGCGGCTGATTCGGGTTCAGACCCTAGGATCCCACATGGTCCCAAAGCCCAGGCGGGAGTGATCTCTGATACTGGCCTGAGGGGGCCGAGAATTTAATCATGGCTGATTGTAAAGTTGGGTGCTATTAATAACTTTGTAAATTTCCGTACCGCAATAAAAAAGATATTTAAAAAAAAAATTTGAAGTATAAGCATTTATATTATTTTCTCTTCTTTTGGATAATCACTAATTGAAACTAAATATTCTTTCTTCCTTCCATTTTCTAATGCTAGCTTCTTCTCAGATTTAATAATTAGTATGTAATAGAAATAACAATAATAAAATCAATGTGCTTTATAATTTACACTTCCACAGTTGATCCTTACAAATTATATTATGAGGTTGGTATTACAGGTATATTTTATAGTGTGAGGGAAAGTGAGGAACGCAGAATTAAAATAAGAGGCTAAAAACTCCTAAATATTTTTGGGAAGGGGCAGGGGACACATCCAATGATGCTCAGGGGTTCTTCCTGGCAGTTCTCAGGGGACCATGTAGGGTATCAAGGATCGAACTTGGGTCAGCCATGAGTAAGGAAAGAATCATATCCACTGTATTATCACTCTGGTACCTAAAAACTCCTTTAAAAAAATTTTTTATTGAATTACCATGAGATATAGTTACAAGCTTTCATGTCTGAGTTACAATCACACAATGATCAAATACCCAACCCTTCCCAGTGCACATTTCTCACCACCATTATCCCCAGTATACCCCCACCTTTACCACCCTCCCATTGCTTTCGTGGCAGACAATATTCCGAATATTCTCTCTACTTTTGGGCAGTACGGTGTGCAATACAGATACTGAGAGGTTATCATGTTTGGTCCTTTATCTACTTTCAGCACACATCTCCCATCCCGAGCAACTGCTCCAACCCTCATTTTCTTAGTGATCCCTTCTCTATTCCAGCTACCTTCTTCCCTCCACGCATGAGGCAGGCTTCCAGCTATGAAGCAATCTTCCTGGCCCTGGAATCTACAGTCCTTGGGTGTTGGTCTCATGTTATGTTATTTTATACTCCACAAATGAAAACGCCTAACTTTTAAAAAGTGGTTAGAGTACTATCAGAATCCTGCCAATTTCTAGTTTAATGTTCTACCTTCAAAAATAATGCCACAGGGAACTGCCATCTTCCAGGAAATCACAAAGATGACCAAGACAAAGTGAAAAAGAAGGGGCACCAGCTATGTGTTCTTTAAACCATTTAGAAAACATGGAGCTATTCCTTGGTCACGTACATGCGGATCTACAAGAAAGGTGATGTTGTAGACATAAAGGGAATGAGCACTGTAGAAAAAGGAATGCCCACAAATGTTCCCATGGCAGAACTAAAGAGTCTACAGTGTTACCCAGCGTGCTGCCAGCATTGACCTTAACAAGGCCAGGGCAAGATTCTTGCCAAGAGAATTACTGTTTGTATTGAGCATATTAACCACTCCCAGAGTCGAGACAGTCTGAAACAGGTGAAGGAAAAGATGAGAAAAAGAAGAAAGCAAAAGAGAAAAGGGCTTGGGTGGGTCCAACTGACACACCACCCTGCTCCACCCAGAGAAGCTCACTCTGAGAAGCCAAGGGAAGGAGCCGGAGCGACTAGAGCGCATTCCCTAGGGATGCATGGCACAGAGGAGTTTGTTTAAACAGAACACTCCTGGACGAAAAGAAAAAAATCCACACTATAGATCTAAGCACTCAAATACAGTTTACAAATGTACAGCAACAGAACATAATCTTAAGTGGGAAAGAATTACACCTTACCATGCCTTTCTCTTTGCCTGCACCAACACCAAGTAAAGCAAAATTTTTCAGCATTTCACAGCCTATGGCTCCACACCCTACCTGTGGAGAAAAAAAAAAAAGATATACATATCAGTTTGAATAAAACCAGACTGTCTTAAATAAAACCAGAATGTCTTACTAAAGAAAAACTTCAATTTTATTTAAAAATACACATTTTGGGGGGTCGAAGGTTTGCTAGCCAGTGTTGCTCAGGACTTACTCTTGGCTTGGAGCTCAGGGATCACTCCTGGTGGGATGCTGGGTATGAATCCTAGGTCAACAGGCAAGGCAAGCACCCAACCTGTTGTACTATCACCCCGGCCTCAAATCAAGTTTTTTACAATCAAGTTTAGCATTTGTAATTCCTTTAGTTAAAAATATTTAAATAATTTCCATTATAAACACCAATTAAAAATATATAATAAAAATTATAATATAGTACTGTCCTCTCATTCATCGATTTGCTCAAGCAGGCACCAGTAACGTCTCCATTGTGAGACTTGTTACTGTTTTTGGCATATCGAATACACCATGGGGAGCTTGCCAGGCTCTGCCGTGTGGGCGAGATATTTCGGTAGCTACTGGGCTCTCCGAGAGAGACAAAGGAATCGAACCCAGGTCAGCCGCGTGCAAGGCAAACATCCTACCGGTTGTGCTATCGCTCCAGCTATTTACAATAATACTATTAACTCTAATATTATCCTAAAGCAGATGGCATTTTAAAAATTACAAAGTGCCAAACATTGAGCTTAAGCACAGGCATGTGCCACACCTGGTGGACCTTGGAGATCCGTAACAGTGACAGGGATTAAACCCAGGACCTCACAAATACTCAACTTGTGCTCTATCACTTTAGCTTGAAATATACATATATATACACATATGATATATATTAATCTATGATGCAAACAAGTAACAAAAAACAGTAGTATAGAACTCAAAAAAATTACTTATTTAATTTCTAAAGCTCTTTTGAGACCTAAAAACTCTAAAACTTAATCCTATTATTAGTTTTCATGTGAAAATGGTTACACATACAAGTCAAAGTTCAGCAATAGCTGGTTTTCAAAACATTTTAAAAAATTACCAAATACTAGCAGTTTTTTCAGAACTCATAATAATAAAAAAGGCCTTCCTGTGGTAAGAAAAACAGTAAAAAAAAAAAAATCCATCAGTATATTTCATTTGGTTAAAAAAATTTCATGATCAACTTTAAATCTATTTGTAGAAATCATTTAATATTCAAAGCTATCATATTCAAATGTTAATTTTAAAAATGCTAATTCTTTGGACTAGGCATTGGTGAACTTTTCTGTAAAAAAAAATAAAGTAGTAAATATTTCAGCTTGGCAGGCAAATGTCTCTATCACAACTACTTAATTCTGCTATCATAACATGAAAGAAGTCACAGCTAATACTTAAAAAATTCCAAACACAGGCATGAGGGATGGGTTTGATCTGTGGATCAAAGGCTGCAAACTCCTGCTTGAAATACGTACTGAGTATTTACTACATTAGGAACTATATTTGCCTTAATATAGTTGCCTTGATATACTCTCACTTAACTCAGGGCATACAAAGATGGGTTAATAATACTGTGCAATCTAACAACATTCATACTTACTAAGAAGATATTCAAATTTTGCAGCTTCTGACACAAACTGTCTCCAATACATGCTCGTAAGGGATCATATCTATCTCCTCTGAAAAAAAATAAGTAAACAAAAGACATAAAGAACCCAAATATTAATTTCATTACTGCTTAATTTAATGTTGTATTTAAAATACAGTATTAAGAGTTTTTTCTGAACAAAGACGTAGAAAGTTTCTATCAGGCAATAAAAAAATGTTAACTCCACGGCTTGAGAAACTACAAAAAGAACAACAAATTCCAAATTAAGTTGAAAGAAGGAAATAATTACATTTCAAGGAGGAATCAATGACAGAGAAATCAAGAAAACATTACAAAGGGACAAAAAACCAGGAGCTGATTATTCCAAAGAATAAAATTAAAAATTCCTTACGTAGAATTACAAAGAAAAAGAGAACCCAAATAAACTGAATCAAAGACAGAAAGAAAATACGATATAAGAGACACCTCAGAAAAACAGAAAATCATAAGAGGTTACTATGAACAACTTTATGCCAGTGAACTGGAAAATCGGATTTAAAAAAAAAAAGAGAATAAATTCTTAGAACCATTCAACTTCTCAAGATTGAATCAGGATGAAGCAGAAAACCTACAGAGTAACTGCATGTAAGGGAATTAAAACAGTAATTAAAAATCTCGTCAAGAACTAAAACGCTGGTCCAGATGAGTTCCCTAGAGAGTTCTAACAAAAGTTCAAAGAAGACCTAGTGCCCATACGCCCAAGAAACAGGAATCCTTAATGATGGATAGCAGAGCAGGTTAAGGTGTTTGCCTCGCACGCGGCAGACCTGGGGTGATCTCCATGAAAGCAGAGCCAGGAGTAAGGCCCTGAGCACTGCCAGGTGTGGCCCAAAAACCAAAAGGAAAAGAGAAAAAAAAAAATGAAGAAAACGGAAACCTTCCTTACAGCTTTATAAAAGCAACATTACCCTAACACCAAAAGCATTTAAGAGGTACCAATTAAAATAAGAAAATACAGGGCAATATCCCAGAGGAACATTAAAGATCCTTAACAAAATCTTATCAAACCTCATCAAATCGTATCTAAAGAACCATATGTATCTAAACCAAATGTATCTAAAGAACCATATGCCATGATCAAGCTTCATTCAAGGAATGAAAGTAGCTTAATATATATAAAAATCAATTACTGCAAGACACCAAATCAACAAAAAAGAATGATTAACAATCATATGAGCATATGACTAACAGATGCAGAAAAAGCTTTTGAATAAAATCAACTGCAATTCATGATAAATCCTCAATGAAACAGGGATAAAATAACTATAATTCACAAATAATGATCATTTACAACAAACTCACAGTATCAAATTCAATGCGAAAAAACTGAAAGCATACAGTGTCTTTTTCTACATACAGTGTTGTTGTTCATAGTAACCTCTTTCATTCAACATGGTTTTTGGAAGTCCTTGCCACACCAATAAGAAAAAGGAATCAAGGAAGTCCAAATTGGAAAAGAAGATATTAAACTATCACCAAACTGTCATGATTTATACACAGAAAATCCCAAACTCTTATAAAAAAAAACTCTAGAACGAAACAATATAGTTTAACAGTAGGCTAACGACTATCAACACAGAAAAATCTGATTCATTTCTATTATACAAATAATGACACTAGAAGAGAAAGAAATAAAAAAGATAGTATCACTCAAATCAAAACTATAAAATAACTACGAATCAGTTACGGATGTGGATAACTTGTAAGTTATTAAAGGAAATATCTAACAAAACTGATTTCCTGAGGGGAAAGAAAGGGAATGGTGACCCTTGTCCAGAGGTGACACAGGAACAAAGGCAGAAGGAAGACTGCGGGAACTCTGGCAGTGTGCAGTAGCTTTGAATACTAACACCATATACTTCTGCACTGATGCAACCATCTTACCTAAATTATAATAAAAATATACCTAATTATAATAAAATATAAATCATAACAAAAATTATAAAATAAAAATAAGCTGCTTATAAAGCATGACTGATATAAATAAAAGATGCAATATAGTAACTTCACATGTACAGTCTTGTAATAGTTTAAACCTACATTCATATTTATAAGTCGGCAAAGAAATTGAACTATTTTGTACTTTAAATAGTCTTTAAGTAGAGAAGAAATCACTGCAGAAGTAAACGACATAAGGAGAAACAGTTTCTAAAACAAATATATGCTTAGGTAATATTATTGATGTAGTCGAACAAACACAGTTAAGAAAGAAGCAGCTGAAATTCTAGTATTACCGTGGTAAAAACTCTTCACGTTCAGGTCTATCCAGGGGCTTAACAACATCTGCCGCTTCAATGTATAACTTGAAGTGTAAAAGAAAAAATAAGATTTATTATGTATTAAACTTCTATTAAAAAAAGTAATTCCTATCTTTATTATTAGTAAACATTAAGGTAAGCAATGATAAAAATGCCAATATTTTGAAATATGTAACATTTTTTACACAATACACAATTATATTCTTTTGCTAAAACACTGACAATTCAAAAAAGTTGTTAAAAGCTATTTTGTTGCATGCTACTTAGCCATCCTAAGGATGATGTAACAAAAGGGAATTTCACTTAGTAATGTACCTTTTATGAATACATGAAAAACTATATTAAGAAGTCTCACTCAATTTTAGCTATTCTTGCTTTCTTTCATTTATAAAATAATTAGTTTTAAATAGGAGCTCAACCGTGGTGCTGGGATTCAACTTTAGAACCTTGACATGCTGAACATCAACCATTTACTGATTATTTCTTGCCAATTTCAGCTGTATTTGAATAATTTGATTAGTCCTTAATAATAAAATCTAGACTATTTTCTAGAGTAATCTGATTACTCTTTGATAAGAAAATCTAGTCTATTTATATTCTAGCTTGAGTTACTTATAAGCTGTTTATCATTAGAACATGCATAAGAAATGCCACAGGAAGCCAATTTGAGCACTTCTGAGCACTTTTTCACATCTGAACTTACACTGTGATAAAAATAATGAAATTCTGCAGCAACAAAGCACTATGTGGGCCCACTCTAAAGCAAACAAAAATATAAAGATAAATGCTATACTCAAAATATCTCAGGAGCTTCAAAAAGAAAGAATCTGAAGCCTGTGATCGGATAACTTTTGTACATTACTCCGTCTGAGAGTAGAAAGAAGGGTTCTTTCTATTTCTATTCCATCTGTGATGCATTAACACAGCATATGTAACCAAATTTGCATATTTGCAAATTTGTAACCAGAAAGGGAATCTGAAAATGCGTAAGTCCAAAAGATTCCATGGGACAAGTTCAACAGTCCTGACAGCTCAGGAATAATAAATAATATAGAAGACTAAGAATTTAGGACAGGAAATGCATTCCCTCATTCTCACAAATGAGAGAAATAACTCTCAATGCAAGTGTGGTTTATAGCTCGGTAATATCAACTAAAAAAGTTCTGATTATAGAATTTCATTTTGGTGGCAAATCACATCTCTTATGCGTCAAAAAGTTTTTGAAAGTTATAATAAAAATAATAATTAAACCTGGAATTTATAGTTGACATCCCATGTATGGGTAAATTCTAAATACAAAAAAATGATAGAAATATAGAACTAACCCACTGGCACAAAGGAGAAAACTTTCCTGTCACAGCTTTCAATACTTCTTGGCTGGCAATACCTCCTACTGCTGCAGCAACTGGGGGTAAAAGGCCTCGAGCAGTCCAAGAGAGCCAATGAACAATGTTGGCGTTTACGTCAGGCTGAAACGGAAGCCAGAAGAGACAGCATTAACAGTATTCACAAAGTACATTCAAAATTTCAATGACCATTTGTTACTTTAACTTCTTAAATAATATCCCTATTTCATCATAATTGTTTCAACAAATGCGCTAGAACCACTGGATATTCATGTATAAAATTTTTTTCCTTAATCTATCCTTGGAAAGGCATAAAAAACATGAGCTCATAAAAGTACAAAACTACATACAATTAAAAATGCAGCTACAGAACCAAACTTTGTACAGAGTACAAAACTGTACAATTCATGAAACCATAAAATTTTCTGAAATAGGACAAAAAGGGCACTCGGGTTTTTTTCCCCCACAGATTTTGGCTATTGTGAACAGTGCAGCAATGAACATAGAAGTGCAGATGTCACTTCGACTGTACTTTTTTGCCGCTCTGGGATATATTCCCAGGAGTGGTACTGCTGGGTGAAATGGGAGCTCAATTTCTAATTTTTGGGATCATACACAAATGCTTAGGGGGGCCATATGGGATGCCAGAGACTGACCCTGTGTTGCCGCATGCAAGGCAAGAGCCCTACCCACTGTACTATCACTCCAGGCCCCTATGTTACACATTTTTTGATGGCATAACTTTGAAAATTCACCTTCTCTTCCAAAGTTCCACTTATAGATGTTGTTAGTTTCAGCAGCTCTTCTGAATCTTGCTGGCATCTAAGATTCAAAGCAAAGCATCCAATTTCAGTTTTATTTTTCACCCAACAGCTATTGTCAAAACTAAAACTTAAGAAATATGCTTAAAAAAAAAAAGACAACACTGGAGTTTTGACAAGAGCCAGTAGAAAGTGCTTTACTGACTTGAAGATACTGAACTCAGAGAGACATCATTCCTCTCTAAGGAAAACGCATAAAACATTTAGCCAAAAAACATAAAGCAAAAACTTCTGCAACAATACTTCTGGTGTACTAGGTTAGAAGATAAAATATTACATAGAAGTAATCAAAATTCAGTAATCCTAATATTTTTTAATTTAATAAAGTTGTAGCTTTAGAAAATCTAAAAATGAGAAAATAGTAAAATTCCATTTTTAGTAAATTGATCTCTATATTTTCATTAGAACAAGCAGAAAAATATTAATTTTTGATGTATCTACCAGTCTCATAATTTTGAGAGCTTAAATTTTTTAAATTTATAATTTTTATAAAATAGTTTAAAATATTTATTATAAAGAATGATTTTTTTTGTAATGAGAAAAAAAGTTATTTCAAACGAAGAACATTACCCAATATTTGGCTTGCGACTGTATTTCTCCTGAAACTGGTCCAAGGCAAGCATAGCTGCGTGAATCTGCAGAGATGCCTATTAGGAACACAAAATGCTGTTTAAGATTTACTGAGTACTTAATATACGCTAGGAATTTAAACATCATTTACTTCCTGTGATAAATATGTTATCTAATGTCTCTAACAGACAAGGAAACAGAAGAGGCTTAAAATAAGACAAGAGAGCACATCAAGACTTTAAAGCAACATTTTAAGCAGTACATCAAAGTTTTTGGGGCTGGAGCGATAGCACAGCGGTAGGGCGTTTGCCTTGTGCGAAGCCAGCCCAGCCGGTTTGATTCCTCCGCCCCTCTCAGAGAGTCAGGCAAACTACCGAGAGTATCTCGCCCGCACGGCAAAGCCTGGCAAGCTACCCATGACGTATTCCATATGGCAAACACAGTAACAAGAAACCTCAAAATGGAGACGTTACTGGGCCCGCTCAAGCAAATCGATGAACAACAGGAGGCCATTATCAAAGTTTCAATTTCAGATGGTGTAATTTATTTTTACTAGACATTCATTTACAACTGATAAGAATATTAAGTGAATAAGGATAACAAAAACGCTTGTGCAAGACTTTCTAATCTTTGGTCAACATTTATGAAAATCGACACTGGTAATATAAATTCTCCCCTTACGTAAATATATTCACTGTTACAAAATTAAATCCAGCCATCTGCATTTTAAAGTTTCTGGGGGATGGGGTGGTGGGATGCATTAAATAAAACTCTACAGCACTCAAAAAATTCTTTACAAAGATGGGTTGGGGGGAGGGGGCTCCAGAGCAGCACTGGGGGGGATCGCTCCTGGCAGTTTGCAGCCAGTCAGGCCATCAGCTCAATGGAGGGCTTGAGTCTGTGTGCAAGGTATTAGAACTCTAAAACCCCAGAAAAAAACTTTTAATAAGCTCACCTTTATATAAACTATTACAATAATTTTTTTACTAAGAAATCCTAGCAGCAGAGTCAGAGGGACTGTACAGTGTGTAGGGCATTTGCCTTCACATAGCTGACCTGGGTTCGATCTGGTATTCCATATTCCCCCGAATATTGTCAGGAGTAATTTGAGTAGAGCCAGGAGTAAGCCCTGAGCATCATAGGTGTGGCCATCCCACCAGAAAGAGACACTTTCTTTTATTTTCCTGTAATTTTTTCATAATATAAAGTCTTTTGTTTTTAATCCCTGGAAGTCAATTTTAGATATGTGACTATCATCTTTATTTAAACGATCTGATAAAAAGGTAGACATGGTTAATCCATGTAAACTTTACTACTGTTTACCAAAGTCCATCCTCAAGTCCAATCTTCTTACCTCAGGTTTGCTGAAATCCGCAATTAGGCACTTTGGATCTTTTATCTGCTGCTCCAATGGTTCCTAAAAGGGAGAGAGGAAGGGAGTGGGGAGAGAAAACTATTACTTCTGAGCAAGCAAGTGATCACTTGACAAAACATGCTACAGCATGTCAGAACACTAAGAAAAATCTATTTTTCTTTATGGGGAAAATGAGTTTTGTGTCACACCTGGGGTGCTTGGGGACTTCTCCTGGGCGACTGAACAAGCACCTTAATTCTGAACTATCTCTCAAGTCCAACAAGGAATTTTCCTCCCGAAGGCTTGAGATAAAATTGACACAGTATATTCCGACTACACATAAACTTGCTACCATTCACTGTTACTGTTTGTCTGGTGACACGTTCCCCCGCCCAGGGCCACTTCTGGTGACGAGTGGCCAACTGGGTTATAGCCCAGCAGGCCTACAGAAGTAGGTTCAGGGGCCACTAGGACTACACAGGGTGGTGTTTTGGGGGTGGGGGGATATGGGAGTTTGTGGGGTGGGGATAAGGTGGGCGGAAGTGAGGAGGGGTGGGACAGGACAGGAGAGTGTGAGGGTAGGAACAGAGCAAGGGTGGGGGGAACGAAGTACCTGGCATAAACAGGTATATATATGCAAAGAGTATACCCTGACTAATATACCTAATCTCACAATTCAACTTTGTAAATGTTAAATGAAAAAAACCTGTGCTACATAGTAAACTTGGGAATAAGAAATAAACTGATGAATGAGACAATGCATACCCCATAAATCTAGTTTTTATTTATTTATTTTTAATTTTTATTAGTGGACCACCACGAGATACAGTTGTAGACTTACAAATTTTTGTGCTTGGGTTTCAGTTATGCAATGATCGAGTACTCATCCCTCCACCACTGCATATTTTCCACCACCAATGATTTCAGTATCCCCTCACCCCCTCATAGGCATTCCCTTTTGTTCTCTCTCTCCTTTTGGGTGCTGTGGTTTGCAAAAGAGGCACTGAGTGGCAATCATGTTCGGTCTATAGTCTACTTTCAGCATGCATCTTCCATCCTGGGAGGATCCTTCCAACACCCTTTTCCCCTAGCATGTGCGGCTGGCCTCCAAGCCATGGAGTGAACCTCCTGGTGCTTACCTCAACTATTCTTGGGTGTTAGTCTCCTATTTTGTAACTTTATATTCCCCAGATGAATGCAATCATTCTATGCCTGTCCCTTTCTTTCTGACTCATTTCACTTAGCATAATGCTTTCCATGTAGTACCACTTGTATGTAAATTTCATGACTTCACCTTTTCTAACAGCTGCGTAGTACTCCATTGTGTAGATGCAACAAAGTTTCTTTAACCAGTCATCTGTTCTTTGGCACTTGGGTTTTTTCCAGATTTTGGCTAAATTTATTTTTTAAATTGAAAGGCTCAATCATACTATTTTGAAATTAAATTATCAAGACTTGTTACATCTAAAAAACCTGAAATAAATTTATCCTGTGTAGGGCTGGAGATGTGACTCAGCAGTAAAGCACTTGCCCTTACATATGTAAGGCCTTGAATTCAATTACCGGCATCATCCAGTACAAAAAAAAAAAATTAAAAATTTACTATATGTAGCAAAAAACATTCAAAATGACCAACCTTGAAAACCTCAACACCCACCAAATCAGAAATTTACTCTAGTGGTGTGAAAGCACAGCGGTAGGACGTTTGCCTTGCACGCAGCCAACATGGCCGACCCAAGTTCGATTCCTCCAACCCTCTCGGAGAGCCCGGCAAGCTGCCGAGAGTATCTCGCCCGCATGCCACCGTGACGTATTCGATACGCCAAACACAGTAACAACAAAGTCTCCAATGGAGACGTTACTGGGCCCGCTCGAGCAAATCGGTGATCAATGGGAGGGCCTTTACTTTTACCTTTTACTCTAGTGGCAAGCTATTTTAAAACTGCAACAGAAAGTAATCCAACAACACATCTTACACTCTGTAGTGTTTCACCTACTTGTTCTAGCTTTGGTTTGTACATAGCATTGTAGAGGACTGTGACTAATAATAGCTCTGGAAAAGAAAGGGCTTTAAACTTACAAGGAAAAACAGAGGTGTATTAGCATATAATGAGAAGTTGCTTAAGGATTTAAACAAATTTCTTAGTTCTCTGAAACTAAAATAAAGAATTTTCATTATTCAAATTCTTGTATTTTCCTTTTAATCCCAACGAACAGGATTTTACACCTCCAACATAATGTACTACATCTTAAAATTGAAATTAAAATTAAAAAAGCTAAAGCAACTATGATAACTGGCTTTAACTTTGGTCTTAGGAAATAATAAAAAGTTTAATTTTGATGACTAAAAAAAATATAGTTCCTTTGAGGTAACTCATAGATCATACATTGGCATTCTAACCAAAAATATTTTTGTGAATAGTGTTTTCCTGAGACAAATCTACCATTCTCAAAGTGGGAATAATCTGAAAACCAACATCTGTTTCATCTTTAAGAGAATTGTTTGGCCTAGCCTTTCCCCCTCCCTAGTCAAGGTAATCCTGAGTTGCATTAATCAGGTGTTTCAGGAATCCTTTTCTATATCCCTACACAACTAAGCTCTCACCTCAAAGTGCTACTGGAACCCCCTCACAATTTATCTTATACACCCCCCAATGGCAACCTGTGTTACATGATCAAAATCCAAAAGTTAGCTTTGGATTATTTTTGTTTGTCCTTGTTTTGTTCTTTGTATTTCACATGAGTACTAACATTTCTAATTTATCTTTTTCTGACTTATTTGACTTAATATAGCACCATCCAAATCCACTGTTACAAACGGCAAGATTTCATGTTATACCTACAGTATCTGTACCGCAAATCATAATGACCAAAAGGAAACAGTGAGAGAAAAAGAGAGAGAGAGAGAGAGAGAGAGAGAGAGAGAGAGAGAGAGAGAGAGAGAGAGAGAGAGAGACAGGGGATGTGGGGGGTGAAAATTGTCTGCCGTGGAAGCAGACTAGGGGGTGAGGAGTGGATGGAGGGGAATTGGGGACACTGATTGTGGGAAATGTACACTGGTGAAGGGATGGGTGTTGGAACATTATATGACTGAAACCCAATCATGGTCAACTTTGTAACTGTTTATCTCACACTGATTTAATAAAAACACTTAAAAAAATTTCATGCTATCCCTGAACACTACCGTCCATAGTGTAAACATACATACATACATACATACACCCCCCCCCCCCCCCATCAGTCAACATTGGGCACTTGAGGTGTTTCCATATTTGGGCTCTTGTAACTAGTTCTGTAATGAACAAGAAAATGCATAAACCTTTTCAAAAGAAAATCTCCGTATTCTTTAGAGAAATACGTAAGTGACGTAAGTGTACAATTCCTGGTTTTACAGCATACTCAGAAATCTTTGAAATGATTTCCAAAGGGGCTAGAACAGTTTCCATTCTCACCAACAATGTGCAAGAATTCCTTCTTCAACTAAATACTATTTTTTTCTCTTTTACCATTCTTCTATAAAGAACTATTTTTTAAACACCCCCCCCCACCGCCCCGCAAAAAAAAAAAAATACTTACAAAGTAAAATGTTTTAGGAGTCTTAACTTGGATAGCTATGCCTCCATGTAAATAAGGTTCCAGTTTTGTAGTATCTCCAATGCTAAAGGAAAATGGTGATATGACTAAAAAAAAAAAAAAATTACAAAGTGATAGAAATTTAAGCCTGAAAATTTATCACCACGATGCTAATTTTCTCTAAACTGAAATATTAAGGTATCAGTATAATTGAAGGAGGTGGAATGGGGAAGAAGTGAGTGGAAGAATAGGGAGCTAGATAATTTTCTGCAACTCATATAGAATTTGTCAAATCAATAGGAAAATATAAAAATTTAGAAATTATAATAAAGGAGAAATAAATAGTTCAGAAATTTAAGACACCAATTTTATTATTATTTTTCTTTAAAGAGAAGTAAAATAGATTTCAAGAAATTTGGAGAAATGTGAGGGGTAGAGAGAGAGGTACATTCTCAAAAGAAAACATGGTTTCTCCAGTGGGGAAAAAATTACATCCCCCTCCTTCCTCCATTTTTTGAGGTATACTTAATTTCACTTATAGATGGGCAGAAAATGTTTCACTGTAAAAATTTTCAATTGCTTTTTGAACCACATGCTGACTCAAAAATTCAACAATAAGCTTCTCTTTCCATATACCTTTTCATTAAGTAAAGATAAACAGATAGAACATACATTTTTAACCACCTCAAATAGTATATTATTTTAGCCCTGAAGAAAAAAGGTTTTCTTAAATAACTAGTATCAATTACTAAATATTCTAAACAGTCTCATAACCACTCTAGTGCTATTTGGTCATACCCAGCGATGCACAGGGGTTACCCCTGGCTCCTGCACACAAGAATTACTCCTGGCGTGCTTGGGGAGACCATATGGGATGCTGGGAATCGAACCCAGGTCGGCCACGTGCAAGACAAACACCCTACCTGCTGTGCTATAGCTCCAGTCCTCCACTGCTATTTTAAAAAGCACTCAAAAGTCAAAGAATTTTTGGTACAAAACAGGAATTTTTATGAACTGTGTTGTCTTTTATAGTCTGCAAAAATATTCTTTCATCACCTTTCTAAGCCAATGCACTATTCAAATTAAAATCAAGACATCCTGTCCCCACTGTCACTATCCTATCACTGGGTAATTTTTCCTGCTAAATATAGTTCTTAGAATACCTGTATTCTCTATTTAATTTTATAATAATATTATTTAACATTAACATCTCACTTGGATTGAATGTTTTTACGCCAACACCTAGACAGTACCTGACTGAGTTTTCAACGTTTAGTACCTGAGCGATAGCACAGCGGTAGGGCGTTTGCCCTGCACGCAGCCAACATGGCTGACCTGAGTTCGATTCCTCCACCCCTCTCGGAGAGCCCGGCAAGCTACCGAGAATATCTCGCCCGCACGGCAAAGCCTGGCAAGCTCCCCGTGACGTATTCGATATGCCAGACACAGTAACAGCAAAGTCTCCATGGAGATGTTACTGGGCCCGCTCGAGTACCTGAGTTATAAATGTACTGAATCAGAACTATGCATACGTGAATTAATAAAACACCAAATTACCAGTTATTTGCTGTGTAGATCCATTTAAGCCTGTCATTCCATTAATTTCTCGAAAAGTTAGAAACTGTCCTGTCTGAAGTTTGTGAGGATGATTATCAAGACAAGTGACAATGCCAGGATTAGCCTAAAATGAAGAATAATCTACTAAAAACAAGTTCATGCATTTTTTTCATTCAAATCCCAAATCTCAAACACAAATTATATCATCATGGTCATTTTCAAAACAACCAAATTCCATTTCCTTCTCTTTTCTCAGTAAAAGTCTTAAAAAAAAACTGTCATATCTGTTGTGATCAATTTTCTTTTTATATTAAAAATATGTAACTTTAAGCTTGGAGGGGATTGTAGACATTCAACAATTAAATATCTCACAGATGCAAAGATTCTTATGACTTATAAAAAACATACAAAGTATCCAATTTAAATTTTAAAGTCATGTTATAAAAATTTCGGTGTGCATTAAAAAAGAGCAACTGAATAACTAGAGAAATGCTAGAAAGAATACATTTTTATAAAGATGAAAATTTAAAATTTGTTAAGTCTCAAGTATAATGCTTGCTCATTTGAAGTATTACTGTGCAGTCCTGCTTACTTATTACAATGAAAACTGGAAAAAAAATTTCTTTTCACTGAAGAGCACAGATGAAATAGGACAAAGGAATAGATATTACATTTTAATTTATGCAAAACGTGGAAGAGGTGATTACCTTAAAAAATTATTGGTTTTGGGCCACACCCTGTGGTGCTCATGGCTTACTCCTGGCTCTGTGCTCAGGGATCAACCCTGGTAGGCATGATGGACTATGTGGGACATAGTTGGCCCTGTACAAGGCAAATGCCCTACTCACTGTACTATTGCTCAGGCCCCAAAGTAAGTGACAATTTAATCTACACAAGCCTAGTAAAATTAGGATAATAATAAATTACCATCACACCCATGTGAATTTATAACTTGCATGTAAACTCCATGTAACTCTATTTCATAAAAATGGAGTTTACAGATCATGAACAAGGAGAAAAAAAATTGCAGGTAACTGAAATGGGAGCATTTATATTATTTTCTTATTTTTATAACATCTCACTTGGATTGAATATAGGTAACTCCTATATTTCCTGTATTATTCAACAAAACAAAGCACCTGTTAAATATCATACTGTTTTTGGACCTTGCTCTGATAGTGTGATATTCTCAGGAAAAAACAAAACAATACAGAAAGGCTGTTTAAGAAAAGATGAATAAACTAGTCTGTAAGCAGAAATATTTTCAGTAAAGTTTTCTGAAAAAGGTAACAGGGGTTTGGGTTTAAAAATCAAGCAAGAAGATAAGTGAACAAAAGCTATTAGACGAAGTTTATGGCATTCCTTCATATTTGGTTCTTCTGAGTTGTAGTGCAAAATGACTACAATAGTTGTTACTGATATGTACCTGTATATATCAATATATGTGTGCATATGTATATATATACACACACATATATATTTTTTTCAAATAAATCAAATGATTTAATTTTTTAAAAGCAGTACAAATGGGCCATAATGATTCCTCTAATATAGGAATAAAAAATTAAGCTTACATAATACAAAAGTGTGGTTAAAAAATTCACGTTATTTATTTTTAAAAAAGTTTTAGGCCACAACCACCTGCTCCAAATGAACCCTGGCAGTCACAAACATCCAGAACTCAATCGCCACCACCCCCAAGGCCCATCTTCATAGGCTCATCCTGAGCTCCCCAAGCAAGAGAATGAATGCCCTGAAAAACCCAAGTATGCGGGACCAGTGACTGAAAACTCCAAGCATCAAGGAGCTGTAAACAGGCCGCCCCTTCCCATCTCCACGCCCTTATGAGGTAGAGGTTGTCATGGCCATGAACTGCCTCCTGGTGCCATTGATAGCACATTAACAGTCATGATACAGACTCGCAAATGAATCTTGGAAACAGAGCAGCTTGCTGCAGAGATGTCTCCGGACCCCAATTACTTAAAATTTCAGAATGACCACTTACGTGGCTGTGCAACATCTCATGCTATTCATAACAAGCAATACAAAATAAATTATCTAGCATCTGCCTGTGGGGCAGGCTTTAATACTGGTGAGAAAACTCAAAACAATGGTGGTGGGAAGGTGTAATGATGGTGGGACTGGTGTTGAAATATTGAATGTAATCAATTATTGTGAATGACTTTCTGAAAATAAACTTTAAAAATTAAAAAAAAATTGGGGGGCCACATTAGGTTGAGCTCAGGGTGTAATCTTCATTTTGCTAGAGATCACTATTGGTTGGCCTCAAGGGACCATATGACTTGCCAGACAAACAACCCAGGTCACTGGTTTATGAGACAAGGACCCTGACCTACTGTTTTATCTCTCCAGTCCCTATGGATAAAAATTTAAATTTATGACATAGGCGAATGATGATACATCAATTACTAAAACTCTGCAAGTTAGAGAGAAATCCAGAATATTCTAATATTCCAGTCTTGTTATATAATATAATGCAATCAAACAGAATATTCTCAGGAATAATTTTAAAACACTCTAAAACAGGTGAAAAATACTACACATTATATCTCACTGACATAAACTTTTAAAAATACACTTCACATCAACTTAAAAAAATATAAATATGCGATAATATACATATATAATCATACTTGCGTTATGTTTGTAATGAAAATTTCTTTTGGTTCTTCTCCTGTTGTATCTAAAACTTCAAATTCATCTCCAAAATCACAAAACAATCGTGACCAAATTCCATATACATCTGCACTGATAAACTGTAAATGAAAAAAAAAACCGAAATTGAAGTTTATCTATACCTTTTTTTTTTTAAAATGTAGGATTACTGCTATTTATTAGAAGTTTATCTATACCTTAAGAAAGGTTCTGCTGGGACAGAGAAATAGTATGGCAGACAAGAGTGTTTGCCTTGTATGCAAACAACCCAGGTTTAAGAAAGTATGAATATTCAGATTGAAAAATAAGATGTCAAATTATCACTATAAGCAGATGATAGGATTCGAGGAAAACCCTAGAGATGCTAGAAAAAAATTTCGATAAACAATAAATTTGTATACTGACATGGCAACTTACAAACTCAACACCAGAATCCATGGCATTCCCATAAGCAAACAATGGAGCAATTTAAAAAAAAAAAAATTCCCAGTTGCAAAATTGTGCCTCAAAAAAAAATCAAGTACCTGGAAATAAGCTTAATAAAAGGCTTATATAAATCAAACTATAAATCACTATTATGAGGAATAAAAGAAAACAAGGAAATGAGACACATCTGTTTATGGACTGAACCTGGGGCTTCTCCATGCAGAGCTAGTGCTCTAGCCCTTAAGGAATGTTATGGGCGAACTTAAACCTATACTAAGTGCTTCCTCACCTGTCGGAAGTTTCTTCCTTTTGCCCAATACTTTCTAAAAACCCTTTTTATTAAAAAAAAAAAAATGCCTTGAATATACTAACAGGGATCGGACTGAAACTATGTACTGCTCTCCTACTATCATGAAGTAACTATACTCTATATTCTTTATCTATTTTTTTCTCTATAGGACTTGAAACTACCACATTACAAACCTGCTTTAATTTACTTATTTTATTTAACTTCCCCTGCAGACAGGTGATTTTCATGAGCAGGAAACTTGCATGTTCTAATCACCAGTGTACTTTTCTAGGGCTTAGAACAGTACCAGGTACAGAGTAGATTTTCAACTGAGTACTTGCTCAAAGAATCAAGAGCCTCCCGACACCACCAACTATAATTTAAGCTTACTAACTCAGTATTTCTCATCCTTTCCATCGCTACTTCTTCTGTCTTGCTGCTCCCGTGCTGGAGGTGACTTCTGGCACAGAGTTCGAGGGCTGCCTCTAGCACAGCACTCCTGGGCCCGCGAGATGCCAAGGCTCATTGCACTCCCGGCTCGCAATTCCTAATTCTAAATTCTTCCTTACTTTTGAAAGTGTGCATATAAGACAAACTTGCAACTTTAAAACACAGGAAATGAATATCATAAAATTAAAAAGTATTGTGACTAGTTTCATATAACAAAAAGCTTTCCATAAAATCTAAATATAAAGCTACAAAATCTAATAATTCTCCTTTGGTTAACTACACCTCATTACAAAGTGACACTTACCTTAATTGGAGGTTGCTGAGAACGACAGAAATTATTGATTTTCTTCTGCAATGGAAGTTTAGTCTCAGTCAATACTACACACTGTTGAGAAGAAAACAATAAATTAAAGACTAGAAAATCTGTAAGTATTTTATTAATATACAACTTAGAACCAGAGGCACATCAGTTTGCATTTTGTTAAGAATTAGTTTCTCTTTAAAAAAATAAATAAAACACTATCCTGTTGTACTTCATTCCAACAAATTATCTTCAGAAATATAAATAGCAAAAGTAAAAACAATCATAAAACTTACGGAGAAATTCTGCCCACATTAAATTCATTATCAACAGAGGATTCACTACTGGAGGCAAATCTTAATTTCCTATGTATTTGTTTTAGGTATCACTGCCATGGAAACACTAACCTAGTCACTAAAATAATACTTATACACACACATATATTTTTTGGTTTGTTTCTTGGGCCACACCCAGCAACGTTCAGGGCTTACTCCTAGCTCTGTGTTCAGAAAATCACTCCTGACGAGGTTAGGGTGACCACATGTGATGGTAGGAATCAAACCCCGGTCAGCCACATGCAAGGCAAAAAAATGCCCTACCTGCTATACTATTGCTCCCATCCACCAAAATAATTTAATGTTAGCTTTAAGGAGCAGTGACCACATTTTTTAAAGATATCCACAAAATTCTGTGAATCAATATCGGCTTATTAGTAAATCTTTGCTTTGTGTTTATATTAGTGAAACTAACCAATTTTACTATTTAACAAATTACAATTTTCAATATTTCAGTATTTAATTTTCAGAGGGAGGATTTGGGCCACACCTGGTGGTGTTCAGGGCTTACTTCTGGTTCTGTGCTCAGGGATTACTCTTGATGGTGCTTGGAGGACCATATGTGAGTACATGCCTATCTGTACTATCTCTCCAGATCTCAGTGTCAATTTTTTTTGGATCATCCCATAAGTAAAAAGAGGCTCTATAATAGAATCTTATCATAAGTAATACAGATTTAAAGGTGAAATATGACAAGGTCAACTGTCTATCAAGTCACAAAAGCAGAACTAAGCTCATCTGTCTGAAACTTCCCTAAGTTCTGGTCTCCATTAGGTGGTAAACTAAGTTTTCTGACAACTATCCCTGTGTGGATTTTTTTCTATTAAAAAAAAAATTAGTCACCAGGATATTACAAAATTATGATTAAGCTTCAGACACACAATGTTTCAACACCAATCCCTTCACCAGTTTTCACTTCCCTCTTCTCATCTAGCTCAGAAAGTGGTGCTTCCGGTCAATAAATACACTTCCACGGGTCACTTATTGTTTAAGTATGCCCCGCAAGGGAAGTCATTAAGTGGCTGATCATTCTTTGTTGGGCTCATTTCTCATTACTGTGTTTGCCTTGTGCAAATCTGAATAATGAGTAATGTCTATTTCTCTGAAACAAAAAGCAGTCTTGTCTGCTGCTAACTATACAGCAGTTTCCTAAACTCAGTGCTCCTCTCTGCTGTCTATGTGCACGGGAGCCCACTGGATTCTTTGTCCTCCAACAGTAAGATCTGAGATCGCAAGAGGCAAATATGATGCTATTACTCTAAGTAACAAGGTCCTTATTTGCACCCAGGAATCTCCTATTTCTTGCCAGCTTCCAAGAAAGAACTACAGGCTTGTAAACAGGGTAAAATCAAAATTTAAATCCTACACACATGAAACCTGATTTCATCAATGCTGGTAATTTCAGCCATAAACTGATTATTACCTTTTCCTAATGTTCTCTTTCAAGAACTTTAATCCCCCAAATTGAGAGTTTTGTTAAATTCAAGCTGTCATTTGATTTAAAAGTGTTTTCTGCAGTCTCAGTAATTGCCTCAGATTTCTATTAAATTCCCTGATACAGTAATTTAACTATGTATTTACATAGCATTTACTACACAGGGCTTAAGTTTTTCGTAAGTTCTATTTGCTTATGTCCTTTTTTATTTGGGGGCCAAGCCTAGTGGTGCTCAAGAGCTGAACTCCTGGCTCTGTGCTCAGGGATCATTTCTGGCAGGTTCGGGGTACCATATGGAGTGTCAGGAACCATATCCTGCCAGGTGCAAGACAGAAGCCCTACCCTCTGTGCTATCACTCTGGTCCCTCTACTTGACTATTTTTATGCATCTTATTTTCATACTATGTATTTAGTCATCTTGAACTTTAGTATTATTCAGTATTATTCGCAATTCTTGGAGGCCTAATTCTTTGTTTTATTTACTAAACCTTGATATAAAGTACTCTTAAACCTTGTTATTCAGTTGTGACCTATCTTTAAAGAGTCTTTATAAATTATAATATAAGCATGGTCTAGTTCAGACCTTTTTTTTTCTTTTTCTTTTTTGGGTCCACCGGTGATGTTTAGGGGTTACTCCGGGTGGTGCTCAGGGATCATATGGGATGCTAGGGATCCAACCTGGGTCGGATCGCCCGCATGCAAGGCAAACGCCTTCCCCGCAAGTTCAGAGCTTCTTAAACTTTTTACATTCACAATTTCTTTTCACCAGAGAAATTTTGATGTGAACCTGGGTTAATGACAGAGGTATACAAATAAAATATTTCCTGATCACAGCCTGTTACTTTCCTTACTACCTGGCATCCCAGAGTATCATCATCTTAATACTACTTTTTATGTTTTGTATTACTTAGTAGGATTGCATTTACTACATTTGGTTTCAATTTTGGAAGTTTTAGACCACAAATGATCATAAGGTTGACCTCCAAATTGCTTGAGGGTAAGCCAACAACTAAGAATCACAGGAAAAATAGTTTTTAATTCAGAGCACAAGACGAAACAGAAGAGTTTCTTTTTCTGCTGGGCAAAAATTGTTCTCATCTGTCCTATCACTGAGTGCACAACTCTGGATACAGATTTACAAAGAGGAGGGGGCCTCAGCTGTTTCTGTACCCCTAGTACCCGTTTTGTGACTATGCTAGAGTGACCATTAATTTCTAAGAAACTTGGTTACTAACATAGGTAACCCTGCCCTTGGAAGTAACAACAACAGTCTTCTTTTTAACTACCTTCATTCCTGGCTTCATTTTGCTTTAAAGCAGCTTCTTTCATTTATTCTGAGCAGAAGTGAGGGCTGATAAGGCTGGAGATATTGAAGACATCAATAGACACCAATGATTAAATAATCATCCATGCTTTCATAAAGAAACCTCTGTAAGAAATACTGAAAGGCCTTAAGAGTTTCTGGTTCTGTGAATATGCGGAAGAGTACGGACAAGTTGGCATGGTACAGAGGGTCTGGAAACTATCACCCCTTTCCTCAGACCTTGCCTGATGCCTCTGTAGTATTTGGCTTCTCCTCCCCTTCCCCACACCAACCAGGAACCAGACTGAACTTTTAATCTGTGTGTGAAGTCTTTGGAACTGAAACTCTGCAAACCAATACTACCTCTGGGTAAATGTAACTGAACTGAATGATAGCTGGTAGAAGGGAATCAAATAGAACCCAGTCAGGCACACAGCTGGAAAACTAATTGGTGTAAAGGAAAATCAAGCAAACATACGGTCATAGGAGGACCAGAGGTATTAAGAGGCAAAAAAGACCAGGTTTTCTTCCAAATAAGTGATTTCATGATTTAATCACAGGAAACAGTATGATTATTGTTAGAATAATCAAGGTGCTAGATATTTTGTTGTTTAAGGAATTTTACCTAATATGCACTGAATTATCAATCCATCTTTTGATTCCTCTATTACTGGGACTGTCACATTCTATTCATTGACTTAAAAAATACAGTGGCAATTTCTGGACTTTGGGTTGGATATTATGACTTCTCTGGCCAATGGGATATTAATGGGAGTGACATAAAGAGGAGCATAAAATGTGCTTGAACGGATAGACTATCCCTTTGCATTCTGTTTACAACAAGAAAACACCTACTGGAGCCTCCTGGTCCCAGAAGCGAGGGACACAGAGCAGAGTCCAGAGTCCAGAGTTGAAGTTCACAGAACAAAAGCTAAAAGCCAACAGCCAAGTCACATACAGATATGGGAAAAACAAAGCTGCTCCAATTACTAAGTTGAATGTCTTTTTTGGGGGGCCCGGGGTGGGGGTGTTCACCCAGCAGTGTTCAGGGCACCATATGGATGCCACAGACTGAACTCAGGTCAGTCATGTGCAAGGCAAGCACCCTACCTACTGTATTATTGCTCTGGCTCCTGAAAGTTGTTTCTTAAAATGTAAAAATGGCAGACTAATCATTTCCCCATCAAAAGTTTTTTGGCTTTTACCCTGAACAGAATATTTTGAACGTATTTAAAATGTAAAGCATTCAACCTGAAACCTTTTTGTTCTGCTCAATAAACTAGCTTAAATTAGTTACCCCATATTTACACTTAAGGATTTATGAGCAATGTGTCAATATAAATATAAAATGGAGCACCAACCTGGTATTTATTTAAAAAGGAGAGATCTGTGGCTTCATTTAAAGGAAAAGAAGATGACGTGACATGAACATATGGATTTAGCTCTGCAATGTGTTGAAGTACTGCTTCAGCCCTAAAAAAAAAAAAAGTGACCTTTGTTATTATTGTACCAACACACCAAGTCCTTTCAGACACCAGGTTGATGCCACTAGAGGGGAACAGAGGGGAGAAAAGGAGGCTAAACATGGTCTTTAGTTAACTATATAATCCTGAGATGCAATATACTACCACACAATTTCTAAATGTGCCATGAATAAAGCTCCCACTTCAAATCTTTTCATGATTTAGTAATAAAGACCTGTTTAACAATTTTAAAGTTCATTACTAGAGAGCAAAGCGATTATATAGTATGTGACAAAATTCTTATCTTTATGAAGTTATAATAGATGTTATACTTACATATCTGTGTTTGTGTGAATGTAGTGACAAAGAACGCAACTATGACTGAACAGATTATTTTTGGGGGCAGTGGTGGATATGGGGGAGCCTCCTGAGCGGTGCTCAGGGGCCTTGGGGAACACTTCTGGTGCTTCTTGGCCACTTGGTGCTGATGATTCAGTGTGAGGAGTGGCACTGCTCGGCTCTCCAGAGCCAGGGGGTCACCCTGGTCACCAAGGCCTCCGAGGATGCACCTGGCAATGCTCAGGGCAGCACGTGTGGTGCCGGATTGATCCACGGTTGGCCACACGCAGGATCTGCACCTTAATCTCGAAACTAGCTCTCTAGACCAGAAGTAGTGTTTGGGATGCAAAAATATGTAACAACTATAAGACCAAAAAATAAATAGTACGTAATACATCGAAATATTACCTGTTTCTCCTATTAACAACATCATCTTCACAGATAAAGAAGTTGGTTCCTAGATCCCATGGTTGGCAATTTTCAGTATCATGAATTGTAAGTGCCTTAAAAATAAGAAAGTAAGCAAAGTTTCTATTAAAATGCGAATGAGACAAAGAAGGACCCAGGAAAGACAAAACAATCAGCATCAATAACAATTACAATGAATCAAACTACCTCAAATATATTTAAATCTGTGCATTTACCTGCTGGTCACACATACACATGCATGCTTATACACGACACACAACTCACTATTGGGAGAGGATAGGAAATCATGTACTTTGAAATAAAAGGGAAAAGCAAAGTATTCTGACTTTTGTACATCTATATACAAATTTTAATGAAACCAAATAAATGAACACATAATTTTTTTTGAAATGTTATTCCAGTTAATGAATGAAAAAGAATTCTGTGTCACGGTCTCTAACAAAATGAAGGACCTAGGCAATTATTAATGACTGCTTAATCTCTCAAAGAGACTTCAGAACATTATTTCCTGCTGAGAGCAAAAATACAGTATCACCGGAAAAGAGTAGTTCTGCGATACAAATCAAACTTAAATTACATACTCTGGATATGACTACCAGCTCATAGGAAAAACAGGGGTAGAGGTATATTTGATAAATGACCTGGTTTCTGGCATAAAACAAAATTGCAAGGGGAAAAAATTAGGAAAGGGAAATCTGTACATGAAATCAGTACATGAACTATAGATACTGGTAAGAATAAAACAAGTTTTTGAAAAACATCAAATTAACAAAACTGGGAAAATTCATGCTCTTTTTAGTATTTGGTTACATAGTAGGGTAAGCTTCTAAAATGGCTCTAAAGTTTCTTGCTTCCTAGGAATCAGACCTTTGTGTATAAATCTTCTTCCCTTCAGTATAAGCTAGATTTTTTAAAAGTATTATATATCTATCTTTATTTATATTTTAGTATAAGCTAGATTGAGTAATATAATATATGCATTATACATGCTGGAAGATCTCTTTAGAAATTATTTAACAAAAGATTTTGTCACTGTCTCTCATTTTCCTGCTAACTTACTCTGATAAGACTGCTGTCAGATTATAAGCTGCACTACAGAGATGGCCATTAGCAAGGAATTGAAGGTGGCTTCCAACCACCACCCAGAAACTAAGGTCCACAAAGAATGGAATTATCTCTTCAACTACACGAGCCAACTTGGAAGGCAGATCACTCTCAGTCTAGCCTCAAAAGCACTGCAAACACTGACAACCCTAACTGCAGCCTTCTGAGACACCCTCAGGATACTAGCTCAACTGTGCTCTATTCTGATCTAGGAAAACAGAAAATAAATGTAAGTTGCTAAATTTTGGAGTACTGTAGTTTTGTTTTCTAAAGAAGCCCCCTATCTTTTAGAACTGTTTAAGGAAGACATACTTGTACATCTGATATTTGCATCGGAATAATTTGTCGGTCTGAGCAGTCAGGAATTAGGAAGAGATATATGAAATAATCCATCTATAAGTTGATATCTGTGGCTTTCGGATTATGATTGTGTGACAGGCACATGTATATTCACAATAATATTTGCCTCGTGAAAAATGTTCTGTAATAGGAAGATTTTTTAAAAAGAAGAAAAGTAGTGGGCGAAATAGAGTACAGCAGGTAAGGCACCCCATCTGGTCTCCCAAATCCGCCACGAGTAATCCCTGAATATAGAGTTAGGAAGTCAGGAGTAAGTCCTGACCATCAATGAACAAGAACAAGAACAGTGGTCAAGGATGTGGCTAAGAGGTGGAGTATCAGTCTGGCATGGCCAAGGCCCTGAGTTTGATCCCTTATATATCAAGACTCCATACTCTCAGCCCAAGAGTGTGGCCCAGACACCATCACCTGACCCCCAGCACCTAAGTGCAATGTAACTGCACATAACTGTCTGTAGGCCCACCAGAGGTATGTCTCTAAAAAGTAAACTTAAAAAAAAAGACAAAAAGAGAAATATACAACATAGAAATCATTTTTGATACTATATGAATAAGAAAAAAAATTATATTCTTACTAAGAATATTTGTCACTTACCTTAATTCCTGCAAGAACAAGATTCTTCGCTATAAAGGAAAGAGAAAAATAGCTTAAGGAGGTCACGTTACATATGACTTCAAAGAATTTGGATGCATTTTCTTTTTTCTTTTTGGGTCACACCCAGCAATGTACAGGGGTTACTCCTGGCTTGTGCACTCAGGAATTACTCCTGGTAGTGCTTGGGGGAACCATATGCGATGCTGGGAATAGAACCTGGGACGGCCACATTCAAGGCAAACACCCTACCCGCTGTGCTACAGCTCCAGCCCAAATTTGGATGCATTTCTGAAATTAAAAAAATTTTCACTACTCACAAAACACAAATTCCTTACCAAAAACAGATGAACAAAATGGGTGAAAATAGTTATGCATACCTATTAAAATAATCATTCTTAAAACTGCTTTGTATTTTTCAACATGTTATTAATATATGTGCATTCTACCATAAAAATGCATAAAAAGAACAATTACTATTATTATTGCTGTTATTTTGTTTTCCTGGGCCACACCCCATAGTGCTCAGTACTCCTGACAGTATTTGGGGAACCATATGTGGTTCTGGGGAATTGAACCCGGGTCAGTGGAGTTATAAAGCACTTACCCAACTTCACTCTGACTAAGAGAATGATTATCAATCTTTAATAGTTTCACAAAAAGAGAAGGGATGTACTATTACTGGCTGATTGGGAAAAAAATGTATTAATATCATAAGTTAATCTTTTAAAAAAAAGTCAAAACTAAATCTAATCAAGATTTCAGTCTATTTTTCCATACAAGCAAAACAAGAAAATCAAATTCCTCACAAATTTTATATTTGACTATAAAATTATAACAAAAATGTTGCTTACCAATTTCCAAACCAAGACCACCCATACCATTTAAGAAAACATGGGACTTGGCCATCTTCTGCATTGCGGTATCTCCAAGGACATACCTCTGTCGGCTGTAAAACACAATGGAAAACGAAGTTACTACATTAAAATTATTCATCTCTCTAATGTTATCTGCAAACTAGTGGTTCAGTGGCTAGACCCTGACCACAAAATTGTTTTGAATCACTTTATAGTGTTTAAGATTTATAAATTAATTTCAAAACATATTTCATATTTAAAAAAAAACTTTAAGAATTGGCACCATGGGTCAACATTCCTGCATTGTTATATTTACAAGTAAATGTAAAATTTTTACATATAAATATATTTTTTTTCATTTTTTTTTAAAACACGAAAACTTGTGTAAATATCTATATTGCTATAGGGGCACAACGCTGCCACAACACATCACCATCACCATCATCATCAAAGTACCAATATCCCTCTGTCGCTGTCCATTGGATCTTTCCAGTTCACCACCCACCCAAAACCCTTTGTATGCCCTAGTCAGGTCTAAGGATTTGTTTCTACTGGAAATTCTGCCTTGATGTGTTTATGTCTCACTTGAGTAGATCATAAATCCCAGCTGTGCAAATCCTCTGTTTCCAGCTCATTTGAGATTATTTTAAGTATAAAAGCTGATAAATATATAAAGGGCTTTAATTCATTCTAAGAATCACAAGGTAGAACCAAAATGGGAAATTATAAAGATACAAACTAGTTATTTATAAAAGCTAGAAATAGCTAAAAGTAAAATACAATTAAGAGTTTATTTGAAAGAACAGTCATAAACCTCATGTTTTGTTTGTCTGTTTGGGGGAGGGACACACCCAGCGGTGCTCAGGGCTTACTCCTGGCTCTGCACTCAGGAATCACAACTGGTGGGTGTGGGGGACAATATGGGATGCCGAGAATGGACTATGCAAGGAAAACATCTTACCTACTGTACTCTCTCTCTCCAGCCCCTAAACCTCATGTTTATACCTCTACCCCTCTGGGATCATTTTTATTTTGGGGTCCTGGCGGTGCTCGGGAGCTAGCCTAGCCTTTAATTGGGAGACTCATGTTGTGCTTAGGATGAAAAGTGGGCCTTCCCACACCAAGCACATGCTGTGTGTAGAACTCTCTTTCTTCTCCCATACCACTCTCAGAAAAACAGACATCCCAATGCATTTGAAAAATGAATTCAGTATGACAAATAATACAGTGCCTTTTGAGTTGCTAGAATTTCCTCTTGGAATACACACACATTACATTAACACATTTGCTTAAATCAAAGATACTTAATTTCTGTATAAATGTCCTAGCCAACATAAAAATCAGAAGTTTGTTATCTAGTTAAAACTTTATAAACAGAAGCTATTTTTGTTATTTCCTTCTTTGACTCCACAAAATATAATAATACCTATGCTTTTTTTTTTTAGTAAAAAAACTTTTCTTTTTCCAGTGCCGAGGACCTAACTCACAGTCTTAAATATCCAAGGTTAAGTGGCTTTACAGACCCGAGATCCTGAGATATGTTTTTCTAAAATTGGTAATAAATTTGTCAGTTTCACCCCAAAGCATTGTTCAGATTCAATGCAGTCCCTATAAAGATACTCATGATATTTTTCAAAGAAATAGATCAAACACTCTTGAAATTCGTATGGAACAACGAATCCCCAGCAAACAGCTAAAGCAATCCTTGGGAAAAGGAAGATGGGAGGCTTCACTTTTCCCAATTTCAACTGTACTACAAAGCAGTAGTAATCAAAATAGCATGGTATTGCAATAAAGAAAATCCCTCTGGTTAAACTGGTTAAATCTTGTTAATCAGTTAATCTTTGATAAAGAAGCAAAAATATAAAATGAAGCAAGGAAAGCCTCTTCAGAAGTGGTGTAGAAAAACTGGTCAACTACATGCAAAATGAACTCAGACCTCTTTCTAATGCCATGCACAACAGCCAAATCAAAATGGATTAAAGACTTGACATTGGATCTGAATCTGTAAGGTACATAGAGGAAAATGTAGGCAGGACTCCCCATGGTGCTGAAGCTAAAGGCATCTTCAAGGATGAAATACCTCTGACCAAGCAAGTGAAAGTAAAGATAAACATGGGACACATTAAGAAGCTTGTGGACCTCAAAGGAAATGATCACCAGGAAACAAAGACAGCCCACGTGTTGGGGTTATTATTTACCCAACACTCATTTGATAAGGGATTAATATCAAAGATATGTAAGATACTCATACAATTTTATTGAAAAAAAAATCCAACCCCATCAAAAAATGGAGAGACAAACAGAAAGTTTCTTAAAAAAAAAAATACAAATGGCCAAAAGGCTCATTAAAAAAATGCTTTGCATCACTAATCATCAGGGAGATGCAAACCAAAACAACGAGATAACATCTCACACCACGCACATTGGCATAAAATAAGAACAAGAATAATCACTGCTGGTGTGGATGGGCTCTTATTCACTTCCAGTAGGAATGTTGATAGGTCCAATCTTTCTGGAAAACAAAATGGACATTCTTAAAAATTTAGGAATGGAGCTGTCAGTTGACCCAGCAATGCCACTGCTTGGAATATATCCCAGAGACTCCAAAATAAATTGGAGAAAAGACATTTGCACCCCTATGTTCCTTGCCACACTACCCCCAATAGTCAATCTCTGGAAACAATCTAAGTGTCCAATAGGTGACTGGATAAAGAAACTGTGGTACATCCACACAATGGGATATAACTCAGTCATAAATATAAGACAAAGTCACGCAATTTGTTGCTACATGGAGAGTATCAAGCTGAGTGAAATTTGTCAGAGGAAGAGGCACCAATACAGAATAATCTCTCTTCTATGCAGAATATAAAGAAACATAATAATGAGTTCCCAAAAAACGAAAATGAAGAACATGAGACCTGCTATTCATTCACTAGGAAACATGCCACTTGATGGGAAGCAGGGATTGAACAGGGAGGGAATAACATCTATGGTGGCAGGAAGGATTCAACTGGGAGGAAGAGGTGGTGCTGAACATTGTAAAGTGCTATGCATGCAATCCTAGCAGCAACAGTGCTATAAATCACAGTGTAAAAACACTAGAAGGGAAAAAAAAGCACCTTTCCTAGAAGCAGAATGGTGGGCGGAGAAAATGGGGGTGATCGTGGGGGACTGGAGGAGGGAACAGGACACTGACAAAGGGAGTGTTGTTGGAACATTATATGCCTGAAAACAAATCATGGATAACTATAATTTTACAGTGAACAAACAACAAAAAAATTAAAGTATCAATTTCAGAGACAATATTAATTTATCAAGTATTTACTGAACATTTACTATGGTACGTTAGTAATCGCACATAACACAGCTTTGTTGCCTTTATTTTTGTAATCATAGCAACACATTTAAGTTTTGTCTGATTTGCAACATAAAAGGGGTTATTTTGAATTTTTGTGTGTCCTGCTCCTTCTGAACGAAATTATATTTGAAATTCATTAATATTAATGCATTCATGGTCTATCCTGCAGTTCTAGATCATTATCAATAATGTGATTATAAACATTAATAAACACACACACACACACACACACCTTGGCACACACAATGAAATACTTTTTCTAGTGCATATATATAGAAACTAGAAGATGCAGGGCTAACTTTACTGAATAGTGTAAAGCTGCTTTCCAAAATTTTTCAAATGCACTAGTTTACTCTCCTGAAATCTATCAAAATCCCTATAGTTTCACATTCTAATAAACAAACAAAAAAAAAGTTATCTGATCTTTAGCCTGCCTGCACAGTAACTTAATAGATGTGAAGCCGGTTTTTGAAATGTTTCCTATGTTAACATGTTCTACTCTTCTGGTTATTTTCCCCCTAGTTTCCTGAAATTAAAACTCATTAACTTTTAGGTTTTATTTTCTAAAATACAGATGTAAAATTTATTGAAACACCAACCTGATCAGCATAGCGCACTACAGCCCAGAACTCCTGGACTCGGCGATAGCACAGCAGTAGGGCGGTTGCCTTGCACGCAGCCAACACGGCCGACCCGAGTTCGATTCCTCCACCCCTCTTGGAGAGCCCGGCAAGCTACCCAGAGTATCTCGCCTGCACGGCAGAGCTACCAGTGCCTGGCAAGCTACCCGTGACGTACTCGATATGCCAAACACAGTAACAACAAGTCTCAAGATGGAGACGTTACTGGGCCCTCTCGAGCATATCGATGAACAACGGGAGGACAGTGACAGTGAAACACCATCCCAAATATCAATACACAGTACTTCCATCATTTTTCTGATTTTATTATTCCTTTATGACTTAAAGATTACTCTGAAACATATCTTTAAATCTCCTAAGGGATGGTTACACAAGTTTCTAGTTCTCTTCTGTGTTGATATCTTACTTAAATGCACTGCAAAAGAACATTATAACTGATTTCATTCTACTATTCGAGATTTTCTTTGGCAATTTTATGTGTTCTACATGATCTTGAAAAGTATGTACACTATAGTTGTACAGTGAATTTTACATGTGCATTAATTTCAATAATCATGTTGATATACTTCCTGATTTGTTTGTTCTCCTACTTCAAAAACCTGAGCTCAATTATTTTCCCCATTCTTACATACATTTCCCCCTTTCTTACAGAAATTATTCTTTCTTTCTTACAAAAATATTAATACTGGAGGCAAGATTCTAATCTGTCAACCAGCCTTAGCATTTGTACGCTGAAGCACCATGCAGTATAGCATGAAGGCTACTAATCAAAGTCACAATTGACAAAAGCTTAGAGGAGGAAGAAGAAAATCAGTTTCTTTAATTTTTCCCTAGCCCCACATTCCTATTCCCCATGAATAGCAACTCTAATTCCTCTAGTACTTCTCAGTAACATATATATATATATACACTTCTGTTTTATGCATAATCTTTTAAAAAATTTCTTATTTTTTATTTTATTCTTATTTTGGCTTACGCCCAAGGATGGTCAGGGTTACTCCTGGCTCTGCACTCAGAAATTATTATTCCTGGTGTTGCTTGGGGGACCATACGGGATGCTGGACATCGAACCCGAGTCGGCTACATGCAA